GCAACACAAATGTAAGCAACACAAATGTAAGCAACACAAATGTAAGCAACACAAAAGTAAGCAACACAAATGTAAGCAACACAAATGTAAGCAACACAAATGTAAGCAACACAAATGTAAGCAACACAAATGTAAGCAACACAAATGTAAGCAACACAAAAGTAAGCAACACAAATGTAAGCAACACAAATGTAAGCAACACAAATGTAAGCAACACAAATGTAAGCAACACAAATGTAAGCAACACAAATGTAAGCAACACAAATGTAAGCAACACAAATGTAAGCAACACAAATGTAAGCAACACAAATGTAAGAAACACAAATGTAAGCAACACAAATGTAAGCAACACAAATGTAAGCAACACAAATGTAAGCAACACAAATGTAAGCAACACAAATGTAAGCAACACAAATGTAAGCAACACAAATGTAAGCAACACAAATGCAAGCAACACAAATGTAAGCAACACAAATGTAAGCAACACAAATGTAAGCAACACAAATGTAAGCAACACAAATGTAAGCAACACAAATGTAAGCAACACAAATGTAAGCAACACAAATGTAAGCAACACAAATGCAAGCAACACAAATGTAAGCAACACAAATGTAAGCAACACAAATGCAAGCAACACAAATGTAAGCAACACAAATGTAAGCAACACAATTACCAGTTTGATACCCTGTTTTCCGGTAGCTCTGGCTGATGGAGGCCTATAGGCTTCAACTTTGGCTAAAAGGCAAGTAAAAAAGTAAAAAGTTTTCAAGAGCTTCCATCTTTCTAACAAGACCTGCCTTTATTCTTTAATTTATAAAAACTGCTCCACATGTAGCTTCTATTATGATTCATTGATAATCCATTTTCAAATGAACAGGATTCCAAACCAACACCGGGATTTGTTGAACTATCCCACAATGTGATTTACAAATTTCGGACTGGGTCAGGGGCGGCTGGGAGTAGTCTAATGGCAAATTTTTTCAGCAAAGACTTTCAAAATCTACTGGTCATATATCTTTAAAATGAAACTAGCACTGGAAAATCTCTGGCAAAAACAGTTTATTTGGATGGTCAACTGTTTACCTGCCATTTTGTAAGGATATGGCGTGATATGGCCATGGTAAAGCGAGCAGAAGCCGCTACTCTTGAAAAAGAACTTTCAAAAAAGAACTATCTAACGAAGACGCTTGTTGCGACACTTATTGTGACGCATTCATCTTACGGCAGCAAACAAATACTACAGCCACAGCCCTGAAATTTTGCTATTAGGTTTGTGAATCCTTATGAGGGTTTTAAAGACATACTGACAGACAATCATTTCTTCACAACAACAATAAACACACCAACAGCGACTTCGTTTAAATATATGAAAGATAGCGCTCTCTTATTATTTTTTGGCGTAGCGATATGTAGTTTATTCCCAAGCTCTAAAATAAGTTTTATCAAAAAATTAAATTCGCACTTAAATTGAATTGAAAAGTATGGTGCTTTGGTTTTGTATGTTAACAATGAATATTTATCAGAAACATTTGTCCTATACTTGCCGATATGATTTTTCTAGTAAAAGAAGGCCGTTAATAGCAACAAAGAGGCTACGGCTACGGACAGAGGGCCTTTTTCACTGTAAACTGATGATATTTATCTGCTTGCCCCAGGCCGATAAATTTTGGGATTAGTATCAAAATCAAACACTGATAAGTACGACAATGGGCCATGTTGCTCTGGAGATAAATATACTTCCGACCGTCGCCATAGCCCCCCTCCCCCCTGATTATTTGCTTTTCTCTTTATGACTATGGGAAAGAGAGCGTTACAATAGAAAATGGAAAGGCGTATTCGACTTGCGGCCAAGAAAATCAAGATACGACCATGAGGAAGAACAAAAAAAAACAGTATAAAACAGACATGGATATACTGAGCACTGCCAAGCAGAAGGACAAAACCGAAAACGCAACAATTAATTGCTGTCCCATTAATCAGCTAGAAGCATAATTTACGCCCCAGAATAGTGGGTCGAGTCACAGGCTGCCTGTGTTAGAAAGCAGAAGGCTTTGCACGCTGAACTGCTAGTTGCAAATAGTTTATTAATTTGAAGGCTTTATTTCTCATGTAGACTGAAGAAAAATTTTGTGGCAGAGCTCTAATTTCAAAGAAAGATAGCTATATTCCTTACTTCTTTAAGAAAACAAGAAGATTTCAAAGCTACCAAGAACAAAGTAAAACCAATGTCCCTTTCAACTCTAAAGAAGAGAAGTGAGCTTAAACCTCGCTTTTCAGGCTTTATAGTAAAAACATATGGGTTGTAGACAAAACTTTAGCGATTATTACTTCAGATGCTAATATAAGTTCCCTTCATTCAAAGACAAGAACTAAGCTGTCTGGTTATGACATTAAGAAGTATTGAAAGAATACCCATTGATTTTGAAGAGGATGGCATGGGCAGAAGAAGAAGAATCGAATATTCATGTCAAATTAACGACGACTTTGAAAACGTCTGATAAATATTTGGAAATGAGCAGTGCAGTCGTTGCTAAGACATCACAAAATTTAAGTTCAAAAGTTGGAGGTACAAAGCATACCAGAAACACAAACAGTTGTGATTTAGAGAAAATGCCTTTAAACTCGTGTTTAGATATTCTAAAAATTTTGACAAGGAAATTAGCATTGATTTTATCTGTACATATGGCTCTTTGTAGACTTTATTAAACGAGAGCCTCAGATAAACAAAAAGAGTAAAATATGTACCTGGTGCATTAAGTGGTTTTGAGACAGATATGATTGCAAATTCTTTGTAAACACCATCCGATACTGGTTGCCAGTCCACCTGAAAGATACGCGGTGACGATGAAGTCTGGCATGGTTCATATTGTTCATAGGAAAAAAGAAATTTCAACCATTTGCAAGATATCGTCTTAGTATGGCTTTCAGATACCATCACGTCTTCTTTGTAATCAAACTAATTTTCAAAAAACGTCTAAGGCTGGAATAAAACTAAACAAACGGCATTCGCATAATGCAGACTAGAAAAAAATCAATTTTTGATAACGAAAAATCACGCTTTGGATATTTTAAGGCCTATGCTGTAAATTAGCTAAACAAATTGAATTTAAATAAGGATGCTGGAATGATGAAGAAAAACGGCTTTCGCAGAAAGTAGACTAGAAAAAATCAATTTTTTGATAACAAAAAAACGCCTCGGATTTATTAGGCCTACTCTGCAAATTGAATTGGAATAAGGAAGAGGTTATTGCGTGCATATAACAAGAAAGAGAATACATACTTGGTATAACTCATGCCCTTGCTCGTAGGCACACTCATGAATCACATTGCCCGTATAATGCCAGATTTTATACCTGTCGTGATCAAAATGAATTTACAATGAAATGAAACGTACTATACAGAATATCAAAATTTGAGACTATCGTTTCTATAATCTAACACAAATATTGATAATAATATATAGAACTGGTCATACTATATAAAAATTAATACTATATATCCTCTAATGTCGTGTGAGCGCAAGGCAAAAACGGATTAGTTTGACTTCGTTTTTATTTGAAAACGGAGTAGTGTGAACGGGCCCTCAGTTTGTCTAGCAAAATTGCTAATTCTGGAAGGCAACATAGCAAAATCCATTGACCAAAGTAACTTAGTTTAGTAAATGTTTTTTTCTAAGTACAGGAGCTACAATTTACATCACAGGGTTACTTACCCATTGCCAATTTTCAGCCTAGGTGAAGTGGTTGCTGTTACGAAATGCAGTCCATCTGGTGCCCATTCAAAGTGGGTAGAATCTGAAGCCTAACAGAAACAAATAATATTCAAAAGAGAGGAGAAATTCCAGAAATTTGCGTTGTAATCAATCATCATCTATTGGAGAAAAGTTTTCTCCCTGGCAAAATTTCATCAACGCTACAACAACAAAAGGAATTAAAAACGTTAAATGTAAGAATTGAAAAACGTTGAATGTACCTGGGGCTTACTAATAAGCTTCTTTTCCTTGGTATTCCAGAGTTCCTAATGGATAAGAAATATCAAAAGAATAAACACATTTCACTATCCAGTCAGTTTAAATGCTATTTTCTTAGGGAAGGAGATTGGAAGAAATTACAGGTCAGCCCCAAAGAGCGTCACAACGGAAGAGCCAGTGTATCATAACTCTACTACAACAGTACTAAGGAATCTCACAAACAGTATTCTTGTATAAATTTTGCTAAGTGTAAGCTCTCTAAACCAGATATGACTAGCCTCTTCAATCCCTTGCGATAAAGGCTTTCAAAATATCGGTCTACAAAATCTGATCTACAAAATCAGTGATAGATAATACAATGTAGTAGAATGAAAAAAATTTGATGATTTCATTCTTAAAAATCCCTAAGAGGTGAATTTAACTATTAAACTAAATAATTTAACTGAAAAAAGAAAAGGTATAAGACTTCAACATACCATGACACCGCGAAGATTCCCAAACCCAGCCAAACAGAGAAGTAAACATTAATTAAGGATAACATCATGAGACATCAGATGAAAATACAATTAGCGTAGATCTCGAGAAAAATCGTTCAATCTGTCAGTACGACATCATATTTAGAATTGGAAATCTTTGGAATTTTCTACACTCCATGAATTCTCTGTTCTATTTTAAATAGAGTTTCTAATTTGACTTTCTTCATGCATGCTTGCTGAGTTTAGCATTAGAGTTTCATGAATTTTGCGCCCATTTCTAATAGAGCAAGCTTCTGCTTTTTCATAATCAAAAATTAAAGTTTCTTAAAAATAATGTTTAACGCATTTTGTTTAATAAAACCATCAGCCCAAATTTCAAAAGCTATTACCAAAAGGTCGGGAAGGCCTCTCCTGTGGACTTAAACACATCGAAAATCAACATAAACAAGTGTCATATTTACGAATGCTTTCATTTTACATTTCAAAATGTTTCCAATGTTTACGGACTATAATGTTTCCAAATCATTCAGTGAAGTTTTTTAAAACATGCAGAAAAGCTATCTCTAAGAGTTGATATTCCTAACCTTTAAAGATTTAATATTATAAAACTTTTTTCCACAATAATCTCCAATTTCTAAATCATGAGAAAAACATCCAATCTTTCTGCAAGATTTACAACCAATTTAAGGCTACAAGGTGTATTAGTAGCTCACTTTCCCGATTTTTTTCTGCTAATTATGTACATAGACAGTTTTGTGGCAAATTTCCCAAATCAAGCTTTAATCCAATTTAAGTTTATGTGGTCATCTAGACTTGGTGAATGTAGGTCTGCCTTGCAAAAGTACATTCCTGGACGACGATTCTGCATTCCCAAAGTACAACTGGCACATTCTAGAGATCAAAACTGCAAAATCGGGCTGCAATCCCCAACAAAGAATTTTCAAGAACACAATCAAAAGTTCAAAGATATAAGTAAAAGATGGCCTAGCGCGGAGTCTTGGTAGTAAAAGTGTAACATTAATATTTAAGGTAACTAATTCTGTCTTGAAAAGGATATTGCTACCATGGGAATTATAAAAGCATAAATTCCGAGGCCCTGTTCCAAAATCGAAGATTGGTTCACATTTATTGTTAAAAATCTTTGCTTTTGCGGGCATGTCTGGTTGGTTTGTTAAGGTCTGTAGATCTTGATATATTGCTATAGAAGCATTTCCTCCCGCTAATAACTAAATGGTTCATCAATCTTTTGCATAGAGTAATATGCGGGTATGAATTTTGCATGTTCCAAAATTTGACAAAAACAACAATAGGAATCTCGAGTGATATAATGTAAGTTTTATCCTAGAACCCACCATAAAAGAAAGCAACGAACACATAAAATATTCAGCTAATAATGCCTTATAAAGAAATTCGGCTGAACCGCCGTAAATTTCTGAGTGATAAACTAGGCCCAAAACCTGGCAAGTGCCACCAAAAGATAATGTGTGCCACCGAAAGATAATGTGACATATCTAATCTTCTATACTTTGAACTACTTTTTGATGCATAGAACAGGTCGGTTCTAAGTTGCTGCCTTGAGTTTCACGCTTAATGCGAGCATCAGGCAACTGTAGCTAACTATACTTTGAACTTTAAGTTACACTATATTCAGCATCGTGAAAAAAAATTGTGTATTTAATATTTAAATAAAAATGAACAAGAAAAGGGAAATGGATAAACGTTCGCACAGACATTTCAACTTACAAAGCTTTGCTTTTTATGGACTATTTTAAATAGTTGAACATGTTGCTTTAAATACTTTTACAAATATGGTATAAGAAGTGTACACATAATTCTGGAGTGCAAGCAAGAATTGAAAAGATACATCCATAAATGACACAAAATTCTGCAGAATTTGGATTCCAATCGACCGAGTAAACAGGACCCTTCTTATCTAGAATACAAAGAAAACAATTCACCGTAAAAATACGTAAATTTTAGGTAATTCCTAGGTAACTAAAAATAGGTAACTAAAAGAAATCACCAGCATCAGTTTTCTACATCAGAATCAACTCGTCAATAAGAGCAGAGTTGAATAAATCTATCTTGTTAAAAAAGCTTGAAGGACGGGATTTAACTGAAACTTCAAAATTCATGGGAAATATCTAGCATGAAGTAAAAATGCAAGGATAAAATGTAATCATTCCATGGACATAGTGGGATCTAATCAATGAAAACATTGCAAACAATGCAGAAAATCTTATTTTATGATTTTATGATTTTCTAAAGCCATACTCTAATTCAAGGAGAAGGTCCTACATAATCAAAACCGGACAAAGAGGTGACATATTTTACGTCCATTCATCCTTACTTGAACTGAACGGTTTTAGGGCTCATTCACTGAATCAATCTTAAACTGATGGAAAATTTAAAAAGAAAAAGAAATCCAGCCTAACAATACGCAAAGAAGAGAAATCCAAGAAAATCTAGATAGCTTTCTTGAAGGGTAATTTGTCCTACAAACTACAACTAAAAATTCTCTTAAACAAAATAAGGGGTTACAGAACTGGCATTAGAAAGAGCAGTATTCGCTGAATAGTTTGAAACAACGGCATACACATTACTTACCAAAAGGAACAAGGTTCGCTTCGCCTTTGATGCTAATAAAGTGCAAAGTTTGTTCTCCATAGTATGATGCACCCGTTGTATCCACCTCTGTACTTGACAACACCAGCACGCAAGTGCCTGAAATTGTTTTCAAACGTCAATGAAGTACATGAAATATAAAACAGAATTCAATACAAGAGGACATAGCTTAAGGTTATAGCAGTTAAAACCGGGGGAGGCTGGTTATCGATATAGAAGACCATGAGCCAATTGCGCCCTCTTGCTCCCACAGCACGTGGCGACAAGGAGAGTTCCACAAATGAATAACTATGATAAACATACCAGGGGGAAGAAATTATATAAAAAAAGGTTGATACAAAACCTTCAACTAGAATGCAGGTATTACAGACGCTACAAAAGCATATATTAAAGGTCACATTGATAATGAAAAGGATATACAGAATCAAATAAACAATAAACCCTTTAGAAAGAAAGAAACAAATCTTTGAAAATGGCCGCGAGCAAAAAACTAGGGGAGTTTTGTATAGCTTGCATGAGATACCAAGAAAGTATTCGGCTCTCAAGTGAGCATTTGTCAAGACCGACTTGCCGTTTTCAGGATGTTTTGTGAATATTGACAATGTTATTTTGATTATTACAATATTTGATTTTTAATTTGTTCAATAAAAACATAAAGAAAAGAAAGAATAGAAAGAATAGAAAAAAAGAAAAGAACAGCACAGAATAAAATAATATAAGATAACATAACATAACATAACATAACATAACATAAAATAACATAACATAAAATAATATAACATAACATAACAGAATATAACATAACATAAGATAACATAAAATAACATAACATAAAATAATATAACATAACATAACAGAATATAACATAACATAAGATAACATAAAATAACATAAAATAACATAACATAAAATAATATAACATAACATAACATAACAGAATATAACATAACATAAGATAACACAAGATAAGATAGCATAACATAAAATAACATAACATAACATAACATAAAATAACATAACATAACATAAAATAACATAACATAACAGAATATAACATAACATAAGATAACACAAGATAAGATAGCATAACATAACATAAAATGACATAACATAACATAACATAACATAAAATAACATAACATAACATAACATAACATAACATAACATAACATAACATAACATAACATAACATAAAATAACATAACATAAACTGTTCGATTTTCTTGCGAATCAGACACAAGGTGACAGATGTTTCTGATCAGCCCAAAAGACCTTAACTTCTCATAACTACACGCCTTTAACATCAGACAACCACGGAAGTACTGTCAAAGTATACATTCTACTAAAAAAGACTTGGCAAAATCTTTACCTTTCTTGTTCCAAAACATCTCAATCTTATCTGCTTTAAAGAAACTTCTGTTCGCTAGCGCTTGTCGCCCTTCTAGATTGGGGTATTGAAATAATCGAACAAACGACGGTGCTGCCTGGACGAAGGAAGAAAACTTTAATCCAACTCAAATGTAACATAAGTGTATACAGACACAAAGTAGCGTGGATCCTGCGCTATAATAAAAACACAAACGAATAGATGTGTGTCACAAGACGAACAACATCAAAAGCGACATAACCAGCAAAGTCCCATAGTAATGAATGTCAACCCCATAATTAACACTTCTTTATAGAACTAAAAATGTGCTGATAAACGAAAGAGCGTACATACCTTTGTCCCTTTTACAAAAATTGCAATTTTATAAGGCGAAGGACCTGGCGCCAATGAGAAGTTTGTCACATTCTGCTGAAAAAGTTTCTTAGAAACGGAGCCTGAAACAGAAAGGTAAAGTTGGGTCATTACCTTGCAAGCTATACTGGTTCTAGAGAAATTCAGGCCTTTTGAAATTGATATTTGTATACTTTTCTATAAGATTGTGGCGCAGTATCAAAAAAATTACGCTTTTCATAATGGTCCAAAATGTGCTGGTTGTAATAATTTGAACACAAAATTCATAACTTCATTTCTACAGGAGCTAAATACGTTTGTCCTTCATGTCTGAAGGAACAGCACAGTTCACCGTCTATACATTATAATGAGAGAGCTGCCAAAGATAAGACAAACTATTCAAGGAGGGAGAAAATCAGCCCGCTGGTATTGTTGCTATTACTGGACCCTTGTATTTAGTACCTTTGGCTATACCCCGCCATTAATTAATCGATGCTGTATCGACCGAGCTGTACACAGTATTTTATGCATAGAATTGGTTGGTTCCTATTTGTCGTCTTATTCTATACACCTTATTATATAGCGCAGTTACTGGGTACATGTAGATATTGACCGTTGAACCGTAAGGATTATTGTTTCCACTTTTTTAAAAGTATATATGCATTTTTCAAACGAGCACAAAAATTACAACTTATTTGGTGCTACAAATTTTCTCTGTAATATCGAGCATATGTAAGCAATGTATCCTGCGAGATTCAAAATTCAGATGGGTCCAAATTATAAATTAGACTGATGAAGCGGGACAGGATTGAGTATTTGAATTTGCAACCGATCAACTGAGTCTATGACTTGATGAATGCCGTACGCCAACCTGTAACATAGCCAATACGCAACTGTAAGGTGTTCAAGTTACTGTATCGCATTTACAGCTTGTGTGAAACTTTGTTTTGATGCAGACAGAAACAAATGTTCGGAAAATAATGCTGTTTTTTAGCAAACTACTGATATGAATACAAACATTCCATTATCATAAGGAGCAACTTCGCTTTACAAAAATCCTCTTGAAAGAAATTCTGATTCTTCATTAATTTCTTCTTGACGGTTGTTTCAGCTAATTATAAAAACCTGTTTGTATTTGTCCATTGCATGGCTACAGATATCTGTTTCGCATGAGAAGATTTGCTTCCACTGTGCCTCTGACGCCGCATGACAAGCCGTGTACGAAAAACATCTTTGAATGGCAAATATTATCTCACGGTATAAGTCTGTCAAAATTTCAGATAGCTTGTAAAACAGCCTTAAAAATTTAGCATGAGTGCAGACAGAATAAAATTCTTACTTTAAGAAAGGTTTTGTTTTGCTCAATCTCAATAGCCCAAAATATTTGCTTAATCTTTTCGCTGCAGTATAGAACTTTAGGCCAAGCTATTTACACATTATGGTATTATTTTATTTCAGAATCTTGTTTGGATAAAAGGCAAAGTGATTCCAATAACTAAATTGCAAGAAGGACTGTTGCTGCCCTTCAGAAACCGAAGTTGCTTCAATAATCCCACGGCAGGATTAGCATTTCAGTTTCTCAAAACTCCGGGATAATTGGCGTAGCAGATTTCATAACGAGGCGGGTCATTTGACAAAAAGGATTCTATTCTACAAACCGCATATACTTTATGGAAGAATTAACTTCGCAATACTGAATAATTAAATGCTTTTCAAATGAGTCAACTAATTTTAAGGTTCAAAATTACAGTTATTTGAAAATGTAGCCGTTAACTCCCAAAAATATAGGATACAAAAGATCATCGTATATTCACGTGCGGGAAAATAATAGTCTCTAAAAAAGGACATCGCAATGCGCCAAGAGAAAGAGAAAATACAAAAATTTTAAATCGGCAATAAAGGACGCAGCTCGAGGTGAGAATTAAAAAGAGTTGGGCTATTCCTTATCGCTGTTTGTTTGCTTCAGACAATCAAGATTTGAGAAGATTTGTTGGTAAAAACAATTGAAATTCACCATATACTTGTTTGGCTTTGCGAATCAGCCTTCGCCCTCAAACCGGATACACCCATAATCTAGCCAATTTACGACTCTTCACTCTTCACGTTAGTAAATTATCATAAGCAGTAGCCTTAGATTCCTTTGAAATACCATGCAAACAAGTATCGCTCTGGGAGAGACGTTTTTGCAAATACTTTGTGACGAGGTATAAACAACTCACGTTTAATAAAATTATTTACGACTGGAAAAATTTAAGCTTAACCTATAACGGGCAATGACTTCACTAAACATTTGTCAGCAAAATAGCTATCTAATATTCAATTTTTGTAAGATAACAAAACCTTTAGCTGATTTATAAATAATAATTTTACATCTATGCATCGAAAACAATACGTACAAATAAATCGTGAATGATATGCAGGAGCTACTCACTGAAATCTCTATTCTCATAAAAATGAACTTCATTATTGACACATCTAGCACATAGCAGCTCATCATTTGACCATTGTGGTTCCCTATAAACAGAACACTTCTATAAGTAAGACCGTTTTGTGGCTATGTGGCCCTTCAGAGAGATCCTAACCAACGCCTCAGTTCTGGTGGTAGAGTATTTTCCGATTTTCAGGGTATGGGATTACAAACAGCTCACTTATTCACGATTTTAGCCTGTTGGCTATAAATACTGCAAACACACTTGTGCTGACTAACCCTGCAGCAATTTAAAAAATTCTTCTTGTTTCCATCTTTGTGGCAAAATTATCAGTTCCAAAAGCCCCAAATCATTCTTTTTGAAGGTGCTTACATCAAAAATTACTTTCAGGTTGGAAATAAACAGGGTTATTTCCATTTATCTTCTTCAGAATCTTTAACGACCCCCTGCTCCTAATTTCAATTCCCTATTTCATCAACAAAAACGTTTGACTAAAATTCGAAAACAAAAACATTCGAAATTAGGCCCTGTGATCACTTCAACAACTTTAACTTTCTTTAACTAAACACAACTTGATTGCAGAATGTTTCAACAAATTGACATGACTGGAATAAGTTATCAATTGCTTATCTGATAAAGTATATGCATGCTGTAAGATATTCCTGGGTGGTGCTATTTGCTTTAGCTGGGGAATTAACAAGGGCCCTACAAAAATTTATGAGACCATACCCTGTTAGTGTTACATAAGACCCAGTTTTGCAAACTTCTTGGACTAGATCCTTCAAAATGTACTATCTAGCAACGTTTATGTGTTTTAAATAACCTGTGCAGTTTGTGAGCTAATGCTTGATCACCTCCTATGAATATCAACATAAAATACAACATAAAATGACAAGGCATTCTAGCTACAGTTTACCCCCATTCATGACAATCCCTCTGAGGAGTATGAGATACAAGAGACAAGCAATGAGATGGCATACCAAGTATCTTGTCTTTTTTGAACAAAACTCTTCACAGTAGAGCCATCACCAACACGGAGGATTTCTAAGTTGTTGAATCCTTTTGGGTTATCAGGTGTCGTATAATAGCCTTCCCATGTACAAAGATAGTTTCCACATGAGGAAAATGATAACAGAGAGGTCTTTTGCTTTGGAATTTCAAACAGCTTCTGGCTGGTTTTCAGATCAACAACTTGTAAGCTAATGATAGAGAATTGATAAAATATATACTTAAGTAGCAACCAACAAAAAGTTACCAGATATACTGTAGATAATTCCACTCAAAAGCAAAACTGTAAACTTAACATAGTAAATCAATTATTTAAAGTATAAATTTTGACCTGCAGCTATTATATCTCGAGGTGACGATTCAACGTTAAATACAAAAGCAAAAACTGTAAACGAAAAATTGAAAACCCTGTGCGGAGAAAATAGTTTAGATCTCATCGAGCATCAAAACATCGATACAACTAAGCACCTAAATGGAAGTGCTTTGCACCTCAATAGAATGGGCACAGTCCTTCTTGCCAATAACCTTATTAAATATCTCAAAGCTTAGTGACGTGATGATGGGACTCATACAGCTAAGTACATTTATCCTAATTTAGAAAATCAAAATACCAATGAAATTGCTAGTTCTGATACCGAAGATATTAACCCCCTTGCCAATCTATCAACTATTAGGAACAAAAACAAGAGAGGCCTAATTGTGGCACATCTAAATATAAACTCAATCCGAAACAAAATAGAGGATCTCAAAACCCTGATTGCAAAAAATGTTGACATCCTCGCAGTTTCTGAAACCAAATTAGACGAATCCTTTCCTACTAATCAGTTTTTAATTGATGGTTTCAAAAAACCCTTCCGTTATGATAGAAATACAAACGGTGGTGGGATTCTGGTTTATATCAGAGAAAAAGTTCCAGCAAATGAAATTAAACTGGTGAACATCGCCAATTCAATTGAATGTGTATTAACTGAAATTAATGTGGGCAAGAAAAAATGGGCATTGATCAGTACCTACCGCCCCCCTTCTCAATGTGAAAAATTTTTCTTCGCAGAGATGGGCAAAGTGCTTGACCAACTTACACCTCGATACGAAAACTTCGTCATTATTGGAGATTTAAATTCGGAAGAGAAAAATTATGAAATTAGCAATTTCATGGATATCTATGGATTAAAAAATCTAATAAAAAGTCCCACTTGTTATAAATCTGCTGACAATCCCTCTTCCATTGATATGTTTCTAACGAATAAAACCTCTGGTTTTCAAAACACTACGACAATAGAAGTGGGATTGTCTGATTTTCATCTAATGATACTAACAGTGTTAAAGAGTGGTTTTGTAAAAAGAGGTCCAAGGATTGTGACATACCGAGACTACAGTAAATTTGATCCTATAAAGTTTCGCAGTGACCTTAGAAGCAATCTAGCTAAGAGCAGCGAAGCATACTCTGAATATGAAAATTTTAATTCTGTAGTCGAAGAAGTTCTGAATAACCATGTACCTCTAAAACAGAAATATTTACGCGCAAATGATGCACCCTTCATGACGAAAACTTTAAGAAAGGCAATTATGCTCCGTTCACAGTTACGTAACAGATTAAACAGGCATAATACTTCTGAAAACTGGAACGCTTTTAAAAAGCAAAGAAATAGGTGTGTGAAAATTCTGCGACAAGCAAAAACATCATATTATGGTAACCTTGATATAAATTCTGTCACTGACAATAAAAAGTTCTGGAAAACTGTAAAACCACTTTTTACTGACAAGGTACAAACCTCTTCAAGTATTACGCTTATCGAAAATGAAAAGTTTATTACGAATGACAGTGAAATAGCTGAGATCCTTAATGAATTTTTTACAAATATCACAAAGACAATTGACATTGCCCCTGGTGAATGCATTCTCAATTCGACAGACCATTTGCTGGATCCTGTTGAAATTGCTGTTGAAAAATATAAACATCATCCCAGCATCCGCAAGATTAAGGATAAGGTAAACCATGGCACATTCTTCGAATTCAAACCAATTACAATGCAGGCAGTCAATGATGAATTATTGAGACTAAATACAAAAAAAGCGTCTACAATTGAAAGTATTCCTCCGCGGATACTGAAAGAAAACGAAGACATTTTTGCACCATTACTGACGACAATTTTCAATAATTCATTGCTCCAGAAAACGTTTCCTGAAGATCTTAAATTAGGAGACATAACTCCACTATTCAAAAGTGACAAAACTACAGAAAAACGAAACTATCGACCTATCACCGTTCTATCCGCATTATCAAAGGTCTTTGAACGGCTTCTATATGCTCAGATGGTCGACTTCGCGGATACGTTCCTAGTTCCCTACTTATGTGGTTTTCGGAAAGGTTTCAACACACAGCATGCGCTGTTGAGATTAATGGATATCTGCAAGAATTCCCTAGATAAAAAAGGGGTGGTTGGTGCCTTGCTAATGGATCTCTCAAAAGCGTTTGATTGCATAGACCATGAGCTATTAATTGCGAAATTAAATGCCTATGGTTTTTGTAAAGATGCTCAATTATTGATTTATAATTACCTGTCCGGTAGAAGACAAAGGGTAAAATTAAATGGTTCATTCAGCACTTGGCGAGAAACCTTTGCAGGTGTACCACAAGGATCAGTCCTTGGGCCTCTTCTCTTTAATTTATATATTAATGATTTATTCTTAATGGTAACTGATACTGCAGTATGTAACTTTGCTGATGATACTACGATTTTTGCAGCTGACTGTCAATTAGATAAAGTTTTAGAACGGCTAGAAACTGATGCTCTTATTTTATCAAAATGGTTTCCAGAAAACTTTATGAAATTGAATGCAGGGAAATGTCATCTTCTTACTTTTGGAACAAATCAAGATGACTTTAAGATCAAAATCGGTGAGGCCATTGTTGAAGAAAGCTCTGAAGAAAAACTGCTAGGGGTGATAATAGATAAAAATCTTAATTTCAAAAGTCACGTCTCAAATTTATGCAAAAGAGCCAGCCAAAACTGCATGCTCTTGCTAGAGTTTCGCCATTTATGGGTTCTGATAAACTGCGTCTCCTAATGAACAGCTTCATAAAAGCTCAGTTTAGTTACTGCCCCCTAATTTGGATGTTCCATGACAGATGTCTGAATGCTAAAGTAAATAAAATCCACGAAAGAGCACTCATTTAAACCAGAATTGTTTATAAAGACAGTCATGCTGACTACGAAGCATTGCTGACTTTGGATAATGCAGTATCAATTCACCAACGCAATCTACAGTACTTGATGATAGAAATATACAAAACCAAACATAACCTGAACCCTAGTTTCATGAGTGAGATTTTTGAAACAAGAAATGTACATTATGATTTGCGAACTAAAAATAATCTTTGCATTCCAAAAGCCAGGACAACTTCTTATGGTATAGAAACTGTGAGATATTTAGGTCAAAAACTGTGGCAAACACTACCTCACAGTATAAGAGAGTCCCAATCATTGGCAACATTTAAAAAAGAATTAAGAGCACACCCTATAGAATGCGACTGTAGATTGTGTAAAAAATTTATTGCTGGGTTAGGTTTTATTTAGAACATTATACCTTAAACCTTTTTAATCTTGTATCATATGTTTTTATTTCATACTAACTCTTTATAGATAGTTGGCCTTAATTAGCTTCTTTATAGCTATCAACCGTTCATTTAGTACGCCAACTTTAAACAAATTATTTATTATTATTATTATTATTATTATGATAGGCCAGGAAAAAGTTAAATCTACTTAACTTTGACCTGCACAATGCCTGATTACCATACAGCAGTGTCCTCTGATAAAAAAGAAACAAGAACGAAGAAAGAAGCTCCTGCCATCTAAAAGCTTTGTCTAAAGCTAAAATCGCAAGATGATTACTGTGCCAAACCATTGATAGCAGGAAGAGAAGATGCCTCCAATTTTTCAAGCAATTCTTATAATTTCGCATTATACCATAATTTTTATTAAATAAACTATTGTATGTAAAAAATCATGGAAATATACCTCTGTGAATTGCACCAGGCAAATAAGCAGCCATCCTTACTGAATTTGAAGCATCTGCAGTTCTGAACTGGGTCACTAGAAATATCAGTGCCATTTATTAGGAGAAAGGCCATCAACAGATAAAAAAAGGTTTAAACAATCTCTCAATCAAGAATTGACTGGCCAGTGATTGTGATTCCACTCACAGGCTTATTGTGAAGATTTAGGTGAAATCATTGTGCTCCCTTTAAACTAAATTCCAAACCATTTTCATGTGAGAATACAACACATTCATCCAGAATTTTTTTCTGTTTCCTTTTTAAGCCCATTTTCACAACACAATTTTTCATTCTGCTCTGTGTTCAAAATATGAACTACAGAAAAATGTTTGTTCACAAACACAGCCTTGTGATTCTTTTGTTCAGGTTTTTACTTCATTTTAATTTCATTATCAATCAATCCTACATACAATTCTAAACAATTATCATACAATTAAAAACAAATACTTTGCTAAAATTAATGGTATCATAAAGAGGGCTGGGAGGAATAAGTGTTATCAGTCTTATAGCAATTTTTCCAGAAAAAGCTTTCATTATCTACTGGTTATAACAAGCAATGTGAAAACAAAGCCCTCAATGAAGTCAGTTTATCTTAAACCGAATGTTGTTTTGTAATTTTGCAAAATGATATGAAAATGGTTAAGTGAGGAGACCCAACTAATCCTTAAATCTCTTGTGGACAATTATTGCAAGGCATTTACTTGACATCTGCAAAAAAATTCCACAACCTAAAAATATTGCTATTGGGTGATAGGATCCTTATGGAAAATTTCTTAACCGCCTTTGTTTGTGACTCCTTGGGTCACAAGCCCAACAGCAAGAGACGCAAGAGATGTCTTCTGCCTATTAGCTATGCCATTTCTAATAGCAAGATTCCTCCTTTCACACTTTTCTCCATCAAAAATATGAACAACCCTAACTTGCCATATATTGTCTCTTAAACATTGGTTGTCAGTTGTCATTAATTAGGCTTTTTCTTTGATATGAGCCTTTATATTATTTAATCTGGCCATATTTGAGGTGGAAGGGAGGGGTAAGGGAGGAGTAAGATCTTGCAGAAATAAAATTTTAAAATATCAACCTAACCTTGTTTATATGCTAAACCATATGTAGAGTATTTTCAAGCCCTTACATTAGTTTCACTGTAAATTAACATTTGTGCTTAGATCAAATGGAGAAATATGTGCTTTGGTTTTTTTACTTCCCGAAATAATGTTGCTATTCAATGAGGGCCTTTTCACGATAGACAAATGGAATTTGTCTGCATGCTGCAAGCTGTCAAAGCCAAAAGCCCACAGTCACAATTAATAGATTGGCGATAGCACCCCCCCAGATTTGTTTACTTTCTCTTTATGGCTGCCAAAAAGAACATGTTTATGATGGAAAAAATTTTAATCAATTATTGTAGGAGCTTTGGTTTTAGTATGCAATGCTTCTCAAGCATTGAGGCAATTTGGTGTTTTTTTCAGTGAGTGGTCAAAGTAAAATAGATTACATGTTAATAGCAGTTAAATGTTTTAACATATTTATTGCTCTTACCAAACAACGTCTTCAGGTCTTTCAAAATTTGTTTTACCATCAATAACATGAAGCCCCTTTGTGCCACGAACTAGAAAAGAAAAAAAATGTTACTTTCCTCTTTGCCAAGAAGATGGAAAGTCTTGCCTGAAGGTGGGTTGCTTTCTGGAATTTTGTCAGACTGAATTCTCTGTGTTTTGTGCAGATAACATAAATTCTGGTAAACATTTTACACAGATGTGATTAATGATATTTTGTTATCAATTAACAATAACATTAACAATAAAGTTAACATAACATAAACAAAAATAAGTACTAAAATACTAAGATTAACAGCAACTAACTGACAAGAATTAGAGAAAACTAGCCTGAACTATATAAAAATCATTTTTTTGCTATTATCAAATATATGCGCAGATAAGATGTTTTCCGACTCCATTTCTAAAGGTGAATTCTGCCGATCATCTTAGAACCACCTTAGGTTATGTGAAGAATACATTGCACAGAAACATGACAAAGAATGCAGTCTGGATATTCTGGCAATGAAATCAGATCACCCTGAGTCAACAATTCTTTGCCATAATTGGGTACCTGAAGAAGATATTGTGAAAGCAGCAAAAGCTGCAACTGCTGGACATTTGGAAAAATGACTGATTACTTTTCGATGAGCTATATTAACATGTATTTTTTTACCTTGTTCCATTGTTGTTTTGATACTTAATGTTTGTCATTTCTAAAAGACTGAAAACTCCAAGAACAGGCTGAACACCCCAAGAACATCAGTTGGTTGTAAAAATACCAACATCATTCGACTTATCAGGCCCTTTCCCGTCCCAAAATTAATTTTGATTGATTGACCAAATTATTTTTCGAACAATATGACTTTTGATATGTTTTAAAGAGTGTTCAGCCTCTTAATGGGGATTTTATGGCTTGTTCTTAGGGTGTTCTTGGGGTGTTCAGCCTGTTCTTTGGGTGTTCAGTCCTTTAGAAACGACGCATATTTAGGGTGCAAAAACGCAAAATTCTCCCTCGGATTCTCCAAACTTTTGTACATTTCTCCCTATCTTTCCTTAAAAATCTTGACATCTCCCTGTTTTATCTATGTTCATGTTGCCAAGTTTGTGATGAAGATTTGTTCTCTAATTTTGCAAAAACACACTTCGAATATGTCAAGTTAGGCAGTCTACTCCTTATGTCAAGTTTACTAACTTAACGTGTATTCCGAACAAATCATCATTCATGGGAGGGCCATTGGTGAGTACAAATGCATATCTTGAGAGGCGAGGTTTCTTAGAACTATAATTTCGAAGTTTTAAGAACACTTAAAACAACCATAAACACTAGAAAGGTCCTTCTACCTGTGACTTGTGAGCAAAATTTAGAACAACATTCTGATTATGATAGTTGGATTTAATTAGCATTCAGTAGACCATTTTTATTCAAAAATTATGCAACTGTGTACGAAAAAGAGCTACCAATCAAACCTCAGTTATTTGCGATCATAAAAGGATAGAAGAAAAGCATTGTCGAACTTACCAGCAAGATGTGGTATTGCTTGCTGTCTGGCAGCCATCTTTGATGACAACGTGACCGTCAACGTCCGGTGAACTGGGAACAAGTCACATACATACAAACAAACACGTGCGATATTTGTTATTGCAGGTTACGCTAACCTGCATATATGTACTTTTAATAAACCAGTTTAGTTTGTTGTCAATTTTGACTCCCAAGGAAGTGCTCTCTGTAACATATTCTTTAACATAATTTTATTCCCAAACACAGCAGGCTATTTGCAATGGCATTGTTTACAATGAAATTTTGTAGGAAGTTCGGACAAAATATAACCGGGCAAGAACGCATCGAACAATATGGACATATCCAACCTATAAAACAAAGTCTTCGCTCAATATAAGGGGCAAAAACTTTATTAGCTTTCCAGGTTGTACCATTACTGCAAGTGTTCACGTTTTCATCACGATTGCAAAACTTCGCCAAGAAAAGAAAAATATTTAACACCCTGTAAATATCAAGTACATTAAGAGGGTATTTCGCCCAGGGGGGGGGGGGGCACTCAGCACATATACATACGGAGGGGGTCAGATATTTTTGGGTCAAATGTTTACCCAAAGTGATATTTTTGGGTTAAATATTTATCAAAAATGATATTTTTGGGTCCTGCAAAAATAATAAATGCAATTCTGATATTTCTAGGTATCAAGTTAGGAAACACTGATATTTTTGGGTTTTTGTGAGATTTCCATATCTGAATTATGTCTGAATCAAATATATTGTTCATCGGCTGAGGTTTTTTTACCCATTGCAAGTCATGTGACCATACTCTTTGGAAGCTTTAATGCTATAGCCATGTGATACTATCTCTTCTGAAATTCCATATCAAGTCCCCGGTGGTTGGTTGGTGCAATGCATATTGTGTGTGTTCCTGAAAGTAGAAACTGGACCCCATCTCTGATTCTGGGTTAAGTAAAATGTACCCTATTCTGCGACTTTGCAAAAATTGTGAAACTCTTTTCACTGAGAATATCCAATCTTGAGCAGGAATTTTTTATACCAATTCATGCTAGAACCATTCCTTTTCTTAAACTTATGTCTAGGCAAGTTAAAAAGCAGAATTCACTAAATTTGATTTTAACAACAATCCCAAATGGTTCTTAATATATGTTAACAAAATCAGACAGCTGTAAAACAATAACTGCAACATATTGCTTACTTCACAACATTGTGTTAGATGTTTTTATGAAGACATGAAAAAGTTGTGTCCCTGCAATGAGTACATGCTAGCAGTAAAGGGTTTTTAAACAAAGACTTAAATTTCTTATCTAGGATTAGAACAACATACAAGACTAGATGCTAAATTTGTTGTAGTTCAATATAATTCCTGCCCTTTTGTGTTTTCTCTGACTGATTAAAAAAGAAATCCTATTTTCAAGACTCTATGTCCCAAAATTCTAGTTTACAGACCAACCTTTCTCAGAGTTTTTCGGAACTCAGATGTAATACGTTTGACCAACTGGCTGAGCCCGCCGGGATCAGTCTAAGGAGAGTTAAAACAGTTTTGTTCATAAGACTGGTGAGATGAACCTAATCAATGTTGCACATTGAATTTTCTATGACATTGAAGAATGTGCCCGCATCTTCAGCCGATTGGGTAAAGATTACTTAAACATAAAAATTTGTAGCTTTTAAAAAATATTCCATGGAGGCGAACAAATTTATGTATTTAAGTGGCGATGGGAAGGCGCGAATACCAAGGGGAACTAAACTGTATATGAAAGTAAGAATATTAAAATCATTATTGGAATGGGCTTCCGATAATCATAGAGACTGAAAGACTTTGCTTTGAAAGGAAGAGGGACTGGAATTGGCTTTGAAGTATGACTAAGAATTCGAAAATGTGTGCTTACTTCTTACCCCGGGCCAAATTCACCTACAATGTAAATTATAAGGAAAACAAGTACAGCGTATTGTAATAGAGGTATAAATCATAGATGTTACACACTCAAAAAACCTGGAAGGCCATGAGATGGGAAGCTATACAATTAATTATGATCAAGAGTGCGTGGTCCCTAAATGAAGTAAATAGCCATGTCTGCTTTCAACGAAGATAGTTCTCACTATGTCCAGCATGTGTCATTGTTTTTATAAATTTCTAAATTACCATGAAATCTGTACCATTTTTGGCACTTACTAATGTTTCGGAAAAAAATATTTGTGCCCTTTTTATTCGTTTTGGCACCCCCCCCCCCCCCCTGTTCAAACCTGCGTCCGGCGGCCCTGTTTAAGCTTCTTCTTTCGCACAGAATTCGTTATATTTCGTTATATTGTCCATAATTAAAGTGTAACTGATTGTTGGCAAACGCGATTGTTGACACGAACGAAACCAGCCCAAGAAAACAACAACGAGGCAATGATTGAATTTTGGCTCTGTTTAACGAACTGCGCCTGCGCAGAGCCAACAATGTTGACTGAGGCTGAGGTGGTCAAACGATCGCTTACCACTGGCGCAGTGATATCATAAGAATTCTATTTTCAGAACCTGGAAATCAAAAGTACCCCTAAATTTGCAAAATCAGTTGAATCTGTTGCAAATCGACTGCGATCTGGCCAGATACGCATGGACTGTTTCCCCGTGAAGCCACAGTAAAATTGGTCCTGATTCTAAAACGTATGAACCAGGCAAATACAATAGTGATTTTGCATTGTAACTAAACTCTCTTGTGAACTTATAAAGCGTATCTAAACTCGCTTGTGGTAGGTGTAAAAAGCAGGCCAAGCAGGGCAATAAAGCGTAGGGTGACTTCGGCGGGTCAAAAAGCTAGCGACCAGAGGCTTTATAATAATGTTGCTTTAAGGCCAAAACACTCTATCAAAATATTGTACACTTTTGGTAGGAATCCTCCATTTTTGCCAGAAAGTCCCTTGAAATCCTTTTGGTTTCATTGAAATTTCGTGCGCTATTGGCAAGAGTGAATTCCTTTGCGCGAAAGAGGAAGAACACACCCTATTTGAAGGGTAATTAGCTGCGGGGGCAAGCTTTTATTTATATAAAGAGAAGGGCAATACCTAGTTTGTAAAGCAATGGAAAGTCACTGGGATTGGAGAGGGAATTGTCACCTCCCTCTTTTGAGAGTATGTTAAAAAAGCCCTAATGAGATGGCTGGAGTTGGAATGCTGGTCAGATCAATATTGGAGTACTCTCCCTCTAAATGTTTTAGCCCCTGGAATCACAAGAAAGAATCAGATGATAAGCAGACACTTGCAGATTAACGCGATGTATAATGCAAACTTTAATGAACCTATTTCAGAAGCGATTCGAAAGAAGACATGTGTGCCTAGTCCATCACAGCAACAATAACAGAACACAACCAGGGACGTCGGGGCTGGGAGGTAGGGGGCACTTGTCCCCTTTCATTGACCAATCGGCAATTCATCAGAAATGTCGTAAATGTTCGGCAAAAGAATATTTGTAGTTCATAGAAGAGCAAGAAAGTTCAAAGGAACCAGTGACAAAAATTCAGGCTTTCATTTGGGGGGCTCAGGCCCACGATTTTCCGACAAGATAACATCTTGGATAGTACCTAATTTTAATGAAAATTTATCGCTGCACTTTTTGATGAATATAGGTGGTTTTTTAGCGGGACCGTTTCAATCTTGATATAGTATACCGTTTCAATTGAAAACACTTTTCAACTAAAAATAACAGTCCTTTTCAGAATAGTAACCCATGTCATGGGAGTTTCGCATGCGATAAAATAACTACGGTATTTCCTCTAATGAATGCCGCCCTCTGATAAACGCCGCCCTCCATTGAACCGCCCTCATAGAGACGGAGACAGGGATACCTTGACATTTCCATAAAGTGAAGACATCTTTTGTGAACTTTAAAAAATTCTTCACACAATCTTTATTGCATGTTTGTAGGAAAAAAATGTTTAGAGTCTGTTTTTATCATTTTTTATCGCACTTATCTTGTCATTTTTTTAATTTGAAAAACATTTCATTTTGTATCGAACGCCACCCTCTGATAAAAGCCGCTCCTCTATTGAACGCTGCATCCAAAATTTGGAGTTTGTAATAAACGTCGTGGCGTTCCTTAGAGGAAATACGGTAGCTGACATGGGCGTGCAAAGTGGTGTATGTACTTAAGTGTTTCTGCGATCAGGCATCTATGGAATTCGTTTATTCTTCTGCGTGAATGACGAATTCTAAAAACATGGCTATTATCAGGCTGTAACATGCTGCCAAATGGTACAATTAGTGGTGAGCTTAATTAGAAATATCACTATTAAAAATATAATTGCAGATAGAAGGTTCGCAGTCAGAGAAGAGAGTACGCGTTCATGTTGATCGTGAATTGCTGGGAAAATTTTCAGCAATAGCAGATGTATCACATGAAGTTTATTTTCTGTCAGAAAAATCCATGATCGAGCTACGTTTTTGGCATACTTAGAACAAAAACAACAGAGATCGAACACGAGGAAGTCTGGAGTAAGGCTACATTTTGGCGAGAGTATCATGTATTTAGCAATCATGCAACTAAACATGGACCACAATGCAACGTGTTTCCCGCGACGCTGAAAGTAATTAAATATCACGACTAGTGTTTCTGGTGTTTGTTAGAAACAGAATTCAAAATGAAGACATGTGCGAGAAAGATGTTTTACGTGCTATTTCCTATTGCCTTTCTGCTCGCCAAAAGCAGTATGCCGACCAGCCAGATTTCTTTCGACAAATTAAATTCAACAACTTCGAAGCAGATGGATAGAAAAGTGCTGGTCGATAATCTCAGACAAGCCATAAATGATAGTTCAAGCGATGTGGAGAGAAACATTGCTTCTCGATATCCAGAATTTTTGAATCTTGCAGCACAGATCATGAGTCAGTCTGATGACAGTGAAAAAGTTATTTGTGCTCGAGCGTTTTCAAGGTTTATGAAAGCATTTGATCAATGTCAACCCGAAAGCATCACACCAAACTCATCATGCTACAGTGGGAATTGGCAGAAGCAATTTGAAACATTCTCGTCACAACAAGCAATATGTGAACCCCCAAAAATGAATGCAACTCGAACGAAAAAAAGGCTTCTACCGAAAGGGATCCCAGCGCTGTATGTAATGGTCGCAGTGAAGATCGTAGCCAGGGCTGCAATGCTCTACAACGAAAGGTGAGAAACGTAGGCATTCTTTGTAACGGATAGCGTAAACGAAACAAAACTCCGCATCATGTTTTTTTGAACACATTTTGAGCGAATTTCTCAAAGCTGTCGCGTTTTCCATAATCCGGTTAAGGCTATGGGATTAAGCAGACACATCTACAAGTTTAAAATTTTAAGAAAAAAGTTACAATTCATAAACACATAAATGTGTGTGAATGCAAATGCAATCAGCAGTAAAGTCTTAAGAAGCGAAAACAGGCAAGACACAGCTGCAAAGGTAGGTGACATTTTTATGATGGAAGTGGACTAGAAATATAAATGGAATGTTGATATGCTAGTTCATTCATTTCATTTCATTTTATTATATTTATACACAGAAACCCTATCAGCTACTAAGTTAAAAAAGAAAAAGTGAAGATTAATTTATATATAATGCTGGTCTTCCTAGGAATCGTGCTTCGGGAAAGGATGCTAATTTTGCAGGAATTCCTTTAACTTCTTTTTGAACGTGGAACGTGGTTTGATTTAGCTTATGGTATGTTTTCAACAACATCTGTTTTAAAGAACACCTTTAAAAAAACAGACTCCAGTTCGCATTTCTTAATGACTTTTCATGTCGTCAACCCTAAATATTTTTTCGTGCCGTGTAAATAAACGCTAATAAATTTCGTGCAAATCATCAACAACCCAAACAAAAAATTACTAAGATTCAATTGAAGGAATTTACAACGAATGTACACACATTTTAAGCTCACGAGGCTTATACACCCTAATGACAAAAGTTTAAACCGAAGTAGCAATAAACTTCAACTTTATCTTCAACATTTTTTATTATCAGTATATTTTAAATAATTACGAGTGATACGAAAAAACAAACAAAACGAGTAAAAGATTATCATGCAGATTTTACATGAAACTGTCAGTGAGAAAAAATGACATACTGAAAGACACGTACGAATAACTCTGAAGAGCTTTCGAGCTACGTGCCCATTTTTCGATTCTGAAAGTTACAGTGTACATATATATTTAAATAATCAAATTTAAGGAAAACACATTATAAAGTTATATCAATGACAGCAAGAATAGATAAAGAAACAGAACAACTTTGTCAAAGAAAGTAGAAATAAAGTAAAGATAAGAAAGAAATGAAATAAAAAAGAATGATCAATTTGTAAGGAAATTCAATTCAAAAGATGATCATAAAATGCAATTTGAAGGCCTAAACATTTTTCTGAGATATATTTTTAGGTCCTTATTAAATGTTTGTTTATTTTTTGTATGACGCAATTCAAGAGGAAGACAATTCCAAAATTGGAAACTCTGATAAGAAATTACTTTGCATAGAGGATTTAAACAATATATTTACAATCACATCATATATCTTTATAATATAATTTTGTCCAATATGGCGGGGTATAATTCTGTGAGACTAACTCGATAGCTTTCTGTGGCACACGTGACGCCTTGTCCAACAGTTTTCTAACTTATTTAAAAATACTTTCATGGCTTCCCAAGACAGTATTAATTGAAGTAGTAATGCTACAGCATCTTCAGATTATAATGGAATTCATTTTGCGTTGAAGCCGAACGTGAGCTTTTCTCTTACAACACTACACAACCAATATTTTTGCTACCCTCTTTTTGCTTGCACAGTATAAAAAACGTTAATTCTAAACGTTAATTAATGTTATGAAGATCATAAGTTCTGACATGAGCTAAATACTGCACATTATCATAAAGATAAGTTTGAATTATATAACAGAGACATAAAACATTCATTATTCTTCAAGTCGGAAAAACAGAAACATAAAGACAAAAAGTAACTAAAACGTTTTTTGCAGCACATACATGAAAAGTATTGAAACTATAAAAGAAATAAAGCCAAGCAAGGCGTCTTTTATCTAGATTTGCAAATTAAGAGTAATGACCTGACTCGTGTCGATAGAAAAACTTCATCTTGTCACTCATTAATTATCTGCTATGCTGCAATTTGCAAAAAACAACCAGATTCGATCACGTGGCAATGGTAATGTTAGGTTTCACTAAAGGCTGATTTCCACGAGGCGAATCTCGCACCGAATTCGCTTCGAAATTATCTTTGATTTCCACGAGACTGCGAATTCGCTGCGAAATTATTCAGAACTGCACGCATGGCGAATATTCCAAGATTGTTTTATTACCAATCAAGCAAATTTACCATGCTTTGACTGGTTATTAGGTGCTGCAAAATATTTCGCCGAGAAAAAGTAGAACTGAAGTTCGGTGCGAAATGAAAACTGCGCATGTCTTGATGCCTTCATCAGCGATTTCGCTGCGAAATTAAGCACGACTGTCTTCAAATTAAAGATATGATTGATCGAATTCTAAATTCTAGGCCAGTAAGAAAGCGAACTACAAAAATCCTAGTTTTCAACAGTCACGTTTCGCGCTTCACTTTTACATTTTCGACAGAGAAATCAATATTGAAATATGTCTCGATACATTTGGATAATTGCATAATGAGCTCATTTTGCTCCTTAGGAGATGTAAGCAAATGGGAGGCATATATCATGATGGCAACATTTGCCTAGCTGTAACACCACGTTTAAGCGGAAGCAGAACTGTGGAAGGAAACATGAGTGGAAATGAGAGCAGAAGTGGTTTGGAAATGTTTATTATTGGCCGAGAAAAATCTAAAGACATGTTGATGAAAATAAGTTTGGCAGGGAATATCACGTCTTTGCTTTGTCTCATTCTTCTTATCTTAACTTACATCGCCCTGCAGAAGCACCGTACCGTTCCAGGGAAAACCACAATTTGCCTATCAGTCTGTCTAACCTGTGCCAGCGTATTCCAAATCATCATACCCTATTTCAGTGAAATAAAAACCTTTTGCATCATTGCTGGAGCTTTCCTGCACTGGTTCCTTCTTGCTTCGTTTTTTTGGATGTCTTCACTGGCCTACGAGTACTTCATTGGGTTCCATCAAATCCGTTTGGTTTCACATGCAGCAAAAATGGTGAGATTCAAAGCGTACTGCGGAGTATCGTTTTTGGTGCCAACAATTGCTCTTCTGGTATGTCTCTTGCTTGATATTCCTAACGGGACCATCACACAATATGGTGCTAACGAAAGATGCTTCATAGTTGGGTTCTGGACAAATTTATTTGCGTTCGTAGTGCCTGTTGCCATAATACTGTCCATCAATATTGGACTGCTTGTTTTCACGATAAGAGACCTGCACCAGCGGAAAAAAGCGACACAACACATAACCAACGGCACAAACAGGAAGAATGTCGTCCTTACGCTGGTGGCTTTGAAAATGTCTGTCATATTGGGAGTCGCTTGGCTGATGGCATTCGTTGACGGAATCATCTCCAACATTGTGGTCCGGTACATCTATGTTATTGTTGTCACATTCCAGGGTCTGTTTATTTACATTGCTTTTGGCAGCATACACGCCGTCTGCTATCATATAAGAAGTAAAATATGCAAGCGAATAGAAGATTCCTCAGTAACTCCTACAAAAGAGACCAAGATGTGACAACCAAACAAAACTTTGTATTCGGTCTGATTCGAATACGTACTCTGAAACTATAACTTGCTTAAACCGAACAAAGCGTGTAAAAAAGAAACATGGAAGTTCACTCAAAGCGTAGCTGATGAACAATAATAATTATTCTTGGAAACTTTTTTGGTATTAAGGATTCAATATGATTGAGCAGTCGTTAGAAACTTCTCAAAGTGTTTAAAAATCTAATATCTTTTAAGTATCGTAACGAAACATAGAAAACAATTACACTCTTATAAGATCAATTTCATTGGAGCACCAGCCTCAAGATTGGTTAGAATTTCAGAAAAAATTAAGACCAAGTTGAGGCTGAAAATTGTTAAAATTCCATCCCCTTTTAAAAAGTCCATCTCAAAAAGGAGGATTTTTTCGCTATCTAGAGGAGCTTTTTCAATAAATTTAAAAACCTGCCTGTAAATAAAGGATGGCTCACTTACATTGCTGGCAAATGGGGCCTGAGCACGCTCCTTGAGCACAATACCTACTGATTGCATTGCCTACACTTTAATAATTTAAGGACAATCAACAACAAGCTCGCAATTCAGTTTACAGGTTCTTTTAAGAAAGAATGTATAACGTTGCTGCAGTTGATGATGGAGGAAAATTTTTAAGTCAAACTGTTTCTCAGTTGCTGCTTGAATTTGGCTTTGTATCTACATATAAATAAATTCTGAAGCTGAACTATCGTGGAAGTGAAATAAAAGTATGATGAATCTACGAAAGTGCCCGTTTACGTGAGGGCGATCACCACCCCCTTTTCCTGAATGAATCCTGGCTTTAGCCCTGGTCATCATTTGAGCTCAACAATGCGTGTAGGTGAAAGCAATTGTAAATACTTGTAAAAATGTAAATTTATAATACGTGTATTCGTCTAATTTAGAAATACCATAACTAGTAGTTATCTTCTAAAGCTATTTAGTTGTTGCACGGTTTCTTGAAGTTTTCAATTGACAGCTTAGAAATCCGTGGAATGTTTTTCTTGCATAATTCTTGTTACAAAAGGATTCCCGTTTTCACGATAAACAGAATATCTGAAGATATCATTGTATCTCTTAAGATGGCAATGGTCCGGACGATTGTGACATTGGATTTGATCTTTAAATGCGGATTAATAGCAATAAATGGAATATGGAATAAAAGAATACAGGCTTTAATATGTAAAGAAAATTATTGATATACATTGTGATGATGTACTAACAAAATTAGTTTACTTCCAAGAACAGAAGTGTCTTAACTTTCTAGTAATATTGAAAACGACGTCTCAGCACCAGGGTAGAGCTGCTTAACTTCCATTTTCCAGTTTTCATTCTCTGTCTCTTCAGAACTTATGCAAAGTTTGCTAAAGCAATACTTCGGGTTATTGATGTTTATTCAGAGCTCAAGGTTGACGCAACAAACAATGTTTGAATTCACAGGGCATCCAAATTGTCGCGCAGGATGAAACAAAGTTAATTTCTGTACTGAGTTCAAACTTTACTTGACTGGAAAATCCAGGCAGAGATTGGTAAGGAACGACTGAGAATAAACACACCTAACAAAAGTAAAATAGCTTTAAGATGGCTTGTTTTCTTGTGCTTTGATAAGAAAAATTTGCTTTCCAAAAATATTGCCAAGACATATTCTATTGTATTTTTCCTTTGGTCTGTGCGATTGAAAGAGCTGTTGTTCTGCCAGTGAAAATAAATAGAATCATGAAATGAAAAAGAAATTATTGAGTGGTTGAGATGAAAACCAGTAAAAATGAGCAGCGTCCAAGTATAATAACATAATCATAAAAATTTGATAACACTTTCAATATACAATATTAACAAAATCTGATAAAAGTATAATTTAATCATCAATTAAAGTTGATATTTCTTTAACGTCGCGTTAGTCCGCTGCTCCAAATCTGAAATTCTTGCTTCCAAAATCTGCTGCAGTTCTTTTTCACGTATATCTTCTTCAGATAAGAAGTCTCTTGTCAAAGATGCTCTTCTTGATCCTCTTTCAGATGACAGGGTTGTTTCCTAGAGAGATAATGGAAATCAGAATACCCTTCTGGACAGAGTTAAATTACAAAGCGTTCGCACCATTTCGACCCTGTTTTTAAAAAGAAAATATTCAATCTTAAGAGAGAATCTTAGCAAGAAAAGTAACGAATAAGTTACGTACCCCAAGCAATTCAAACACTCTAGTTAAATCAACTTCTTCGTTATCAGAATGATCAGTCATGGCAGTGGCAGCTTTGGGCGAAATTGGCCTAAGTTCACCGATATTTGATACACTGTCTTGATCACCTTTCAAATGAAAATACCAAAATGTTCACTTTTCAAGCAATTTTAATAATCAGTTGATAGAACGATACGAACGAGAAGCTAGTAAAAATGATTAAATAAAAACTCTCCAGTCCAAAACCTTGAGTTTCTGCATCTTTTAGCTCTTTCTTTGCGTCTGAAGTTCTTTCAGTTTACTTTCGTAGGTTCTCAGGGTGTGGTTGAGTTGTTCTTGTAATGTGTTTATTCGTTCACTTGTATCGTCCTCAGGTTGTTCCCTACTGAATTATTATAAAATAAAATAGAATGCAACACCACAAAGATGGTAATTAGCTGACTGTGAGCCTATAAGACTACAGCGTTTTGAGCAGGGGCTTCTTCAAAGGGGGTTGGGGGTGCTTTAATGATGGAAGGGGGATATAAATCATGCTTAAATCGCTGAACAAATAGCCTCTACAAAGTTTTTTAGTCCCCGTTCAGAAAAACTGCAAATCGATGTTGACTTTATAAAACAATGTGAAAATGCTTGTTTTAGTTTTTCATTTGTCGTTAAAAATGTCATTTTCGAAGACTAAAATTTTGTGTTGTAAAATTTGCATGGTACGGTGGGGACTCACGAACACCATTTACTTAAAGATTAGGAGATCAATTTGTGGGGGGTCCTGCACGAGAGGGGGGACTTAAAGATTAACGGCAGATCGTACTTCAAAAATTGAAAAAGAATGAGAAAATGTTTGCAACAATATGAGCTTTGATTAACACCCTCAAGAACGTCTGGAACGTCAGGTAATAAACGGAAACTAATACCCTGGTGCAGGTAGAAAAATAAAAGAGAATAAAAGGTTATATGATTGTATTGTGAATCAATGATCATTAGCTCTCCACGTAGTTGAAGTGTCAAAGGGAGAAGGAAATCATCGATATAGACAGATATTTTTGACGTCAACAGATCCATTGCGCCTAAATGAAAGCAAGTCTGCAAGCCAAATTATTTTGAAACTCTCATCGTTGAATGTGATTTTCGCCGTGCGTTTTGAAGTTTCGAGGAATAATTGACCTATATCCAAATTTTTTGGGGGAAAGACACAATTACAAAATTAGCGCTTTTTAGTTCTTTCGCTGTTACCGATCTTTGGAAATAATTTTCCACCAAATATTCCTGGGAACACGTTTTTCTTTCATCAGCGTGTGTCAGTACATATCCAGCTTCGAATCAAAACGAAAACAAAAGACAACAAAACTACAAATGAAACACTTAAAAATACCTAGGACTTGAAATTTGAGTTTCTCTATTGTATTTTTCCCTCTCCGAGAGCTCAAAATTGACTGCTGAAAGTCGATCATGTTCATCTCGTATTGACGCTATTTCACTCTTTAGATACGTGTTTTCGTCCTGAAGAAAAAAGTTGATTCAGTCATCGATTTTAGTAATGGCATTGTTCTTAAAAATGACTTTGAAAAATAAAAAAAAGAAACATTCTTAAGCTTTTCGTCAGACACTCTTCAAAGTATAAAATGTGAGAGTATCGATCAAAGACTCTAAGCTAAGAAATATATACCCACTCGTGGATCGTAAAAGGCCAGTCAGAAACGTGAGCAAGGGACTGTTAACGTTTCCACATCAGCGCCGCTAGCGTTTTGAAAATATTACCATTTAGGTCCTAAGGTGAAAACGAACTCCTCTGTTTATACAAAGCGGCTTTTTTATGTTCATGTAGATAGATTTCAAAACTCCTCTACCAATAAACAGAGACATGTTGACATCATAGCTTTTTTGCACAAACTGGGTGTTTACGTAAATGCTGCCCAGTGACAGAATGGCATGTTTTAGTTGTTGTTTTTGATCTGCAAAACTGAGGAGGCTGTTTTACTTGGGGGAGAGTTTTGTTTCTAATGTTCGAAGGGACATGCTGTCTTATTCTATCTCCCTTTCTTAGGGTTGTGCATCCTACGTAGCCAGAATAACATTGGCACATAAACTCATAAATAACGAAACGAAATCCATTACTTCTAATGGGTTCTGAAATCAAACGAAGATTACGAATCATGTCTGCTTACTTCAAGTTGGGCCACGACTCTAGCATTGGCACCTTCAATTTCTGCAATCTGGGTCTCAAACATTCGAAGATCCTGTGAAATGCGATAATTATAATTCTTGGGATGCCCAAAGTCTATCAAAAGTGAACAAGCTTTTTACAGTGAGCAAAGCTTTAAAAATATAACAGCGACAATATGAACCGCATGCCTAGTTCAAGTAACATGCCTCGCTGTTAAAAAAAAGGGGCAATATGTAACTATGACTCAAGACAAATGATATAAATCATTGATTATACAGGTATAGCTAAACTATATTAGACACTACTTAATGTTTCCATCAAATGAAGGAATTGAAGCTACAATCCCATATATTTTTTATACGAAAGAGCCATCCTTGGGTGTGGATGGGTGTCTTACTACCATACCATCGATTGATTAAAATACGGGATGATTGCTAAAACTTACGGCAGTTGTTGACAAATGGTCCTCCACAGAGGAATCCCGTAGATGACGATTTTCGAGTCGCAGGGCTTCCAATTGCGCATTTGAGACCTTAAATGGAAATCAATCTTTATGTGGTACAGAAATTAAAAATGGCTTTGAACAAAGCAAGGATTTTGAAACATGCTACTAAAGTTTTGCGTCTGAAACTCTTCAGAGTATAAAATGTTTTTGAGCTATGTTCTGACGTCTTACCCTCTGCAGAGTGACAAACTTTAGTAACTGCTTCAAAATTTTCAAAGCCTTTTATAAAATGGAAAGTCAAAGCCAATAAGGTCTTCGATTATGAGAGAAAATGAGGGTTCGAGGAGATAAAAGGGATATTTCGAAGGCCATTAGCAAATTTGCAGCCAAAATTGCACTTGAGCAAAACCACAACTCAAAAGTACAAGTCGTAATGAAAACAACATAACACCATCGGGACCTAAAATGAATCTGGACAGATGCGTAGACACGCGTACATCTGATGACTATACAAAAGACCAGATAAAAGTATTACAGCTGCATTGCAATGTCGTATGCATACTAGAAGTTTCGTAGGGCCATTTGTGCTTAAAACCGGAAATGACCCGCCAAAATAAACCGTTGGTGCCTCAAAATTTGAAGATAGCACGGTGAAGCGAGAATATAGCACGTGAGAGTTAAGCGGCCGCTGAATGGTTAAATACAAGGAACCAATGAAATGCGTTTTTCCTCCTCTCAAGTTTTTGTCGATCCGCATCCCAGGATACGTCTCCTGGTTACCCTTGGACGTTATCCGACGTTTATACTCGTGTCGGACGATCAGCATTTAAGTATAAAACGACACTTCTGGTGAACCGCGCCCTCAAGACTGACGGAACAACGGCGATAAAACATATGAAAATGAATTGAAATGAAAAGGTATGGTGAACATAACGGCGCACAAAAATTATTTGACGAAGACGGAGAGGAAAGCTAGCCGAGAAATGGCCAAAAAGTTGAAAGAAGCCCACCGGTTAAGAGGCATTGACTTGGAGCGACAATTTTGAAGTGACAATCTTAGTAACTTGCCTGTAATTCCGCTTCCTTTTTGTCGTGCTTTGAGCTCATCTCTCGCAGATCTTCTTCCATTCTTCCAGCTCTTTCGCTCATCTTTGCCAAGGCAACATCTCTTTGGAAAAAAAAGTTTAGCGAAGGTTTAAGCTACAGCAACCTTTAATCAGCACTTTTGGCAAAAGGGAGGGAAATCGTTAAAACGACTCTAGTTTGAAGAGATGAAGGTCGTGGAGGCTTTGGTTTGCTAAAAGCTGAAGTTTCGAAAATCGATGCACTGAAAGCTAGCTCAAATTATGACTAGTGAAAAGAGAACACTATGGGGCGTGGTTGTGGAAAGTGTGAACTGTTTTCAAACGTTGTCCATTTTGGGTTAGATTTATGAATCGGACGGCAGTTCTGAGGTAGCTCTTATGGGAACTAGTTCTAGCATTGAAAATCGAGGTCATTAGGGACAAGAGGCGTTAAAAAACCCCATTACCCCATTTTTACCTTTTGTGGAGATCTTCTGTCAATGATGAAATTTGCGTCTTCATTCCCGTTAGTTCAGCAGTATGCCTTTCTTCCTTCTCCTGCAACTGTTCAAATTTCATTTTATCACATTTCAACAAAAATACCGTATCAGCTAAGAAATAAAAAGCTTTCTCTATATACTCATTAATTATTATAAATCTGCTGGTCTTCCTGGAGATCGTGCTTCGGGAAGGATGCTAATTTTGCAGGAACTCCTTTATTTTTTTTGAATATGGTAATCGTGGGGCTAACTTTGATTTGAAATCCAATAACAAGTCTCCCTGTTAAGTTTTTAAAGGGGTGAGACCGTTCATTATGTTATAGGTCATCACGTCGCTGTCAAATTTTGAGACTGAAAACGAAATGCAACTCCACTCGTTCAAAAATAAGATTATAAAAAACTCACAGAGGCACGCCGGAGCCGCGGAGATTGTGGCATCAAAGATAATGGTGGCAAACTACGTAAGCAGCCCCCCACTTTCCTAGAGCCCCCCCCTACCCACACTCTAAAATGTGATCCGGCGTCGTCCCTGTCACACATAGATTACATTTTTCGGAGAAAACTGACCATGAAAGAAGTATGATGTGAGTAGAGTTTTCCCGTGCTAATGGTTAGTTTGAATAAATAAATCATGGGTTCCTTAATCTTTCTATCTTGACTTTGACGATTTCAAACTACATTAAAGACTGTGACGCTACACAAGGCACTTTAGATGCTGTCAATAGCTTTGTTCATGTAACTAACAAATATCACATGAGAAAGTTCAGCCTTAGCTGAGTTCAGCAAGTCCGGAATTTCAACTCAGCTGACAGTGTTTACACGACAAAATCTTTACACGGAATAAGCTCCACACAGCATTTTAACCCGGGCTAAGATTACAGGAAAAGCAATAATTATCATATAATGTGACCTGATCTCGACATATGTTGAGATTTGCTACGTAAGTGCACAGCCAACTAAGTGATTGATAAGTTCTCAGCTCATGCTCAACATAGCACGAGCTGAAACTTTTCATGTAAACAGCCACTAACAAATAAAAAATTACCTTCTCCTTAAATTCATTTTGAAGACTAAGGTATCGTCGCTCGAGTTCTTTAAACCTGAAATCAGGAGTGAGCAGGTCAAAGGGGGTTTGAGACACGCATGAAAGAGGAGCGCAATGAAATCACCAGCTGTCTTTGTAAGGTTGCTCTTCGCCTGAAACCGTCATTAAAAGCTGCGCGCGCCAACCTCTCATAAGTAAACACTGGTGCCCAGTCAAGCCGCTATATTTTTCGATGCAAACTTCAAGAAATACATCCGCTTTATTGTGATTTTTTCAAATATCAACTGAATTTTGAAGGGCTGAGAATCTGAAATGGGCAACAATAATGTGCTGCAGCAAGACGACTGACCAAGTATATCATTAGTGTAGATAATGTCTCTAGTCTGCTCAACAGTTGACTAATCGAAAGAATGGGCAGCCATAGAAGAAAAAATTTCAATTTTAAACATGAGGAATAAAGATATGAAAAAAGAAATCCTCATAATTTATGCAAAAATATTACAAGAAATCTTCTTACAGGTTTTCTACGGCATTTCAAGCATTGTGATTGAACAACAACAGCAAAGCCGTTTTTTGTGAAGCACTGACTCATATTTAAGCAACTCTTCCTTGTGATGAAGAGAGCTAAAGGGAATATACAGTTCCAACCCACCTTTCTTCGTGTTCCTTTGACTTACCAAGAATACTGTCTTCTTGGCGCGATCTTATTCTGCAACAAAAGAAAAGAAACCGTGGGTTATTAAGAAGGGACAGTAGCAGGATGTGATGAGTTTGCGCATACGCTGAAAAATACGTTAAAAATAGCGAAAAGCATTCGTTAAAAAATTGTCAGTATCAGGGGTATTGTGTTATTGGGGCTGGGGTGGCTGAGCCCCTCTTGATAAAGACAAAATGTGGCAAATTTCCACTAGAAAATAATAGCTATAACCTATAAGTAAAGTAACAGGTGTCGAGTGTAGCTGCTCGAGTTAAGGAAACAACGCAAATTTGCATTGTAACTTGCAGTAACTATCCATGTTTTCGGGTGTAGTGATCAGAGCTTTCGCTTCCTAAGCACTGACGCAATAATAGCTGACAAAGAAAAAGAGGAACTTGGACATAAAGTAAGAAGAAAGAAGGCTGCCTTGAGAAAAAGAAGTGTGGAAACTGTTTTGTTGTTAAAAAGGGCCTAATCATGTGCTCACATATTATACGTTCTACTCCATGGCCTCGTGCTCGACAACTAACTCTAAGTACTGTTACGTCATAATATGTTATTTTATTCAAAACATTGCAGAAACAACAGGTGAATTGAAGAAGATCGACAAGAAAATCAACTGCTTGAAAACTAGGATTTGAGAAGCCAGCCTCAGAAGTTTGGGAAAATACCAATGATTATTGTATCGCATTGACATAAAAAATGCGAGAAAAGACAGAAGGGTTAGGTTAAACAAATTTATACACAAATGTAAAAGCAACTGTGAATAGGATAAATCACAAAGGCATATGATCTACAAATAAGAGAAGACTAGTACAGGTAGAAATCAAAGGCAACAGTAAAAGTTTAGGTAGCTAAAGATACATTTGTAGTGAGATGATTCCGTACGTAATGAAGGAAAAGAAATGAAGGATATATCCAAAATTAGGATAGTAATATCAAAGAATGTGTAAATAGCTGCCGTACTTTGAAGAGCATATTATAAGCACTTGATAGTGAGTGCTTTTGGAATTTTCCACATATACTTCCAGCTTAGATTTTCATCCAAGAAACGACTAAACATCGCATTCATGAAAATTGTCGAGGAAAGAAATAGTCTGTCTGGAGCTTTAGTGACAAATACGAAGTATTTACTAATAACTAAAGTCATTTTGATACATTTCCTTTTGGTACAATACGTCAGACAAACGTTGACATTATTGTGAGATGGCAGGGAAAAGCATTCACACAATTTTTGTGGATAGTTTGTAGCTTGCTTATTAAGGCTAGAGTTATAGTCCAGAGGGACAAGGGGGTGCATTACCACCCGACGAGAGACTTTACCAGACTAACTTTTTCTAGCTCAGTTTTTGGTGTAGAATTCAAATCTGGATGTTGATCGGGCGGAAGAGGAGGCTTTTCCGAGATACAGGGGGTTTTGTCCAAAAACTGGGATGGAACCTGTGAATGAGCTGTCAACAATCACCCAAAGAGAAACTTTACCAGACCAACTTTTCTAGCTCAGTTTTTGGTGTAGAATTCAAATCTGGATGTTGATCGGGCGGAAGAGGAGGCTTTTCCGAGATACAGGGGGTTTTGTCCAAAAACTGGTATAAAGCTGCTGAACGTCCTATAAATAGACCAAGCTTATTTCTCATGCATATTTAGCAAATGAATCACAGCCAGTGGACATAGACTAGCAATGTTGTCAGAACTGGGGCTCAGGAAGAGGGATGAAATTAGGGTCATCTGCTTTTGGAAAAGGATATATTGAATCAGTTTGGTCTGTGACTTAACGAAATTAGCGATATCGAACCACAAACACGATGCACGACAGACAAAACTAGTTGTATGACAGTACGAAGCCAAGGGCGGGCAAGGGGGGGGGGGCATTGCCCACCTAACTATAATTTTTTGTCCCTTTGTGCCCGTCCAAAAACTTAGGAAACGGGGTCATCCTACATCACTGTCCAAAAAAAGTCGGTCTCCACAAAGTCTGTGCATCTGTGCATTCATGGTGAAAACCCATATCGACTGTGGACAAGACCACACCGAGGGGCAAATCACTCTTGATCAATTTTTGATTAAATCAATTTTCTGAAAAGCAGCATAAGCAAAATATTAAATCAATATGGTTTTCTACATCATGGATGCAGGGTTGACAATAGCCTGAAGTGGAAAACAGTGGAAAGTTGTTGAACACCTTGTAAGAGACATTAAGGCAAATGCACGTGCTCTGTTCTGTGGGCCGTCTACTTTTGTCATAAGAAATTGAATATTCATCAAAAAAAGCTATCTTTTCTGAACAGTCGCATTAGCAACATGAATACAAATAGACAGCGTAGAGTTGTTGAGCAACTTGCAAAAGACATTAAGGCAAATGCACGTGCTCTGTTCTGTGGGCCGCCTACTTTCGCCATAAGAAATTGAATATTCATCAAAAAAAGCTATCTTTCCTGAACAGTCGCATTAGCAACATGAATACAAATAGACAGCGTAGAGTTGTTGAACACCTTGCAAAAGACATTAAGGCAAATGCATGTTTTCTGTTGTGTGGGCCATCTACTTTCATCATAAGAATTTGAATATGCACCAAAAAGCCACCTTTCCTGAAAAGTCGCATTAGCAACATGAATACAAATATACAGCGTAGAGTTGTTGAACACCGTAGAATGAAAACAGCGTAGATTCGTTGAACAACTTGTAAAAGACATTAAGGCAAATGCATGTTTTCTGTTGTGTGGGCCGTCTACTTTCGCCATAAGAATTTGAATATGCGTCAAGAAAGCTATCTTTTCTGAACAGTAGCATTTGCAACATGGTTGCAATAGCCATTCATTCATTAATTTTCATTTTATAATATTTATACAGGTTAAAGGTTCATACATATATGTTTTTCAACCTGACCTGTTTAAAAGATTAAATAAGCGCTAATAAATATGTTATAATACTAATAACAAAAGAAATTTACCAACCAAACCTAATTTACAATATTTAATAATACTAAGGCTATAAAAAGTGAACGTAAAGATGAAATAAAAGTTGCTAAAAACGATAAATGGCCAAAAGGCTTTTTCTTATCGCGGTCCAAAACTGTGGAACGGTCTAGAAACCTTCATAGAACAACTATAGCCTGGAATGAAAACATTGAACAGTTGTTGAACACCTTGTAAAAGACATAAAGGCAAACGCATGTGCTCTCTTCTCTGCCCCTCGCAAGTAATATAGCTATTGGATAATGACGCTGTCATTCCTAAAATAGACCAAGTGGGGAAGGGGGTAGGGTCCCCCTTCGGGGAGGTAAGCTCCGTTGGTTGGATCGGAGATAATTTTGGGGCGCTGATACTGAAAACCGATGTTTTACAGACAGGTTGGGGGCCTTCAGCCTCTATTTCATAGTAAAGTCCGTTTTCAATCAAAATAGACGTAGTTGCTTTGCAAGGGTCCACCCATAGTCCTTTCAATAGACTATGGTCCACCCTTCCGGGAACTATCTAAAATTCATCGGGTTTAGATAATTTTGAGATGCTGATTTTAAAAATCAATATTAAAAGGGCGTATTAGGGGGCACAAAATGTCCCAATTTAGTGCGATAGAATGATAATCAGGAGGTACTGATTGCTTGATTACATACAAAATGTAGAGCGCAGCTTGCAAAAAACTAAGAAAAACTGTAATACCAATTTTAGCTAGATCGTTCTGGGCATTGTGACACAATCTTATGTCGTCAGGAGCTTTTCGTTTGGGTAGAGTGTCCGAAGTACATGGGCGGTTGCCAGTATAGAAAAGATAAACAGTATTCTCTCCAATTAACAAACACTCTAAAAGACGGACACCTCTGATTAGCGGACAAATTTTTTTCCCCGATCGTTTTCTGGTCAAAGTCTCATAAGAAACTTTCTAAAAAGCGGACACTTAATTAGGGGACACTCTAATTAACGGGGAATATTGTTTGCACAAAATAGTCAATTTAGCTTTATTTCTTTCCAATTAGCGGACAGTACAAAAAATTTAGGAGCCAGCGAACAAAAAGATGAGACGAATGAATATTTGTTCAAATATTTGTTTCAAACAGGAGCTTCCGACAGGGGGGGCTGAAATATCTAAAATATGCAGTTTTCGTACGTTATTTTGCCAAATTTGCTCCGACAATAACCTAAAATTTCCTCCGAGATGGGGGGCTAGGTGCTTCCGACGGGGGGACTGTAGCCCCCCTAGCCCTCCCCTGGCGCCACCACTGATTACACCTTTTAAATACAAAACTCGGGTCTATTTTCAAATTTCGGACTTAAATTGCAAAACTTTCCAAAAGGCGGACACTTCCAATTAGCGAACACTTGGCGCTTGCCCCGACGGTGTCCGCTAATTGGAGAGAATACTGTACAACCTTTTCTTGTGGGTTGGTAAGGTTAATGTAACGACACAGGGTTCCCTTACAGACAGTATCACGTGACAATTGCATCATTGCGCTGTGTCTCATTGTATCATTGCATCAGCGTCTGTAAATATTTTTTGTATTACGTAATTATTATTTTAAGGTTTGCTTACGTTATATAAAGGGTTGTTTCATAAGTTAGAAGTAGTCTTGTCGAAAGTTTTGCCGTACTGCTTGGAGCTCTGTCGCTAGTTTTGTCGTGCCTGTTGAAGCCGTGTCGTTATTTGTCGAACTTGTTGTTAGCCGTTAGTCGTATCATTGCCATAAAAAGAAGAATTTCGATTTTGTCCGCCGTTGCCGTATTTTTGAGCATTTCTGCCTAGAACGAACTCACGTTTGTAAAACCCCATTCTAATTAAGGTACTGAGGAAGTGAATTGATGAGGAATATAACATCTGTCTCCTGGAAGATCTCGGAGATAGCGTGGAGTTTTCGCTAAAGTTTTTATCAACTTGGCATGAATGTGCGTGGTCTCTTCTCAGTTGCCAACTGCTTCAATTCTGTTGCTATAGCCTAATGAATGCGTCTACTTTACCTCCGTTCATCACTATACCGAGTTTTCCAAAAGAAACAAAACATGAGTGTGGCCGAATTTTGCACCAAGAAAAAGACATTTTCTTCAATTGTGGCGTCGAAAGATGCAACAAATATGAATTTTTCGTTTCGAAAATAGTTTTATTGGGTCAGCAAAGAAGTCCTGAGCAATTTTGAGATGTAGCACTTGTCAAAACAATGAGAAATAAGCGAGAAAAAATATGGTAAAGATTTTGGACTCGTTTGATGACGTCATTTTCGCAATATTTTTAGAGATCATATCTTTTGACAGGCTTATTTTATAACATAGGTTTCTTATGATTTTTTGTTTATTTTTGAATGTTCTTTCGAGCAATACCATTGGTTTTAAGATTAGATGAAAAAAATGTTTAATGACCACAGGAACAAAGAAATGATTTAACACGTGACTACCAGCCCCCCTATTTTTAGGGCCCCTGACGGATTTTGAGTAAAGGAGCTACCAGGATCACATATCAAAAGACAAAATTCCGTTTGCCCTATTTCCTAGATTATTCATAGAATTTCCGTTAAGTATTAGTAACTTACTAATAGTAAGACACTTTTTGTACCAAAACTAGGCGAATTTTTCAAAGTTTTTATCATAAAAGGGGGGCATCCAATTCAGTTATAAGCAATAACAAAGCAAAATGAGAAACCAGCATATTGTTGAACAGAACTTAAAACAAATTAAATGTAAAACTAAATGCATCGCATTCATACCGGGCCGTGACGCTGAAGGTGATGATCCAGTTCTGATTTTCATAACTTAGTGAACATATCCTCGGTAGTATAGTGGTGAGTATCCCCGCCTGTCACGCGGGAGACCGGGGTTCAATTCCCCGCCGGGGAGGATAAAATTTTTTTCTTTTTCTTCCAATTACAATCAATAACTTAATTTCTTATAATTGAAGAAGAGGCAAGTTGTAGATCATAATTTTTTAAAACCACATCTACACTTGTAATCCAGAAATATGTACTCCAGTGAGTACACTTTTATTTTATAAGAAACAAAGGTCGATGTTGAGTACTCCAGTTGTTATGAAATATTCGTGACTTTTCTTATCACGTCAAGAGATTCGCTTCCGTTCTGATGCTGTATTTAGATGCGGGAAGTAAATTTTATCCCTTGTGTGTTAAGTTCTAGGCCAACGAGGCAATCATGTTCTTAGATTTTACAAAATTTCGTTGTTCTCAGTTTTATAACGATTTAATAGTTTCTTAATCTTTTTGCTTCGAGTACTAAAGTTTCTTAATACCTTCTGACCGCCCTGTACTCGTTTCTTATAGCCAGTTTCTTATAAAAAAATGAGTGTATTGGATTATTGGTTTTGAGTAACGATGTTAATTTTTTTCATAACTTTTTTTCCGTCAAACGGATCCAGAATTGGAATCGTCTCGTTGAAAGTAGTCTCTGCCGAAAATTTCATGTTGTTTGGACATTCAGGCCGTCTTCAAAATTTAGCTTTTAAAAATTTGCTGCTTCAGTAAAAAAAATGACCATACCCTAGGTACTGTAACGAGAGAAAATCGTTAACACAGTGTCGAAAGATCAGTTTAAATTACAGCAGGCTTGAAAGATTGTAGAAAGTAAGTTTTGAGGAAAGTAAGAACGGGAAGGTTGTACTACATATCTCTATTTCCTAAAAACACAGAGACAAATTAAGTTGGAATCAAATTAAGGTAACGATCCAATACAGGAATAGGAAATTTAGGTACCTAGGGTCACAATAAGATCTATCACTGGTCACTCAAATGACGTTAGTTCACTGGTCGCATTTAGCAAAGAAAAAATTTAAGGCGTAAAAACGTTCTAGCTCAGTTTATTTCCCACCAAAACTTTTCTTGTATCTTCACAGCACAATGACGCTAATAACACCAAAGCTCGTCGCAGGCTAAGGCTTAGTGGCTTAGCTAAAGCTAATGCATACCTTTTATATGGTTTAGCAGTTTAGAAAATGAGGTATGCAACGAAGTTTTTCTTTAACTTAGATGCTGACACCGATGTCCGTCTTTAAAAATGGGGACGATAAACACGCTTCCTACTCTTTGAACAACATAAAATGTTCGGCTAATAATGGAAGAACAAAGTCAAAAGCTTCTTCTAATCATGCCTCCACTGTAAAAATACCTTCTATTTTGTTCTTATTACAGTATTACTAAACTAAGTCTTAGTACGCATATCCTGATAACTGAAACAGGAACATATAACAATGTTCTGCGAAATTAAAGATTCTGTCTTGCAGCCTTCCAATGGAAAACACAAGTTGCTAGTCGAACAACTACTACTGCCATTGTTTGCTTGAGAAGAAAGAAACTGGCAGTTGCTACCCAAAGTGCAGAAGATGTGTAGAAAATGTGTAGAAACGACACCCACTCCAGAACATGCATTTCACTGCAGCACAGTAGCAAAAGTAAAGCAATTTGAATTCACCAACTTAGGCGAAGCACTGTTGGAAGATCCAGATGCCGTTGCTACATTCTTAAATTCGCAAAATGGCTCAGTTTGAAGACTCACGGGATACGACAGAAAAAAAGATCTATTGACCACCTTGCAAGTGAGGACTCGATCAATATCTTCATAACATCATCAGGTTTAAACTTATTTTCTTTAAACTCCCTTTAACCAGTCTTTTAGATGATTAAATAATAATAGTTTCTCACGTGGCAATGTTAACCTTAGTTGCTGAAACAATAAAGTTGTAAAAATGCTGCTGAATGTTTTTTTTGAACTGAATTTGAATTTAATTGAATCTTGAATCAAGAAGATAGCGACTGAAGTTATACTTTGGCGAAGTTACAATCCTTCAGCAGCACCCGGCATCTGCATATCGACTAGGGTATGACAAACGTCTAAGGCAAGTGCACAGTGCTTCGACAGAGGCGACTATAAGGCCATTCGTGCATTCGAAAACCTCAGGGAGACGCAGTGCAACGGCGAGACTATAAATATCGTCCTTCTTACACCGAAAATCCACCAAACATTCACTCTCATCCATGTCCTCCAGAACAAAACGATCGTAATTCCGGTATGGCAGCATACCGTGAACGTTATTTATCCTATTGGCAACATCAAAAATTAGAACCTCTTCAGCATCCAAAAGTCCTGTAGCATGCAGCATTATTAGGTCGTCCGCCATTTTTGATACAAATTTGATTTTGGCGCCAAAGCTGCGTACTACAAACTAGGTCGTGATTCGTAACATGTTTTGTGACTACGGGGAGACAAAACTAGTGCACAGACCTCTTTGAGTAGCCGTAGTGACCTACGTAGTGGATCGTAAACTCTCTAATATCAGTTTCATACCGTCTACGTTGAACTTGCTTTTATCGGCCATCACTCATTAACACCTTGCAATATCTAACAATTACATATTTCATCTTGACAGGCTTAAATTTTTCTTTTGTAAATCACAATCACACGACAGATTCTGTTTCAAATCTTTGGTAAGCAGTCAACTAGGCCTACAGACCAACTTATGAAAATAAATAAATAAAAAATGCCAAATTAGGATAAAAGAAACCAATAACTATCACATATTTTTCGACATGAATTGAGCTACATACCTTTCTGCGTCCGATTCGAATTTCTTTTGTTGCAATTGGATGCTTTGAAGGTCATTCTCAAGCACTGATATTTGATTTTCTCTCTTCTGTAAAGATAAAATATTGACAGGAATTCTAATAATAAAACTGAACTTGCACAGCATATGCCAAGAACTAAATTTTTGATAAACAAACCAAATATATACAAACTGAAAAGTCATTTTCGCAAGATACTTAGGCTTAGAGATGGCTTTGGTTTTCTCAAATTTCTCAAAAATTCCATGGCCTTATGATATAATAGATTTGTTTGCCTTAAATTAGCCTAATTTGCCTAATTAGAGTTAAATTGGCTTAAATTTTCAAAATATGTTATGTTCGTTATTTGAATTACTGGGTACAGTTAAAAAATGATAACCAACTGGTTCTATTCCAATCAGGGGTGGAAGAAAATTTTTTCTTGCTGGGACTGCAGTTAATAAAACAAATATTTTCTGCACCGGAAATTGCTATACACGATTGGTGCCTATAAAGCATTCTGTAGACAACAATCCTTTCACTTAACCCTTAAAAAGATTATTCTGATCTAAGCTGCTTCTTTTGATAATCTTGTTTACAAAGCAACCAAATGAAAATTTTGATTGCAGTTCCTAATGATTCAATACATTCATCCCTAATTATGCAGCAACATTTTACTTGGTCGCAGAAGTTTGTCAAGTTTACACATTGCATTTCACATCAATGCAGGGCTTTTCTCCTTTTTGTATATCATCATTTACTAATCATTGCTGACTTATTTTTCGATTTTCGTTTTCCCAAATACACTTTCTTGATTTTGAAAATCCTTTCTTTCTGTAAAAATTCTGCGTTTTGATTTTATTCTGAGACCCAAAATATTTCCTGGAGCCAATTGCGACCAATTGGTCCTGTGGTCCGATACTTATTCCTTTACTAATTTCGATTTTAAACAAAAGTTCAAAATAGAGGAAATATGCAGCAAAGCTCCTTAAGCTGTCAACTGCTGTTCAGAAAGTTTCCTAATATTAAAACATGGTGCTGGTTAACTTTACGTTAATATGGATTAAAGAAACGGAAAAATAATTGATTAAGGGTAGTCCCTTAAAGGACACGTGACGTAAACCTGGTTGGCTAATGCAATACAATTCTTCTTTTTTTCTTTAGTAGAAAGCACGGAATCGAGGATGAATTTTCAGGGCAGCAGAAATTAATTAAGCAAAAATTAAAAATCACAAAACAATGGAATTCCACTCCAACACGCCAACTTATTAAGCGACATACGCCCTTCAAAAAGTAGTTCTTGATAGATTTGACGACAGAGTAAAATTGCTGAGTTGGCACCCTCCCTACTTATAGGCCGGATAATTTTATTCTTGATTTGGCCCGTTTGTGTTGTAAAATATCAAAGAAATGGCCGATCTTGAAATAAAAAATGGAAATGAAATGCAGGACCAATCTTTCTCTGACCCCGTGATCGATAAACGACGTAATTTTAACTGACAAACCTGAAGCTGAGCTTTTGTACCTTCCATCTCTTCCCGGAGATGCATTTGTTCCTTCCACCCGTTTTCCTCACGAAGCCTGCTCTCTTGCAAAGATCTTTTTAAACTAAAATTGTTAAAAAACGATTCTAAAACGCATATTTATACTTTGTGGCTATCTTCTATTTCTAAGACCCAGACTTTTGTTTTGTATTTAGATGATGAAGAAGATTTGAAAGATCAAAAACAAATTCATCTTTTCGACCCCAGATCATTCTGGTCTCACGTATGCTACATAGTTCCAATCAATTTTTTTTGCAAGTATGCATTTACTTTATTTGCTGATATCTAGGCTGAGAGCTGGGAAAAACAGAGCTTGAATCATTCATATTTTCTACATATTTTCTAACCAGGTATTAGGTTTTGCGAAAATTTCATAACAAACCAAACCAAACCAGTTTTAAAGCTGGCAACAAAATGATATGTCGAAGAAGTTAAAGGCGTTCAGCATTTCATTTAATATACAAAGAGAAAAACTGAAAATAGGCCTAAGTTTTCAATATTTGCGACGTTATTGTTTCTGCAAAAATAAAAAAAGAATTTCTTCAATGCCTCGAAATCAATTATAAGAGGAGTTATAAAAAACCCTCAAACCTACAAAATAATAATTTTTGGATCTCATAAAACAATAATTTGAAATGATTTTGAAAAGATATGAAGACTAAAATAGACAAAAGCATCTTCTACGGTAAGGCTTGATATACCTTTTAACTGTTTCCTCCTGAACGTTGAATTCATCGTTGTACCGCAATATCTACAAAGAAAAGAGTTTGTTTTACAAGGTTTAATTAATATGATGAGAAAATAGCAACAATCGAATAAATATCTACGTGAAATTCGGAGTTGCAACTTAGAACCGTCTTGTTCGAGGTATATACAAAAGCACAGCCTTAATGCATCTACCACTTTACATTAGACCAGTGAAACAGTAATTCTCATTAAATACTTATCTACATTTAAACACTTGTATGTAAACATTCTATTGTGGTACAGTGGCTTTGAAAAAAGGAAACATTTTGAAACAACTTAAGCTTTTCGTTTGACATTCTTCAGACTTTAAACTGTCAGAACATAGATCGAAAACTCTACGCTAGGGAAGCTTAGGTGTGTTTCAAAATGCTTTCAATGTCATTTCAAAATATGTGTTAAGAATACAAAACAAATTACAAATACACATCCATAAAAAAACAGACTACGATGTAGAAACAGACTGAGAGCAATCACTATAATCATCAAAAGAGCAATTATTTAAAGATGTATTAGACTTAATTTAAAATAAATAACCTCGTTTTCTAGTTCTGCGATTTTAGCAACATGCTTCTGTTCTAAACCCTCCAGCAGTTGTTTTTTCCGAGCTAGCTGTCCTTGGTAGCTTACCAACTGGTTCTAAGAAAAAAATAACCTTAATGAGAAACATTATATATAAAAACGGCTCTTACAAGGTATAATAGATGTTACTTTAGAAACATTAATGCGAAAATTGCATTAAAAGGTCGTGAGATCCTAATCAACAGGTCTGGTATGCATGCATGCCAGGCCTAATAAGGAATCGAGGCTATGTCAATCCCACGTGGCTGTCGTGACATTCCGCTACGGATTCATTGCGCGTGAAACATGATGCAGTAAACTATAGAGTATCGAAGTGTGACGTCAGCAAAATTCTATTTTTAGAATTTCTTAAATTTGGCCCCAAAATCTGAAAGAACGGCATAAAATACCTCTCAATGTGCAAAATTAGCTAGATACGTTCCAAATTGGGCGAGATATGGCCAACAGAAGATTTGCTAACGGATTTCTGTTATTCTGGCCTGGTTCATAAAGTTATGAACCAAGACCAAATTACAGAGGTTTGATGGGGCAAGAGCCTGTGCTAATGTGGCCATATCTCAGCAAATTCATAATGCCTTTAACTGATTTTGCATATTTAGAGGTATTTTATGTTGCTCTTTTAGGTTCTGGGATTAAAATTCAGAAATTCTAAAATATATATTTATGACGTCATCACTTCGGTACTCTATAGGCAGAAACAACGCACGGCGACGGGGGGCCATCCAATGTAAATGTAATGTAATCGGAAAAAACCAAAGATTTAAAAGTTCTTGTTAACTTCTGCTTAATTTTTTAAAAAACTTTAGTTTTTCAAATGAAATATTATATATATTGGATTGTTCCTCATCGTTTTGTGTTGTTCCTGCCTACCGTTTTTTGCCATCACGTTACCAAAGCAAGATTTAAAGAATCAGGCGGATAGCCTTAACCCGGCGTTTCTTCCTTCTGGCATAAATATAAAGTACTTAGTGCTCCTTGCCCCCGGGAAAGCTGTCATTTTGTGAAACACGGCAGGATCTCGGTACCAGTTCGCGGTCTTAGATACAGCAACTGGGTTAAAGGCAGTCTGTCCCCTATTGTGCTCGATTTTATTTTCACGGGAGTGAAATTAACGCACCGTTGAGCTTGATCGATAACTAAACGATTTAAACCAATCAGAGACAACTTTGATTTTGAATCAAATGGCTGTGTGTCCGTTGTAGTGAAGCTGTGGCTAGAAAGATTTGGTTCCCTGTTTGGTTTCTGCGACAGATATTTCAACAGGGCAAATAAATGCTTCCATAATCATCATTCAATTCCAGTAATTAGATCTTCTTACCACTTCCGATAGCCTCTTTGCTCGCAATTTCAAATGTCGTCCACTACCGCAGCTAGGCTAGCCAAAGCGAGCACCGCAATCCGTTAAGGCAGAATAAGCTATTGTTCATATTAGCCAATCATTGAGGGGACGGATTGCCTTTGGGGTTCAGTTTCAATTTTTTTTATTTTTCAAATAATCCAAAGAGGGAAGCCCTTTAGCGAATGCTGGTTTACAAAGGGCCCCCCATTTAACTTACAGTATCATCTAAAATGTATACAGAACTAATTTACAATACGTCAGGGTGTATATTAGAGTTAGGTAAAAAAAGCGAAGTCTTCTGCAGTAAATAGTGGGTGAAACCCGTAGTGGTCCAGCATGATACAAAACATCGTACTGTGGAATCGCATATCCTAACAACTGAATCAGCTCAACTTGCCAAATCAGGTTGAAATGCTTTGCTCCAACGCTATCTCTAATGTGAAACATTTGCTAAAAGGTCGATTTGGTCAACTTGAGCAATTGGCACTTGAGTTTGCCAACTTTGTGTAATCAAGCGCCATTCTCACCTGCATTAGTTCACTCTTTTCGATGAACGCACCCCTTTGCTCTTCAAGTCCTTTGAGTTTTTGGTCTTGTACTTCTTGATTTACTTCTAACTCTCTTAATTTGCTCTGCAGCTTCTAGATAGAAAAGAATTGATAAAAGCTCATTTATCTGCTGAAGCATATTCCAAAACTCGAGAAACACAAAAGTCATAAATATTATCCCCAAAAAAAGATGGCAGCAAGGGAATTTAATAAATAGGACACAAGGTCACGGTTCCAGCAAGAATAAAGTCAAAAACCAAAAAATAGAACAAGTACGTAAGTAAATGTTAAACGTCGATGGTACAACCAAGCTAAAAGCTTTTACAGCCTGGTTCATAAAATCAAACAGGTAAAGGAAAATATAATTTTAAAAGATAACATTAGGAAATTATTTACATCAAACACCAAATAAACGTTTACAAAATTAATCAACAAATTTGCGAACAAAAATTGTTAAATTTTCATCCTTAATTCCATAAAGACATTCAAACGAAAGGAAAATAAACATTTTTTGTGTTCGCTGATCAATTTCAGAACAATAGCGGCAAAGTATAAAATTGTCAATAATATAAGAAACAGACATGTTTTAGACAACTGGCGTGTTGTATAAGATTCCGAATATATGTTTAAGATTCCGAATATATGTTTAAGATTCCGAATATATGTTTAAGATTCCGAATATATGTTTAAGATTCCGAATATATGCTTAAGATTCCGAATATATGTTTAAGATTCCGAATATATGTTTAAGATTCCGAATATATGTTTAAGATTCCGAATATATGTTTAAGATTCCGAATATATGTTTAAGATTCTGAATATATGTTTAAGATTCCGAATATATGTTTAAAATTCCGAATATATGTTTAAGATTCCGAATATATGCTTAAGATTCCGAATATGTGTTTAAGATTCCGAATATATGTTTAAGATTCCGAATATATGTTTAAGATTCCGAATATATGTTTAATATTCCGAATATATGTTTAAGATTCCGAATATATGTTTAAGATTCCGAATATATGTTTAAGATTCCGAATATATGATTAAGATTCCGAATATATGTTTGAGATTCCGAATATATGTTTAAGATTCCGAAACACCCCGGAGAAATACGCGCTCAATGGTGCTGCTGGAAATGTTAAGGCTCATATAAAAATTAAGAATGATTTTGTTAATTCGTCAACAATGCAATAACTTCTTCAATTAACAAAAGAAAGGGTCAGTAAACAAAAAAACATTATTGAAAATGATAACTTATCAGTATGTTCATTAAACTGCTTATTGGCAATTTTTGTTTCTCAAATGGCTGCCCCTCGATACTACGTCATCTACACAGCTCGACATGGTTAAAGGTACTTGTGTGACCGCCATGCTTTGCGATTATATTTCAAAAAGCTGCCGAATAAGGCATCTGTAAACTGTATGGTGCCTTTTAAAAAAGGAAATCGACCAAATACTATCCGGGCCAGGTCATTTAGATAACTGAGATAACTAAGATAAACAGTTTCTGATCTATCGACCATTCTAAGAAAATCTTGCTATTTTCCTGCTGGAAGCTATCACAACTGCAAAAATAGTCAAAAATCGCAGTACATTTCTATTTTATAAGAATACCCTTAAGTATTTTTGAAAATTTACTTTCATGTTGACAAAATAGGGCAGATTTTATCAGCAAATCGACCACGTTTCTAAAAATGTCTTGGAGATCTGTTACTTAGTGGTGTTCGAATCAATTTATAGTACGAAGTTGTAGAAAAATCAATGTTGAAATAAGAACAATGTTCATGAAAAAAGATTGCAAAACAAGAAAGTTCATTTTCTTCTTTAAGTCAACCCTTTTGCAAAATTTGACGAGAATAGCAAAAGAAAGAACTTTTCCCCTTGGTAGATACATCAAGTAACGACTCCTATAAAAAAATTTATTCTTAGAGGATAGCTTCAAACGAAAATGCTTACACAATCGACACGCAACAAAACAATTTCTTCTGTTCTCTCCAGTGTCTTGAAGGAGTTGTAATAGCAGGAAGTTCAAATTCAGATTCAATTATAAACCAAAATAATGGGATACAATAATAAACAGGTTAGGATAGAGAAATTTTCCAGGAAGTATTTCAGTACATTTTTTCATTGCAGAAAATAAATTTTGTTGCCTCCAGAAATAAAATGACTCCCTGCTCTAAAAGACCAGTTCACTCATGTTCCAAGTTCCAAGAAGGAAGTGTTGCATGGCAACTAGGTGGTTTCCCGTGAATAAGGTATTCCCCTAGGCCTAAAAGTAAGAGCAAGAACGATATCCACATTTTCGGTCATTTCCAGTCTGATTTTTAAATGGATCACAACGGATTTGGACCAATATTCGAGAAGCGAGGGCAAAAATCCAAAATACTGGCAGCTGCTTTGCTCGCAGTTTTCTCGCTGGTGAGCGCATTCATCGATGATGAGTTCGACTTTCTTCTGATTATGACATCGTTCGCTGCGTGTGTTTATGGTGAACTTCTACGAAGAGTTTGTCTCTTCTTTGAGGAAGTTTACCACATCAAAACAAGGTAAATACAAAGATATACATATCCCCATGTTAAACAAATCTCATCTTAGATCTCACGAGTCTCATAAAAGTAAATCTAATAAAAAGCTAATATATTCAAGTTGAATAATTCAACTTTCGATTTTGGCCATGATTTCCCCTTTTCCAAGCAAGAAGCAGATATTTTTTTCTGTAAGAGCTTGAAATAAGTCAGTTGCTTGAAAAAGGATGCAGCTTTGTGCTTAAGAATCAACAAACTTTTAAAAAAATTCATAAGCCTAAGATTTTAAAATTAAATTTTCCTATTTGACTTCTTCCATGGTTAATTTTGACTTGAATAAAACCCAGCTTAAATTCATTTGTAGGTATAAAGACAATATGAGAAAAGCATTTGAGAAATGCTTTCTTCAACCATACTGGCAAGTTCTGTTTACCTTAGCAATAGCATTTCTCACAATTTCAACATTTATGTTGAGACAGCGCCCCATGAATATCCAGTCAAGGAACATGAAACTATTTCTATTGCAAATTTGGTTGATGCCTCTTTTGTCCTATGCTTTGGGGCTACGAAAGGCAACCCAAGTTGAGGTTTCTGCAATCAATGAAGAAGAGACGAAGAATGTTGCTGTTGGGCTTGCCTGGAGCTTCTATTTTGGATACTTGAAACTGATACTTCCCAGTATCAAGGAAACTATTAACCTAACTGATAACGAAATTGATGACATGGCCTTGCGAGATCACATCAAAGACCACAAAGTATTCATCATCATACCAAAAGATTGCAACTGTTTTCAAAGTCTTGCTGACTTTGATCAAAATATTCAGTTTGTCTCTCAAACCCATGAACAGAGAATAAGCAGGGCTGGTATTCAGATGCGAGTTTACAAAAACAGTATTTACAAAATCACACTGTCTACAAAACAAACATTTTACTGTCTCATGGAATTTGCTACACCACTTCTCTCCATGTATGAAATGGAAAAAGAGCCAAGATGTGGGTTTACAACTGCAGACAAAGAAAGCCAAGTAACCTTATTTTACAAGCAACTTAAGATGATTCTAGAGGGGGATGAAAAGTGCAGAGGCAGATATCATCTTGTACTTCTGTCAAGTGCCAAAGATGGGCTTGCAGATGTAATGGCAAAGGAGATCATGCTATCAAGGAATAATACTGATTGAACTTGGCCTTGCTAAGTTGACAACATTGCTAAAGCCGACAAAAACGGGCTTTTTGTTGTCATTTTAGGTTTTATAGTTGTTTTCTATTTTACTTAGCTATAAGAGAAAATAAGTATTTACGACATGTTGATTATACTCTTGTTAGTTGGAAAAAACTGCTCTTAAAAAAATCACAGAGCAACAATTCAAACTCACAAAGTTGGCAATTTCTGTGGTGTGTAGCTCCATTCACCAAAGTTTCTACAGAAATTATGGCTCAATTTTGAATTACAATGAATTAATATGATACAGGACTATATTATTCTGAAAGTCCACAATACATTCCAATACAACTATTCTATGATATTTGAAGTATTACCTCAATTGTCATAGCTGCATTCTGAATTTCTTCATTTTGTCTCTCCTTCTCTGCAGCATGCTGTAAATAGGGGCATATCCAGACTATTGTAATTGATGCTTAAACATAAGTCAGGTTCTGTAGATTTTAGGATACTTAGGCCAAGTTTTTTTTCCCAAAAATCTTATTATCTTGAACTAGGACCTTTCCATGCATGCTGCTAGCGATGAAAGGCTCCCCTCTTGACCACCCTCACTTTAGACATTGACAAAAAACCCCTAAGAGTATTGGAATTTTCCTGAGTTTCCAGTCTGCAAATTCTTTTTGAGCATCAGTGGTTTTGGCACAAGCACAAGTCAGTTCAAATCAACATTCAAGTTGATCTATGCTCAAATATTGCAAGCCAATCAAGAACAGTGTTGATCTATGCTCAAATTGCTGTGAAACAACATGCATAAAATGAGGACCATTTGACAGCAATTAATGCAATGTTTGAAGAAGGAAACGACAAGCAAAAAATTAATCAACGCCAAACCAAACGAGGGAGGAGCAGCTATGATCAAAGGGCAGGGTTGGGAATTGTTTTGGAATTATATGTTTCTAAGAATTTTGATCTTTGTTCTTTAAAAAAAGAACAGTCTTGAGATGGTTTGTTTGCAAAAAGTTATGAGACCATTCTTGAGTAAAAATCTTGAAAATGTTAAAAACGATCTAAACAAAGTATATCAGAAGTAGATAACTGAGAAAAGAAAACATTCCAGGGGGATTCTGTAGTGATATTTAGAGTGTGTTGACCTTAAATTTCTTCTGAGGAGGTGCCCCACCCCTTGCTTTCCACCTAAGCATAGTCAGATATTTTCCTAGATCTTGAAGTCTGAGTTAATACAAGGCTTGAAAACTAAGACAAACTACTGAGCATGTACCTAACAGGGAATGAGGTTTAGCCATGATGAGACTTGAAATTATATGCAAATATTTTAAATAAGGCAACCAAAATATTTTTACTAAAATTGACTGTGAGTACTGTACCTGGTCTGCTATTTTTTCAGCATCCTTAGATTGCCTGCTTGAGTTTCTTTGCAATTTACTATAATTTTTCTTGAGACTCTCCATCTGATTTGAAAGGAAATATTAATTATTTGTTATTTCAGTGTGCTCAATTTCAATTTTTTACAAACATTTTTTGCACACCAAGATCACGAAATTCTATACCCACCACTGCTTGGTCATGAATTCAATGACAAATTACATGTTAGCCTCTACTTGCAAATTACTAGCAAATCCACTAGCAAATTAAAACTTATAAATATGCATTCTTTAAATATAATTCTAGAAAGCTCTAAGAAACAATGCAATTCTAACAATTTGAAAAACTTCATACAGCTAGTATTGAGAGCTGCACTTATTTGGCAGTTATGAAATGGAAAATTTTTTACAACACCAGTGGCTCATAAATAAATTTCCTGGGAAGCATGGGTTCACAACAAATGCTTTTATGTTAAAATTTAAATTCACAATGATGCTGTTCTGTCTCATAACCAACCTCGTTTTTCAATTTGCCAAGCTGTGACTCATATTTTGATATCATTTTCTTGTGATTTTCCCCCTCAAATTCAAATTTTTGCTGTAGTTGACCCATCTAAAACATAAAAATACTATAATAACCTTTTCAAATTTTGAGCATAAGAACTAGCTTACTTTAGGCACAAGACTAATGCATCCATAATCAAAACAAGACATCAAAATTTAGTTAATGTCTTTTTGTGGAAATCAAAGCATTTTCAAAGTATCTATGTTTACTTTTAATGGTGTGTTAATGAAATTTGTTTAATTATAAAAAGGTTTTTTAAAAAAACACAAGAGATGTGCAGATTATGTGCAGAATGCATATTGTTCAAAAAAATTTGAGCAAAGGGGGCTTTGCTATTGTTATCAACAAAAATAATTTCTACTGTTTTGAATAAACACTATTTTGTGAAAAAATCTAACAACAATTAAAACAATCAAGATTTTAAGATTGTTTCATACATCAACATTTAAGGTGCTTAAATGAAACACAACAAGGTGTTAGTTTTGTGTAGCTACATAGCTTATCATATTTTTGTTCTGTCATACAATCAATACACCGTCATTGTATTTTCTGCATCAAACGTTTGAAGGTGAGTAGTTTTTTTGCAAAAGAAAATAGAAATAATGCTACTAGCAATAAAACAATTTTCTTCATAAGTCAATTTTTTTTGTTGCTACCATACTGACAAAAAACAAACCCCTTACAATGTTTGTTTACATATTGTCAAAACCAAATTTATGGAAAAATTATTGATTAAAAAGGACAAAAAATCAAGAAGGGTTTCTAAGAAATTCATAAAATGGTTTTCATGAAAATTAGGTTTGAAATTTGTTATCAAGGCTTCTCACAAAACATTAGCAACCAAATTTGAAACTGTCATATGATACTTTTGTAATTTGTTGGGGTTTTAGGATTCCATTATATATTCTAAATACTGAAAAAAATTCCAGGAAGTAGAAACCCAAACCTCTTTGTTTCTATATTCTACAGTTTCTCTAAGTTTTGTCAGTTCCCTGTCTTTTCGCTCACACTGAGACTGAATTCCATGAATCTGGTGTTGCCATTCCAGTCTTTTTTTCTCAACCATTACATCAATTTGATGCATAAGCTGCCATTTAAACAATTATATCAAAATAAATAATAATATAAATCATATCCACACTGAATTGTATATTTACTGCCGACCCAGTACAAAACCAATTGATAAAAATTGAAAACAGTATTGTGTAGACAGGGTTTAAGGTTCAGTGCTCCATTTTTAAATTTCAGCTTTGTGGCTTTTACCATTCACACTGTTTCTGTTTTGTAAACTTGTTTTGAGCATTTTGAAAACCCCTGTTTTGTGGGTTCACATGGCTCACAAAAACAGAGTAAAAAATGTCAATCTTGTAGTTTTTACCCTTGTACAAAATAAATGATTTAAAAATGGGTAAAAATTTCAAATCTTGTACTTTCAATAAATGTTCATAAATACTTCATTATATATGCTAAAAAAGAAATAGCACCCCATTGCACCCCTCCCAGTATGGCCTGAAGGTGCATTTAAAGGTCTATATATATTTACAGTAAATTTTAGATTTCTCACATTTTAGATAACACCAAAGCAGTGGTTTTTAGGGACTGTGGGGCCTGGGCCAAAAACATCTGTAGGGCTCTTGTTTTCAAAATTTCTAATTTTTTCTTAGGTACTGGGCTATTTGGATACAATAAGCAGGGGGCCTGGGGCCATGGCTCCCTGGACCTCCCTAAAACCACCACTGGGACTTAATCAAAAGTCAGAGCGTTTGAGAACTCTTAGGCACAAGAATTTTAAGCCAAATCATCTAGCTATTCAAAAGCAGACCTGTGCTTTAAGCTGCAATAGCTAAACATTATCTTGGAAAAGAAGTTTTCACAATTTTCACAAATCACTAAAACTTTTTTTGGCAAAGGAACAATTGTAAATTGTGGTTTTGAAATGTTGATGCTACGCTGACTGTGGATGTGCATTTGCTATACTAAAATGTTGAAAACAATTTGAGTAGAATAAAGGTGTGAGCACTTATAACTACTGACCCTGTGTATGCATCTGCTAGTACTGGCTTAATGTGCCATAACAAAAGTTTGGTTCTACTTCTAAGTAATAACAAAAAATACATACCTCTGTTAACTCACTTTCACAGGATGACAGCAACATAGAATCTCTGAAAGCAATTGTTAAAAATTTTATATATGTGGATAACTGTGAAGTTCTGATTTCAAAATATGGAAAGTCGAATAATTCAAACCTAGCTTTCAAGTTTCATAGCTTTCTAGAGAAATATGAAATACTTAAGAAAGTTGTTGTGGAGAAAATGATCAAAACATTACACATTAAAAACTACAAATCAAATCCACACAGTAAAGTTTGGCCCAGAAAAAGTATCGTTGAGCTTTTTAATTCGTGAATAATAATTTGAAAATTTTCATTACAGTTTTCCATACCGAGCTGTGGAGGTGCTCTTCAGTGTTCTCAAAAGACCAGTAAATGTGCTGCTCATTTCTTTTTAGTTTTCAACAACACAAATTTGTATTGTCATTAAGGTAAATGTGCTTCTTGAGATTCTTCCGTTCCCAAATTGATCCCAATAAAAAATGCGATCACGAAGATGGCCTAAAATCTGAAGCTCCCATTGACGACCTTCACGTTCGAACTGAATACTTTCATCTTTTTCAAACAAAATTGATCCCTTCTACCAAAAGCAAGAAACATTTTAAAAGACTTTTGTTATAACCATGTTATCAGTAAATACAATAAATAAGCAAAAATTATCAATGAGATAAATTAACTTTTCAACGGACACCATCCGACTAAATAAATCAGAAGTTGGCGCCTAGATTTTCGTCAATGGATGCGAGGCTGCTCTCGCAAACACAGGGGGTTGACGAATATAGAGGGGGGGGTCAGAGGGGGCAAAAGACCCACCTCTGAAGCCAAACTGCCATTTTGTCTGAAAAACTCCTGATCTTGTCGGAAATATGACATGGTAAATGATTGTCAATTTTTTATTCAAGTGTTACATTTTGAGAGGAAAGATTTTAAAGCTGAATATAACGACTTCTTCTATTGTTCTGAATCAGATAGGCAATCTCTTTCAATAAGGTACGGAGAGGGCCGCTGCCAGTCACCAATTTGCCGACAAAATAGGGCGTGGCCTAAAGTATATAAATTTTTGGGAGTGGCATTTTGACGTAGTTGATTTTATTATGTTCTCGTCAATCAATCATCGCTTCAATTTTTGCGTTGTCATTTTCTTTACTTGAGTGCCTGAGGGTACTTGCTTTACTCTAGAAGTCAAGATTTGAGAAGTGAGAGCAGGGAAGATATGCAGCAATTTTTATCGCTGCATATTATCAAAATTTTTGAAAAATTAGGTGTTGCCTTTTGAAATTTTTAGGAAAACACCTGTCGAACTAACTGTATGTAAAACTATCGAATTACATCAGCTCTCACCCAAACTTTACGAAAAAATTTGACGAGGAAAAGTGTTCTAGGTTTAAACGAGTTTTCGAAAGCAAAGATTTCAAAGAAGGAGATGGAGAACAAAAAACTAGATAGCTTCTAAACTGAATTTGAAAGCTTTTTATAGAGATTTCATAGATTTTGATCATTGTTACTGTTATAATATAGTTTTTAATACTGTAAAGCTCTTTTTTACGCTTTATGTGTCTACTGGTAGTTGCTGCCACTTTACTTTTTCACTACAAAATCTCTTTTTTTAGTTTTATCACTGCACAAAATTTGAGTTTATCACTACACACATACGATTTATCATTGCACAAATTGGCTATCACTGCACGTTAAAGTATACCCTGAGTGAGACTCATTTACCCAAATAGTTCAGCACGTTTAAATAGAACCTATGATAGATTCTATGAGCAGATATCACAGGCAGGCCACCGAATGGTTTCGGGGGCCTTAATGCAAAATTAAAAGGCTAGGCCTCCTTCGAACGGAGCGAGCATAAATGTTTGTGACCACGCCCTTTAGGTTATCTTATAATGCATTTCAAAATGTTTCTTGCATTAATTCCTTGCAATCGTTTGGAAAATTTTAATACTTTTAGGCATACTTTTGCTAGGTTTCATTGATTCCATTCTTAAAATGGAATTCTTTACTTTTTAAGGTCTATAAGACCTCAAGGCTCTGGGGCACTGTGCCCCCTTGCTCCTCCTTTCGGCGTTCAGAGTTTTTGGCGGATATTTGCCCCTCCGTGACACCCATAGCGCTATCTGTACCTATTTTAAATTGCCGAAGGCTTTTGGATGATACTTTTTTCGGTCTTATCCTCATCTTATCCCCACTTTTTGCTAAAGCTATTGCTTGTGGACCTTTAAAAGAAAAATCCGACAAACTCTACTTTTCAAAAATTTGCCGACAAGAATAATCTAGGGGGGGTTGGGGTGAGACCGGACCCCCCGCTCGCGATGACTCTTAGTATGGTACTTAAAAATATCTATTTAGGGGAGAAGACCAGAAAATCTTAAAGTAGTATGATTTCTGGCACATGACTTGAATAAATAATAAGTTTATCTTTTGTTATTCTCTATTCTAATGTCCCATATTATGTCTAAATCCAAAAAAGGAAGAATAAAATGCCTCATATATTTTTTGTCAGAATCTTGATTTACTCGGCAATGAGAACTAACCCTTTACTATGCTATTGATTCTCTATGCATGAGCAATATTTATCAGTTGAATAGTTTGAATGATTTCAGATACTGAACAGAGAACCTTGATACAAATGCAATGGATGCAATCTCGGGTGTAGTCTTTGATGTGACTTCTACAATTTGCCTACAGCACAGTCCCCTCCAAATTTTCTAAGACGGCAAAACTGTATTCATTTATTTTTTTTATTAACTTCCCATTATTAACGCGCATTTTTTGATAGTGCACCCCTTGCTTAGGGCTGGAAATGGGGCAGTACCAACCTGTTTTGAGACCAAGTATATGGATACAGATTTATTTATACGGCGGACATGAAGAATCCGGAGAGATATCAGGCTATCTCCAGAATCCGGCTAGATGTCATATTTTTGGAGACCAAGTATATGGATACAGATTCATTCATATATAGGAAACTTCTTTTTCCTTTATACGTCGGTCCCAATTACGCAAATAGTTATCCAATACTAAAGTTCTGTGAATCCAAAACTTTTGCAACTTCAATCGAAAGTCAATAAAAGCCCTTCTTCATTTAATATCCCTCTTCTAGAGATGTCTCCCATTTTCTAAAGGCCTTCTGTTTATATCTGAAATAACATTACACGCTAATGGCGGTTATCAGATATGGCGTGCAAAAACATTGTAGTGTGAATGTAAAAACAATGCAGCAGTGTTGAGCACATTTTAGCTCAGAGAAAACCACACCACATGAAAGAATGATTTGATGCCAAGTGGGCGGCCTAGTAGAATCCTAGCACAATCACTTATTAATGACCAATAATTTAATTTAATCGTTTTTTGCGCAGAAAAGTATCAAAAAAGAGAAAAGTATTTCGAAGAATGTGTAATTTAATGTAATTAAAATAATACCATGAAAAACTTTAGCTTCTATAAAAAACATGTGCACATGTGCAAATTGCTTCAGCTTATCACTTGCATGTTCACATAACCTGCATCTCATCATAGAGATTGTACCCAAGATAAAAAACTTCAAATCACGGATATTCTTAACTGAAAAGTAAAGTATTGACCCTTGAAAAAAGATTAAATCGACTTATTAAGATCTAGGAATTTTTCTAAAATGGTCATTATAATGCTCAAAGCATAAATTGATTTCATTAAATTGACCTAAAATATTAAATTGAGAGCAATTTCTAATTTATGCTTACATTAAATTCAATTTGCAGGCCTGATTAAACCCCCTGGCCGGTCCCTAGAAAGCCAGATGTTTAGCATCACTGATTTAGGGGCCACGCATCTCGGGCCAGTAGAACTGAGTTAACTAGGCCTACAAATGGGTGTATATTCTTTTTTCTCGTCGTTATTAAGCCTTTTTATACTGAAAAGAGCTTTCCATAAAATGCTGTTTTGCATAGAGCCTTACAAAAGAGAGACAGGTCATTGTGATTATACCATCTATGCGAATATTACTCGAATGATGCGAATCAAATTTAATATCAGATCTGTATTCTACTACGACAAAAAAACAAATATCACAAGACATTCATAATATTTATAAAAACTTCAACCACCTCAGATTCAATTTTTTCAAATTAATAAACAAAGTCTAATTCAAAGTTTGTAACACATAGGAATTTTATCTTACAGCGTTTGGATAGAAACATATGTTATTTTACCAACGAATGAGATGATCAACATGTAATAGAAATTAATTACTTCATCAAATAGATATGATAAGCAACAGTTCAAGCTTAAAATAAAATAACCCTACGATCGATAGGTTTTTATAAGTCAACAGATTTCATAAAAAGACAGAAATTTGACTAGCCAAAAAGATGACAAAAACTATGATTCAAATATAGCAATTATATTAAAAGAATACGTATACAACTATAATCTAATCTAGAAGTCTTCTATTCTTCCATTGTCGCATTATCAGCTTCATTGGTTTCTTTCTTCACATCTTCCTTCGATTTTAAATCAACTTCATACTCAACCTCCAACTGCCTCACTGTTGGCTCGATAGCTGCCATTTTTTCAGCTTCAATCATCAGTTTCCCATACTTGGTTAATTTCGACTGCAAGGTCTCCAATTTCACATTTTTTGGAAGTAAGATACGACGTGAAAATTTCCTGTGGTGGAAAAATGAATCTTCTCCATCTTTGCTTTCTGAGTTCTGCTCTCCATTAACAACAAGTTCATTTCCTTGTAGCTTGACAGAAATTTCCTCTGGTTTATAATCACTGACATCGAAAGTCAATTTGAAGTTTGTCTCATCTTCTTGTTGTCCCTGATTCGCTAACGGTTTGATTTTTGCAGCTGTTATCTCCAAAATACCATCATCATTTAGCTTTGATGTGAATGACTTTGCATCAACATCAGCTGGAATCGGAAAGCATCTTTCGAATTCAGAGCTTTCATAACCATGATCAGTTTGTTGATGATGCTTTCCTGTAACTTTCAGTTTGTCTCCCTCCACATTAAGGGCGATCTCATCTGGTCTGAAATGTCTGACATCCAGGGGCGGACTGGCTAATTTTTTTGGCCCGGGCAAATTTTGATCAAACCGGCCCACAACAATAGCAAATAAAAAACTCTTCGGAAAATGCAAGTAAATGTTAGTCTGTAAGGAAAACAAGTTTTTAAATTCAGTAATTTTGTGCATGGATGAATGCTGGTTAACAGAACATGTTCAATAAGTCATTTGCTAACTAAATAATAAATAAACAAAAATTTTAACTCATTGGTTTGACTTTCTTTCTAAATACAGTAACCTATTTGTTGATAATATGATCGTTCTAGATGTCATCTAACAGGTGTTTTTCTAAGAACATTAACATGAAGGACTCTAGGTTTGGCTGCGAAAAATTACCACGTAATCTGTTCTTTACATATTTAAAGTGGAAAAGCTTCACACTCAACTTGTGACAAATAATTTTCTATTCCTCCGGAAAACCACAATGATTTTCAGCAGCCCAAAAATATCGATTTGTCAATTTCTGACCCCAAAAAGAAAACATGGGCACCCCTGTTGAAATTTTATCGTGTAGCACCATACCCCTGTTTTGCTTGATAAAAAAAGCTTTGTATCGTAGCTGAATCCTTTTTTAAGTCTCGCAGCTTTTCCTCATGAAATTTCTGTGCACCACCTTTGATTGAAGTCTTCTTGTTCTTCCCTTGTTCTACGTATGTCCTCTTCATTACTTCACATCACAGAGCAAATCGCTTAGTGAACTCTAATTTTTGGACTTTTAAATTTATTACATTTAGCAATAGCTTGTGCTTAGGGAAAAACATGACCAGCTTCAAGCAAAAGCTAAGTAAAAAGACATCGGAGCAGGTTAAAATCTTAAGCCCCGGCAAAACGACTGGACATTATCACTGAACATGGACTGGACAAATGTCCAGCGTAAATGTTGCGTCGTTTTGCCACCTTGTCCAGTCTTGTTCAGCGATGTCGAATGTTGTTCAGTCGATTTTGAAGGCAGCCAAAAATGTTCAGTGGACAGGATTAAATTTCTTTTGTTCACTGATGTTATACAGAAATTGTTCAGTCGTTTGCTACTGAACATTGTCCAGTTCGCGCACACGCAATCGATTAATGGTTTGGATTTGGCGTCAATTTATTTCCCATATTCAAATCTTCAACAAACTTTCCTAGTCAACACCGCGAACGAAATGGAAACAACGTAAAAATTCAATTCGACCAATAGTAGAAAAAGGCATTTCATTAATAACGATGAGTCTTCTGATCAGATTAGCTTTAGTTACGATAAGGAAAGCGATGCCAGAGAGCACGAGGACGGTGATTTTGATGAACCTAGCAGTCCTAGCCACTTTTTAATAATACACTTTAATTCATACGATAACACGGTTAGGGCTATGAAAGTGTATTTTCAAAGGTAAAGAGATGCCTTGTTGCCTGTTTTTCAACCCGCATTCTCCAACAGAGAAAAAGTTCACTGGACAATGTTCAGTCGTTTTGCCATAACCAATATTTTCTTGATGTCCATACTCTGAACAAGTGAGCAATGTCCAATGTGTGACCAGTGCAAATGTCCAGTCGTTTTGCCGGCGCTTTATATATCGCATTGAAACAGGGATGTTACAGTATAATATGTCGCCAAAAAGAAAATACCGTCAAGAGAAAATATAACAAAATGTCAATAACATGTTCCCTGAAGAAGTGTGTTTAGGCTGCGGTGCAAAAATGAATTCATAATTTTGATGGTTTTGGAGTACTCGCGTGTATATTTACTCTTTCCCACAAAGTCTCTAAAAATTCAAGGCAAACAGATTAACGCGTGGGTATACTTTTTTGCCTCGCGTTCACTTTTTAAGCTAAAATATTTTTTTGCACTTTTATCAACCGGCCCTTTAACCGACCGGCCCTTCGGGCGATCGCCCGAATAGCCCGACCAGCCAGTCCGCCCCTGCTGACATCCATTGTGATGCTGAATCTATCCTCGTTATTCTCTGACTTCAAGTCGTCTTTTTGCTTGGAGGAATACCTTCTCTTTGCCCTTCGTTGTTTGAAGTAAGGATTATATCTTGTAATTCGACTTGCTGGAGGAAATGTCCAGTCAAAGATGTCATCCAGGAAAGATTTGTGATCGTCTTCTTCCCGGAATAGAGGAATGTGCCATAAAGCCATTTTTGCAATTCTAAAAATAGAAAAGAGCTGTGTGAGGCCCATGAAGCTTACTTACTAAAAGGAACATGATTGTCACTTATAAAGAGCCCGAATAAACGAATAAAAGAGGAAATCCTAAACATCTAAATGTATGCGAGTCCTAGGTTCTTACCACAGTTAGAAATAAGTTCATTAAAAATGTTCTGAAACTGTTTTATTATACTAGTGGTTAAACCAGTGAACAATTTCACTCCGGAGCTGATAGACCTTTTTTTGGACAAACTGACTTAAATCTTACAAAGAAACAATGTAAAAGTATACTATCAATACTACCAAAAGAAGTACGTTAGTACGACTTGATTCTCAACTGAAATCTTAATTTCACACTTACCACCAATCGCTCTTTTCGATATTTCAAATAAAAATTTTCTTTTACTCCTCTCTCTGCTTATTTATTGTCAATCAACTTTGTTGCTCGTTTATTTCCTGCTCTTTTCTGTCACCTCCTTTCTATTTATATCTGGCACATGGAAGTTTCCTGATTGCAGCCTCGTTTAGATCTGTTCCTAGACTTTCCAGAAAGATCCACTGAAGATCTCGATAGTCGGTTCGCTTGATTGGCTGAAAAGCCAGCCTCAAGATGAAACAAAACAAGAGGATCCCCTGTGACACGGCCTAGGATTTGGAACATGGAAAAGTATCAATCAGCAAAGGTAAATACAATGATGAAATCAGCTCATAACTTCATGGAATGCCTTGATCCATTCCCAAAGTATTTCTCGAAGTTGCATCGTTTCCAATGCTACCAGAAGCTTCTCGATCATTCTTGTTAGGGGATTCCCCTCTAGCCTGCCTGATGCTTCCTAGAATGTTCTATTGTAGAAGTTTCCTGACGTTCTAGAAAGAGCTCCATTTCCTATAAGTACCGTCCAAATGAGTAACAGAAGACAGTTCAGTATATTTCAAACAAGAAATATTCCAGAAGCTGTAACAAGAAACAAGGAAGAGATCTAAAAAGAGAGGATATCTTGTCGAAGAATTAGAGTGTAAGTAAATTTTTTTTCATGTGAGGTACAACATGAATCAGCTTCAGAAATTTTTGTCCTAATCTTCAAATCCAAAGTCGAGAGTTATAAATAAAAACCTTTTGGCCATCAATTTTGGCGTTGTTTTCTATTGAAGTATTATAGGGTGGTTGTTACCACAGTATAGCATTTAGAAAGAAATTAACATTACTCGTTTATTTATCGCAGTATTGTAATATATAGCTCAATATTATTTTATTCTTGAATTTAATAAAAATTTAGTGGATTTCTCCAAATGTATTTCATTCTTCAACTACAATGTGTTTCAATTTACACTAAATTTGAAGTGAATTTATGGACAAAAATGCCAGTAACTTAAAAGCAATTACTTTTCATTATTGGTTGCCTTATTGTAGAAGAGGAGATCGCATCTTGATTTCTTTTGATATGTTGGAGGGTCAACTTAAGCTGTGTGATTCAGAGAAAACATTATAGATACTTGTTTGCAAACAACAGCAAGGTTTAAAAAAGTTTTGTTATACTACTTTTTTCTGACCAAAACAAATTTCCTCCATGAAGTTTATTTAATAATTGCAGGAAAAGAGCTTGAATCAAAATGGTTGTAGTCACAGTCCCACTACTTTCTCTATTGGACTTCACATCACCTCGGCACCAGTGGTATGCCCATCGAATGCCAAGAAAGCATTGCTTTGTGGGGAGGAATCATAGCACATGCCCACTGTCCAGGACAGTAAACTGCAATAGCAGGGGACAGGAAAGTTATTCAGAAGATGAAGGTACTGAAGAGAAATTTAAATTGGCAATCCGTATAGGAAATTACAGGCCCAATGAGATATCACTGAAGGTGGAGGGAGACAAACTGAAAGTTACAGGAAAGCATCATCAACAAACTGATCATGGTTATGAAAGCTCTGAATTTGAAAGAAGCTATCCAATCCCAGCTGATGTCGATGCAAAGTCATTCAACTCAAAGCTAAATGATGATGGTATTTTGGTGATAACAGCTGCAAAAACAAAACCATCAGCAAGTCAGGGACTGCAAGAAGACGAGACAAACTTCAAATTGACTTTCCATGTCAGTGATTATAAACCAGATGAAATTTCTGTCAGGCTAAAAGGAAATGAACTTGTTGTTGATGGAGAGCAGAAGTCAGAAAGCAAAGATGTAGAAGATTCATTTTTCCACCACAGGAAATTTTCACGTCGTATATTACTTCCGAAAAGAGTGAAACTGGAGAGCTTGCAGTCAAAATTAACCAAGGATGGGAAACTAGTGATTGAAGCTGAAAAAATGGCAGCCATGGAGCCAACAGTGAGGCAGTTGGAGGTTGAGTATGAAGCTGATTCAAAATCGAAGGAAGATGTTAAGAAAGAAACAAATGAAGCTGATAATGTGACAATGGAAGAATAAGGGACAGTATATATCAGAAAACTTCTGAACAAATATTTTGTGTACTAATAGCAACAATTGTCAAACACTACCTTATTCATTTTACATTTTTGATATCAAAATTACTGTTATGAAGTAGTTTTCAGTTATTTTAACTAAATTAAACTTGTTATGTTGTTCTTTGATAGAATGAAATGTGTGTTATTCTATTAAATATGGTATCTGCATTCACGTTTGTTGTTTTTATATAATATGTCTGCAACATTTCATGTGTGGTGCTCTGAAAGTGAGTTTGGATTCTTACTAAATGTTTTCTCAGGAATTAACCTTCCGCTTTCTTCTAAGATCTTAATGTTAATGGGCAGTTTATATTTTAATATGGAAATTTGTTTTGGTTGCATATAGTTAAATTATTTTCAACATCACAATGGTATAGCAATGCTGATTTGATGAATTATCCAAGTTAATATTGTGATAATTTGCATTTGATTTATTTTGAATGAAAAGGAACAGTCCAAATCATCAAATCAACCATTTTTGTTGCATCAAGAAAATATTTTTGATAATCTAAAACCACCAATTTGAGTATTTCTGTTTCAAAAGAAAGACATTCTTTGGCATAGATAATACAGAATTGAATATGCCTTTTCAGGTTACTTCATTTATTGGCTTCAACCAGTATTTAATTTACATAACAAAGATAAAAAGAATATACCTTTAAATTATTAACTATCTTGTAATATAAATATAAATTTCTTAGTGCTCTAGACTTTCAGATCAAGTCTCTTTGAGATAGTTATAAAACGAACAAGAGGTGGCACAACCTACCTCAAGTAAATACTAAACTTTCTTCATGATCAGCTGATATTTTTATACATGGGAAATAAATATTTCAAGCTTAAGGTGATCAAACATATTTGCAGTAAAAGATGCTTCAGTACACAACTTGAATTTATTCTTAGCTATAATTCAAAAACCATGGATATGACAAATCTCCTTTTCAATTTACAAAGGCAGCAATCTTTGAATGTCCATGGGGTACTTTAAACACATAAAAATCCTTGCAGCAAAATTGATGTTGCCAAAATGTACTTTCTTTCGTTATTCATTCTAAATCAAATCAATAAAAAGTGAACAGCTACTCTGGAGTAAAGGAAGGAGATCCAAAAGAAGCATCGTCAAGTGAGTTTTGATAACTTTCAGCTTATGAAGTAACTTATGTTCTCCTTACATAACTTAATTAACTGATATGCTGAGATGGCACAGCTGAGATGACAGACTCTCTGGCTCTGTCACTTTTTGCATTGGAAAATGCCACTTGCTATTGAAAGATTACGTTGGAAGGTGGCAAGATGAATTATTGTTATTCATTAGGTACTTTTTCTTTAAGCTGAGGTCAACATCAACTGATGGATTTGTCTATAATTGCTGAAGGCCTCGTCAGTACTGTGTTGATGTTACTGAAATAAAAAGAGAGTAACAAGTCAATGTCTGAATTTTCTCTGTAACAGCAATCTGAAAAAACAAAAGGGTTGCTAATGAAATTGAAAGTGATAAAAATGATCAAAATGATGATAAGGCTGACATAAATAATAGGAGCAGCTTACCTTAAAGCTTGTTTATACTGGTGTCTTCTCATTCTCAAAACCTTTAAGATTTCATCATCCGGAAATTCATCATCTGAAGAATCAGTAGCTGTAAACGACATGAAAAAGAATAAAAAGTCTTATTTCAAGCAATTGTTACTATGCAAAATAACAACTAGCAAAGCATCTAACAGTGGTCTATGTCAAATACTTAAATTTTGTCATACCTTGTATATGCTTCTCCAATTAGCCCCCATCCTGGAAGTAAAACTGGTAAGCAGCCTGCACCGCCGAAAACCCCACCCTAACATACCAAGATTTAAAGCAGATGTTTGGTCCGTATTAAATCTTACATTCCAACAGCAAATAAAAAGTTAAAATAAACAAAATATTCTCGCAAGGTTTTGACATAAAAACGACTATCAATCCGTAGAATGTTTCATTTCTCAAAGTCAACTTTAAAAAAAATGGAAAATCTCCAAAAAGTAGGATTGATCTCTAATTCTCTCTAAGCTACCCTCGAATAAGCCCAAAGGGAGCTTAATGAAGACTTCTGGTAATATGAAATCAATATATATGCTACTTAGAGTATGTTCTACATACCAATTACAGCATATGTGGCTTGAAGATCTTCTTCGAATAAGGCATCCCCCTGGTGTACTTCAAGACCAAGTTCCTTCTCGGAGGCACTTGAAGCAACACTCGACATTGACGAAAGAAATATGTTCTCAGAGATAACCTGTGTATTGAAAAGAATCGACTTCAGCGGCTACAATGCTAGAAATCTTCAGGATTTCAGTTGAAAGCAACAACAGTAGATGAACAATGACACACCTCGCCATCTTTGTGAGTTGATAAAAATAATTGTTGCTATCAAAGGAAGAGTGATATATTTTTTGTTGAGAAGGTACTTTTGCATTAATATTAAACGAGATAGTTCTTCGATTTCAAATAAAAATTTTTTATAACCTTCTGTACAAACAGAACGGAAAACTGACATGAATTTTTGAAATAAATTTGAAGAAGAACACCTAATCGTTATTCAAAGCCGTAAACAGGGGCATAATTGAATGGAATGTCTGGTAACAAAAGGGAGTTCTATCGTGATTGATTGCCTTTTATTAGAGGTGTAAGTTAGCCAGTTATACATCGGTTCATTCTTTTTATCCAATAACTCTTCGTGACCTGTTACATAAAAAACTTCTTTATGTGAGGAATTGTTGTTAATAGAAGGCTAATATGATTGGAGAATGGGCGGAGAGTGGAAAGCTAGGAGTGATTGATTGCAAAGAAGATTTTGAGAGAAAATTGAGCCTGAGAGAAAAACGAAAATTCCGGACAAAAATGTGTGGAAGCAAAAATTTGGGTATAATTGATCGGGCTAAAATATTGTTCGATGTTTTCATAGTTTTCGGAAAATAGATTAATTAAGGAAAGATATACTCCTTTTATTGATATACTCCTCCAAATCTGTATAAATTCTGCTTTTCAAAAGAGAAGAGAAATGTGGTTTTGTCTTGAGCGAGATCTTAGATGAATGTGTATATTCACTGTACAATCTGATTAAAAATCAAATGAAACATTTACCCTGAAACAGTCTGCAGAATCAGAAGAGTTGTCTTATCCACATTTTAAGCAATTACAGGCGCAACGTTTCCAAAATAAAACTATAAAATTTCACGAGGAAATGGCTCTAAAAAACCATTCAAATTATGCATCAAAAGGATGTTCCTTGCAGATTTACCTATTTGGAAAGACACTTGGAGTGCTTATCAAATGGCATTCTCCAATCTTAAGAAAAAACAGTTTTTTTTCATTTTAGTACTACCGTGATTTTTACTCCATCATTCAAAGCTACTCCAACGTAAATAAGTCAACAAGTTTGGAAACTTTAGATGAGAGAAAGAAAACAGACCTGATTAATCGTCTCTCTTACTTTCTCCCTTTCAGCATTGGGAAGAGAATCCTTGCTGCTTGTCGTGTGATCACCGTTTTTCTTTTTCAAATCTCCTTGCAACGTTTTGTCAAGAATAGGTTCTGGTGCAGATTTGACAGAGCTCGTTTCTGAACATCCATTGAAATCCCCTTCAATCTTGTCCATCACCTTATTATCAGAACTCGATAGAAATCCGTCTTTATCGGAAGTTAGACGATCTTCCAGCTTCTTGGCCATGATATCATCTTTTCTTGTCACTACCTCACTCATTGCTGGAGAACAGTTCGTTGATGCCTCTGCCACCTCAAACACTCCTCTATCTGGCTGAGACAGACCATCGTTATCGATATGTATTGGTGGAGCAATAAGAAGCGGATTTCCTAACGTCCCTTTTCTGAGAATAGCACGTTGCTGTGGACAACAGCTGATAACAGAAGTTCCCTGGTCTCCCGAAGATGCTTGTGTATGCGGGCATGGCAAAATATCACATGCCATATGCATGTGAGCAGCAACGTCACTATATTCCGCAAATGCATGCTGTCCAGTTGAAGACAACTTATATGCAATAACAGTCTGGCAGTTCTTACTTTTTGAATCTTTGTCTAAAGCAGGTATTCTTCCTTCTGGAGCAACGGGAGGGAAATCTTCCACTGTTTTAGCAGCATCGTCGCTTACGTTTCGATGGGCAGGAAGCTTTGTCTCCCCGCCAATTAGTACTAGAATACAATGCACAGGATAAATCTTCAAAGCTATGATTAACAGCTATTTGGCAATCTGGCACTTTTTATACTGAAGAGTCATAAAAAAACCAATTGAGTATAACAAAAACGTAACATGTTCTTGGTAAAGAAGATGCGTGTTGATCGCACTAAACGTGGAACTTCAGAGTAACTACATGTAGAGCCCTTCACAACCATCTGATTATATACATCAAAGCAAGGCCTTGAATAATATAGGGCAAAATGGGAATCAAATATTATTCTTTTTTAAAACTGCAAGTAAAAGCATCACATTTTAACGAATAGAGAGCCAAAAGAATGAGATTCCTAGGGTTTTCCTGAGGGTTTGCTATTACATACTGCCTACAATAGTTATCATTTGATACCAACCCATTTGGCATCGTTAAAGAAAAGACAACAGCAGATTACCCTTTGGTTTACCATGTTCTTCTTTTTCAATCTGCTCTTTATCAGTATCAGGAGCAAGCTTGGATCCACCTGATTTCAAATGAGGAAGCTTTGAAAAAGGATCAGTCCTTTGTCTGGCTTTCTCTATTTTACGTGCTAGGCGCCACTGGTATAAAATGTCATCTTCTGGTGCAGGCTTTTGACGAGGCAATAGAACATCGTTTCTTGTGTTTGCATGTGGCACAGGAAACAGTTTTTGCGGCTCATAAATTTGTTCTTTCATTGAATCTTGACTCACTGGCACTCCAGATGATGAGGTACTCAAAGTGCTCTCGCTATAAAAAAGATACAAGGTCATAAACAACACGCGTCAGAAACAATCTTTGGTGTAATGAAAATCGTTCAGAAGTATTACAGAAAATGTATCAGGATTTTTAAGTAGATGTTTGAAATTTGAAGGAGGGCTGGAAAGGTAGACGAGTTATAATGGATCGAATTATAAAAAGAAAGGAAGAGGAAAAGGGCAAGGAAAGTCAGGCAAAAAATTGGTTGGAATAAGAATTTTGCAGGAGAAAGCTGCGACCTCACAAGAGAAGGTAACAGCATGATGACCACTTCAAAGTTATTACAGGTAAGGGGACATTTCAACTTAACAAACATTTACAGCAAATACCTGATATAAAGGGCTTTACACGGGAGAAAATAGCAAATTGCTGCTTCGGATTGGACAAATAATAACTCTTGTTAATTCTACAAAAATACTTGGGTGTGCTTTGCTGACATCATACCATAAAAACATTTTCCAAGCAACCATTATGAACTCTAGTCTCATTGCATGGCAAAAATAAGCTTCTAAAAGCAATTTCAATGGAACGAGATCCAACCACTTAGAAAACTAGCTTGATTGCTGCTTGTTTGAAACATTCTTGTGAAAAAGCGTTATATCATGATATATCTTCACCTCATCTCAATAAGTCTTTGTGCCCTTTGTTGCATTAAGTCTGTTTCTGGGTCAGAATCTGTCATTTTTCTTGTCGAAAGCCCTCGGGTATTTTTGTCCTATGAAGAATTGCAAGGAATAAGACCAATTGAATTTTAAGATTTAATAAAATCACAATTGCTCATAAGCATATAAGATGTTGAAAAGTTAAACATGGAATTGAGAATTGATTTCTGTTAATGAAAGGCAAATTTTCAAAACTGCTCTGACTATATGATTTGGGGCGTGTTTCTTAAGAAATTGCATCAAGGTTCCACTTATTATATTGTAGCAAACAAGGAAAAAGAAACAGAAACAATCACAAAAGTAGGTTTGATAACATGTAAGGCAGGAACATTTTTCTCAGACTAAATTTGGTAACATAATGAAAGTTTGCGACATTCAACAAAGCTACTACAAGCTGCATCCAAATTCTATCCCAAATCAATCAAGCATCTTTTCTCTTATGTAAACAACCAAAGAATCAAATTAATTGAAGTTAATTAAATAACCTTTCCTTTCTGATTTTGCAATGAACTTGTCTTTCTTTGCTCTGGGCTTAGAGGAGGCTTCCCGCCTCTCTTCCATAGTGGTTTCGGTCTTCCTTTCTCCGCAGCCTCTCTTAATCGAACAGGAGGACTAAAACTAGAAACATCTGAGTCTTTTGGGGTGGAAGAATCATTGACTTGTTCTGCCCACCAAAACTCATTGCCTTTTGATACTTCGACGACATTCTGAAGCCTTTCCTCGCGACTTTTCGGTGGCTCATTTCGAAACCTTTGTATGTACCTACAATAGGGTCAAGTTGTCTTTTGAAAATATCAACACACAAATTGAACGACCAGTTCAGTAAGAATACGGTTTAAACTAGATGATCAAATGCTCTATTCAATAAACGTTCTAGTCTCAACAAACAAATATGCATGATAGGAACGAGATAGTTACAAAGAGCCTGCATGATTCATGTTTCTTATTATGATCAATAGGCCCAACCCTATAATGAGCCCCACCCTGAATAAAGCCCCCATGTAAAAATTTTCTGAAGGAAAGAAACATTCTTTCAATTTCCATGGACTCCTTTTGAAAATTGCATAACGACGCAGATAAAAAAATCATGAAAAACTCCATAAATTATGGGATTGTGTATTTCAGGAGAAAATGTCATTTGCAAAATAGCTATTAAATTATAATATATAGAATGTGCTTACTTCGCTATTGTTGATCTCGACTCAGCAGCGATGTCAGTGTCACTTGTAACCCTCCTGTTCCCCACAATTTGTCTTGAAATACCAAGTGACGTCACAGACGGAGGGGTCTCAACGAGAGTACTATTTGTCCGCTCTGTGTTGGGCCAAGATTCGTCGAATTTCGAAGATCCAGAGTGGTCATTTGGTGCACATTCATTTTCTTTATTTGGAATCAAATCTCGATAGAAGTTGTTTGAGCCGGAGAGAAAATGTTCTGGCTGTAACATGTCCCTTCCTTCTGGCCCAGTGGTTTTCTCACTGAATTTTTTGCTTAGGCATGTCTTTAAGGAAACAACAAGATGTTATATTTGGGCAAATGGGTACTTTTGTTTGGCAATATCTCTTAAGAAGATCAAATTGTGCCTGCACTAATTCTAGCTCTACCAAGAAAGCGAGTGGCTGTAACAAGGTGGATTTTAACGTAAATTTTTAATATCCTTCAAATGTAATGTGTTATATCCGCGGCAATTACAATACAGTTCATCGAGCCAGCACTTATTTTTTGGTATCTCATTTGGCACATATAATAACCCTAAGCAAAACGGTCGATAAATTGAATTGTAATACAGTATTTGCAATTAAACTGAACTTGATATATCTGACAAGAGCTTGCAAGTGTACCTTCTGCTCGTTGAAGGGGATTTCCCTGGCGTTGGTTGGATGATAAAATGCACTGATCAAAGGCTCTTCTCTGAATAGTTCTGGTCTGCAATCAAAACAAACAAAACTATACAAACTAGTTTCAATATTATCAATGAATGTAAACAAAAAAAGGTGTTGCAATGCCTAAAACAGAAAAATAAGCCTGACATAAAATGATACTCCTTATGAATTTACGTCAGCAGGGCTTGACATAAAATGATACTCCTTATGAATTTACGTCAGCAGGGCTTGACATAAACAATTTTATCAAAAGAATACGTATACAACTATAATCTAATCTAGAAGTCTTTTATTCTTTCATTGTGACATTATCAGCTTCATTGGTTTCTTTCTTAACATCTTCCTTTGATTTTGAGTCAGCTTCATACTCAACCTCTAACTGCCTCACTGTTGGCTCACTGCTTCAATCATCAGTTTCCCATACTTTGTTAATTTCGACTGCAAGCTCTCCAGTTTCACTCTTTTCGGAAGTAAGATACGACGTGAAAATTTCCTGTGGTGGAAAAATGAATCCTCTCCTTCTTTGAATTCTGACTTCTGTTCTCCATTAACAACAAGTTCATTTCCTTGTATCTTGACAGAAATTTCTTCTGGTTTATAATCACTGACATCGAAAGTCAATTTGAAGTTTGTCTCATCTTCTTGCAGTCCCTGATTCGCTAATGGCTTGATCATTGCAGCTTTTATCTCCAAAATACCATCATCATTTAGCTTTGATTTGAATGACTTTGCATCGACATCAGCTGGAATCGGATAACATCTTTCGAATTCAGAGTTTTCATAACCATGATCAGTTTGTTGACGATGCTGACTGAAGCTTAAAAGATGGAAGCTATCAAGCCAGCAGTGAGGCAGTTGGAGGTTGAGTTTGAAACTGATTCAAAATCGAAGGAAGATTCGAAAAGTGAAACCAATGATAATGTGACAAATGGAGATTAAAAAATAACACGCTCCTGTTCTTTGCGCTAAGATTAGATTTAAGGCATTGTGTCTTTTTCAAACATTTTAACAGTCCTAGTGTGTGATTTCCAAAACATTTTGAAATGTATTGAATGATTAGTTTTTCAGGTGTCTAGTGAGCTATTTTTAAGGGTGTACCGGATCAGGATTTTGAGAATCCGGCCGGAACCGGATTTACCGGATTTCTTCGTGGAATATCCGGCCGGATTTTACCGGATAATCTGGCAATTTATGGATTTTTGAGTAATGAAAAGTTTCGAGCCACTTTGTGAAAAAATGTATAGCGAGAAGATCAAAGAGACCCATTCGAGTTGCCAGATTGAATTTACAAACGAAGGCTAGGCTGGTGAGCAATTTAAGCCAAAATGCTCATAAAAAGGCCAAATCCAAAACTTTCTCAAGAAGCCATCGAGCAGGCACTGGTTATATTTTTACGCTTGTGCTTGTTAGATAATTTCTTAACTTAGATAGGAATCTTACTTTTTTTCAAAACCCTTTGCTAATATCAAGATAATATTTAGTTTAGGTGATAAAATTTGAAATTTGGTTAACACTTTGTAGTTAACTACTAATTATTCCATGAATTTAGTAATTACTCATTAATTTTAGACGTTCTGCTGAAAAGGCCAACAAGGTCAAATTTAAGTAGTAAGCAAAAAACAATTTTTCCAGGCAATCTAAATCTAAAAAGCCTAAAAAATTTGGCCTAAAAAGCCAATCTGGCAACCCTGGACCAAATTTGTGAATTATATCATCTAGTCTTCCTGTTTTGTGATGACGAGCACTTTCATTTCAACTTTGTTTTCAAGGTGCTTGTTTTATCGTTGATCTTGTTAAGTTCTGGAAAATTCGGCAACTCGCCGGATCTCAAAAACAAATCCAGCTGGAACCAGATTTTCAAAAAGTCAGCGATGCTGTGCCGGATTATCCGGCCTACCGGATATCCGGTACATCCCTAGCTATTTTATTGTAAAAAATAATATTTTCTGCATCATTTATTCCTTTTTTAAGAATGCTGTATAATTTTGTTGAAGTGCAGTTTCTGGAACTATGTATTGAAAATAGAACAGGAAGAATCAAAATGGCTACATAGGTTATACTCATATGGAACAAATTAGGCTACAGTACCCTTGGAACTATGTTTGATGCAAAAAGGCTTTAGAATTATTTATCTAAATTTCCATTATCAATAGAGAATGATATTGTGGAGAAAAAAGGTTTAAGGTTAAAAATTATAAAGAATGGAATCAATAATAATAGATGAATAGAAACAGCCATAGTCCCATCAACTTCAGAATTCAAAATTTGCAAAAGAGAATAACTTTTACACACCAAATTATAACCAAGACATATTTGTAAGACTAAGAGGGTGACATTCTAGTGTATCATGTTGGTATGAGGGTAATTTCTGCTCTGTAACATTAAAGTGGGTGCAACTGCCATAATTTTTTGCTCATATCACAGACAAGACATGCAAATAACCCCAAGCAAAAATAAATTTCTGTTGAATAAATTTCTGCAAAATAAATTGCTGCAACTCAATATTGCAAAAAAATAATGTGAAGGAAACTTTTGTTGATGAGGCCTATCCCTTAAATAATTTTTGCAATTGACAGCTTGATATTGCAGGATTTGATTAAATTGTGTTTAAAATACTCTGACATTATTTCTGCTTGTAAACTCCAGTTTTTTACAGATCGCATGATACAGCTATAGGTTTTTAATAATACTTGTAAGGGGGCATGGTCACAGAGGAGGAATGTGGTAGTTTTGCTGGAAAACAGTGACAGAAGTTTGGTTCAGTAAGAGGGGACCTGGCATTAATATACTCAAAAATAACTTTCTATCAATTAATTTCTTCAAAATTTTTTGAAAAAGACAACTTTGAAATTGCTAAATTCTTGTGGAACAGATTTCTGAGAAAAAAGTTGCAAAATGTAAAACTAAATTCTGCATAAATTTCTTCAGCAAATAATTCTTTCCTCAACCAAGCATTGACTAAAAAGACAGTCATGCCATTAATAAATATATTTGTGTGCATGCTTGAATGTGAGTATGAGTGTTTTCATCAAGGTTAATATTTAAGGAAGTAGTCAAGGTAGAATAGTCTTGTGTCAAACTTAGGAATGCATTGTTAGGTTACATGTTTAGATTATCAAACATTTTCCAATTCTTGCAAGTCTATTTCTACTTCAAATGAAACTTGGGTGTTATTTTTGCATGCAAGTTTGCTCTCAGCTAATCTTAGAATACAATCTCCATAACAGCCCATTGAAAACATAAACCAAATATGAAATTTTGAAAGGTAAAAATTTGATTATCTCCAACAAACCATCTAATGTTTGGAGGGAAAACTGTTTCCCTAGCTTACTTTGTGTCAATGTATTACATTAATCAAAACTATGAAAAGCTAAATTAATCAACAGGAAAAATTGATTTTATACAAAAAAGAGAACTAGCAAAACATAATTCCACTTTCTGCCATATTCTGGCGAGCCCTTAAAAAGCCAGAATAATGCGGTTCTTGTGCTTCATCAAAACTAAATTAGTGTTATTGGACTTCAGCAAGAGATGCATGAACGTGTCATGACCTCTGGATAGCATTATTTTGAAAATCAAACAAAAGTATGGTTCCATAAAATTCAAAGTTCAATAAAGCTGCAAAATCTTTTGTAAGTTAAAGACAATTATAAGCCTTAATAAAAATTCCTATAAATATATTTCCCAAACTTAATCAAGTTTCTATCGCTACTTTGTCTAGTTTTGTCAATGATTGGCTATATGTACTTTTCAGGCGAGCTTCGAATCGTGAGCATGAAAGGGAAACTCTAGCCTTGGAGTGACTAAAAATGTTGACCACCTCGTTTTTCAAAGTGTCCCATGACATTCTACTTGTTGAAAGATAAAAACAAAGAATATCAAAATATTAAATTGAATAATGACTTATTTTGGTGGAAAAATAACCTGTTGGTGAGGCCAACCATATAAATGACACCAAACTGTCAAATTATTTTACAATACTAAAATAGACCAAACAATATAATGCTTTAAAGTTAAGCTGATTCTCATAAGAGTATTTTTTATTTTCAAAACAATGCTTATTTAATATAGGAATTCACAATGCAGTTTAGGGAAACAGGCCATGGCGCATTACACTAAAGCAAACAAAATTAAACTTAAACTGGTGGTTATGAAACAAATTGGATTATGAAAATATAGTGCCACAGAGCACACAGCACAGACCAACTCCTTTATTTGTTGCATACACTTTAATGGCCTTTTCCTCTGCCTGTGCCTTGCTTGACATGGCGGAATCTTAGGAGTAGCAAACCAAAGAGATCTCGCAGACAAAAATAAAAATTTTGTTTGTTTAGACGGAGAAGCAAAATGTTGATCGCTCAGCAGTCTTTGGTAACATAACAAGAACACTTAATTGATGTAAGTTTCAACCCAGAATTTATAGGCAAATTGGATGGCGAGAATAAATCATTATAAAGATAATCTAAACGCTACGTGGTGCAAGTTTTACACGCCACAATTCTAGCAGCATGTTCTTCAAAAGCATAGGGAGGATACCTAGGCCACTACGTTGAAGCTGACCATAACTAGCGTATACAAAAAATCTTACGTGGTAAAGACTGCATCCATCGATGAAATTCTGCCATTCAGTGACTTCTCCCCAGTTTTAATGCTGTTTTAATATTTCAAGGCAACACAGTTTTTTGAACGGTATTCCCGCCATTGAAGTAGTTCCCGCTTGATTTTCAATTTTTGCGCAAGCGCATCTGACAACGGCGACAACAACAACATGGAGGTTGAAAGAAAATTTGAGGGAGGGGGCTGTTGATAGGAGCGGGGATTGTGTTGGCTGGCAAAAAAAATACCTATGGCAAAAAGACCGAACCAGCGTGCTTGGGGCGAACTTCCATTTTCCATAGGGGGTTAACCGAAATTTTGCTCATGTTGCAAGTAATAATATATCGATTCTACTTCGAATCATATTTCAGAAATCGTGCATATATATAACTTTTGAATTTTTTTAAAAAAAAAACGAAAACCAGTAAAAAGACTGTGTTTTGATTGGTAAACTTTAAAGGAGTACTCTAAGAAACATTTGATTCAAAGTTCTTAAAGGAAAACTGGAGGTGTTTGCGTGTGAATGGTCAAAGCGAATGGTCTGGAGAGTCATAGTATAGAGATGCACAAATATGTTACCTTTGCGCAAGGGAAGTTTTTAAGCATATACCGAAATAAAAAAATAATTCTACGTAAAAAGAAGGGGACATTGTACTGTGGCAGTATTAATAAGGAAGCTAGAGGTTGTTTTGCTTAAATCAAGAGGAATTCAAAATGTAGAGTAGATTCCGGTTATAGTCACGCCAAATGTTGCTTGAAAACCTGTCTGTAGATGTAGATGGAATATGATTGTAAGCAGAGCTAAATTTAATAGTTATGTATATTTGGGTCTTCTTTTTAGGTGACAGTAGTGTGGATTTAAGAGGAATTGACTGTATTGGCTTAAAAATATAGTAGTTCTCCAGCCCTCTCCCGAAAACAAAAAATGGCTGATTCCATACTCAGTGATGATGTCTTTCAAAGAACAACGCGAAAGGAAGAACATAGTAGCAAAAACATCACATTTATACTGTGTAACATAGGCCATAGAGACTATTGCTATTACTCCAAAATTCAAGGGTGGTTTAATAATCAGGCGGACTTTTCATGTGCTAAGGGAATCACGACCAAAGGGGGCAGCAGAAAGACACAGGTGCAAAGGTTAAAAATGTATGATTATGTATTTAAAATGTATTTTTTTTTGCATGTAAAACAAATGAATATTTGAAATAAAATTATACAAACTAGTGCTAATTGATCATAATACATTAACAGCGAAAAATTTCGTCAGATAAATTTTCGGCGGATAAACTTAGTTGAAAAAAAATCGGACAACTTTTCAGAATTTCGTCGTGACAAAATTTCGTCGTTGATATTCAACACAGGGATATTACCAATATCATAAGAGGCAAAATGGTACAGTTTTCTTAATGTCTAGTCCCATAGGTACCGACTCCATGGAGACTTTTGGGCTTGAGCACCCGATCGGAATTGGGTTTGTCCTCCCAGGCAGCATTTTAACAGCTTTTTAACACAACATTTCAAAATAAAAGCGACATATTTTCTCAGTTTTTGCGAAAGCAGGCAAAAGAGATACTTTTTGCACTCAAAGAGTCTCTACTCTCTATCAATATGTTATGAAAGTTTATGGATAGAAAATAATCAAAAGTGTATGAATATGGAAAAATATAAATGTAGAATATTGCAAAGCAGGCAATGAAATTTCCTCAAAATCAAGATCACCAAAGAAATTAAAGAATCAAACTTTCTGACTGATTCAGTAAAAATTAATCAATCCTCAACCTGAATAAAGGAAAAACCGGAGCCCTATTATTTGGAACAGTGCAGAAAATGCGGAAATGCACGGAGCCTTTATGCATATTACACGGGGATGGTCAAATAAATGTTACTTGTAAATACAAGTATCTCGGTGTTCAATTAGACGCATCGCTTAAACTTAGTAGTGACTTTGATGACAAATACAAAAATACCTAGGTATTGCTGCAAGGATGTCTGCCAATGCAGCTGCTTTCAGGAAGATCATAGCAATAACAAAAACTAACATAACAACTTACAAACAATTATATTCCTAAAGATGTAATTAGCATCTAATTTTTATTTTCTTTTAAGTATCTTTTAGTTCTACAGGAAAAACATTGATAGCAACCATCAATTGTGGAAGTTTTTTATCCTGCATAAAAATTCATTTTATTAAAGACTCTAGCACTGGTACAAACATACAATATGACGTTTATCGCAACACCAAACAAGTTCTCAAATCCATCCAAAGTGATCACGAAAACCGCATTGAAAACGTTCTTACATCTCAAGGATTTATTATCTCGTGCATCTTAAAATTTGCTTCTAAGGGAACTAATCAACTTTGGTCTAGTGTCCAGCAAAAGTTACCAAAAAACATTTACAACTTTACCATCAAATACCTAAACAACACTCTTGCCACTAGGAAAAACCTCTGCAAATGGTCAATTACTCAGTCATCTGCCTGCTCTTTCTGTCTCCAATCAGAATCATTACAGCACATAATCTTGAACATGGTAGGTATACCTGGAGTCATGATTCTGTACTTCTATATTTGGCTAAAAACCTTTCAACACCTAGAAACAGCTCACTTTACGCCGACCTGCCTTCATTTCTATCACCTTCTTTAATCACAGGCGACTCCTATCGACCAGATCTTGTCTTCGTAACTGAAGATCGAATCCTTTATATGCTAGAGCTTACTGTTGGGTTCGAAAGCAACATCGACGAAAACAGTACTCGAAAAGCTAGGAAATATAGCGATCTTATCAAGGAACTGAGCCCTGCCTATAAACGTGTTACCTTTGTTAACCTTTCTATGAGTGCCCTTGGCATTCTGGGAACCTCATCTACCTCTCTCTCTGACATGCTACACCAACTTAATTTTGACTCAAATCAAACTAAATCCATCTTGATGAAATTCATGAACATTTCTATCCGCTGCACCTACTATATCTTCTGTCGTCGAAACAAACCATGGCTAAGGCCCGAACTAATTGACTTTTAAATATTGTAATGCAGATAAGCCAATTATATGATGCCTGTAAAAGCGAGTCGTATAATTGTAAATTTAAAATGTATTCAATGAAAATGAGATGTTTAAAAAAAAAAATTATATGTTATATATATATATTAAGACCGTTGATTGGCTTAATGATTGCAGCTTCAGCTTAGAGAAGAGGTGGACAATTGGATGTTCATTTTTGTAAATTGCATGCTGTTGGACATTTTAAAGCCAATGAACGTAGTCATAATGTATCTTCAATTTTCCAGTATAAATCTTTAACAGTACTGTCTGTAGTGAAAGCATTGAGAGAGTATCTTAAGAACCAATGTGCAAACCTAATTGAGGTTCCATGTGCAAAAATGGTTGCTGATTTTCGAGAAAAGCAAATTAAATGCACTGAGGTCAGCAACATTCAGCGAATACAGGCCTTTATTCCCAAGCTCTTTGATGATTTTGTCAGTGCCATCACTCTCCGTTAGTGAGTTATAAACGGTCAAAGCTTCAAGTATTCAAGAACTGTTGCAGCTGATGAAGTTGGATGTTCAGGAAAAGGTCTTAATCAGTCAACACCGCTTTATGGGAGCTCTTTTACCTCGTTTATCAAATTTTCTAAAGTAAGAGACCTTGATACCACTATACAAATGTGCAGCGAATATTTTCTGGTTCTGGAGAAAATGTTGGAGGAGCTTATTATTTTGTCCTCAAGCAGTGTACACAATCTTATCCCCAGTGCTTAAAGGTGCGAAGTGGCCTTTCAGAAAGCGAGTTTAAGAAGATAGATTCAGTGGCTGCATAGAGAAAGCACGCTGATGCTCGCAGATTTTTATTAATTTTATGCAGTTACTGTTATTGCTGGCTTTACATCAATATATAACGACTTCGAAGAGTGTTTGTTTTCTGCATTAACACGGGTAGAAGTGAATTTCTTTGCTAACAGCGAAGAAGTGCAAATCTTGATGGAAGACACAGCAACTGAATTTTTTCTAGATGTATAGAAATTAAGAGGGAGAAAATTGTTTTATTGCTGAAGACAACTTTTTTGCTTCTTTGTTTCCACTAACTCTACCAACACACCCCCACCTAACCCTACAAAAACTTAAATTTAAACTTCACCTACATTGGACACAGGGAGTTGGCTACCCTTATACCACAGACCTGGCTACGGGCTTGAATGGACATACAGAATCAAAGCCCCGAAATGTCTCTCCTGGGTTTCTGGCTGATGAGTTGCTTTTTTATCATTTTCTGCCCATTTTCAAGCTAATTGCTCAGAACATACAAAGGGGCACAAACAACCACCCCCAATCTGAGTTTGAGGCTGTAGCCAAGTGGTAGCGACTACTCCTTATCTCTTTTTTTCTCATTTTTCCATTTTGGATTTCACAGTTTTATTCACACATTGGTTTTTAAGTTTTTACCTTGGAGCTTTGTCTTCGATCAAATGAATATCCGAATTTAAAACAAATTGACGACGCAAGCTACTTTTACAAATTTCTTCAAATAAATAAACAACATTTCATTATAAATAGCTAATAAAATGATTCTTCAGTCCTTTCATCTATAAAAGGGTGCGGCTGATCCCTGAAATCCACGACTTTCATTAGAATATTGATTCTTATTGTAACTTTCTGAAGGTTCATCTACTATGCGAGATCTTGGTGTCATCGATGTGCAAGACCACGCTTGTAGTTCCTTGAAATGAAGCTTTGTGAGTTCATTAAGATCCGCAGATACTAAGGAGAAAAAGAATGACATGTAAGTCAACAGTGGCAGTGAGGTTTCAAGCAATGATTCAAATTGTTCCGGTATCCAGCAAGAGGTTCTGTAAATTTTGCCTGATTATCTGTATTCTTATAATTGGAACAAAATTTTCCGTTCCAAAGTATTTCCTCCGCAATAACCTTTTAGATAAACTTTTTATAAGTCTAGCTTTTAATAATATGCAAAATTCCGCTTTACCACGAGGGCTGGTTTTTGAATTTCAAGTAATTTTTCATTTTAATGTATACCGAAAAGCAATTAAATTTTAGCGGATTCAACTGATAATCGGGATTGTTTATCATTGAGTAGAATTGATTTATTTCTGCATTGAAAACCACACTTTTCAGGAAGGAAACAAAAATTGAAAAAATTTGGGAGTGTTTAAAGTCTAGCGTGTAATTAGCATTTACCGAAAAAGTTCCATATTTATGAATTTTTATCAAATGGTCTATCTTATGACCAATAGTTTTTATGGCAGTGCATCAGGAAAGTATCCGTCTTTCCAGCGAAGAAAATCCTTAAAACTTCTGAAAACCTTCATAAATGATCATAAAAAGAAAAGTTCACCATTGCGATGAGCAGAATCATATGTTATATAAAAATTAAATTTTGATTTGGTCATTGCGAAATCCGAAATTACAAATCATATGAAACATTGAGCATCACAAGCTGTGACAAAGAATATTAAACCTACTCAATGAATTGTAGCTTCTTTCTTTTTCTAATATCTTCTGCAGTATATGAATCATTGCACCAGAAGCAAGGATACATTCTTCGGGTGGAAGGGTGTCAAAATACGAGTGGTCAATTGCAAATGGATTACGGGGCTGTGGCTGCACATTTACGCGAACGATCTCGCTAATAATGTCCCAGATCTTTATATCTACGTACGAAAATAAATCAGCAAGTTATTAAACGGGTCGGAAACAAGCTTTAATGAACAAGAATATTATGCTATGACTAAAGAATAAAACTGTCACGGACTGAGTTCTTGACCGTCATAGCAAATAGTAATCATCTTTGAAAGAACCAGCTCAAATCCAGCATTTAACTGCATCATTTAACATCTCGACGATTTCCTTAGTGAGTGTGTGATCCCAGGTTAAGAACTTCGAAATGCAGTGTAAACGCAAACCTGGTCTGAATCCAGTTTAACGATCTAGTTCGCGCATGCGCCTTTTGAGTCATGAAAGGTGCCAAGCACAAAGTCAAAACAAAATTCGTGCAAAACGCTCTTGCAAAAAGGTCCTTCAATTTAAAGCAGCATATCTTGAAAATAAATGAAACAAGGGCTGAATGGGGTAAACTATGGGGCGACGATGAAGTCATGTCGTTAATCGAAATATGGGCGGACAAAGACATCCAGCAACAAATAGATTCATGTACCAGAAAGCGTCCTTCACAACGAAGCGCACGCGTGACGAATCTAACCTGGGTTCAACCCAACTTTGCGTTTACACTATACTTTGTTGTAAATGTAGTGTCAAACGAAAGTGGATTCTACCTGGGTTCAACCCAGGTTAGCGTTAACCCAGGTTAAAAGTTGTAGTGTAAACATCGCTTTAGAGGAAGTGCTCTGTGGGTCATGGGCACTTAAAAAAAGAACGTTGTTTCTATTTTGTCATGACGATAACGTTTTACAATTTTTTCGCTATTTGAACGGGAAAATCGTCGCGGATGAAACTTTTAACTTTCAAGCATAAAATTAACAGCAAAAGAACCAGCATCGTGAAAACTTGTATGTAGGCTAAAATGTTGCTCTTAATCTGCACGCAAAGTCCAAAATCCAGCATATGGAAGTTTGATGTAATTGTCATCATTTTTCAATTGAACTGACCTTTTGTTGACCAATCTAGAATGGTACGCAGCTTAAGAGGGCTGTCCTTCACGACTGACTGCTCGCTTGAATCAACGTCGGACAATCTAATCAATCGGTCATGATTTGTACGCACCTTAACACAATTAAAACAGACAGTAGATAAAACTGTAAATGCAATAAACAGTGAATAAAGCACACCAAATCTGCTTCTAAACAACACAATAACATAGACGTGGATGTTGCGCATTAGCTGATGAATATTTTGTCGTTAGTGTAAAATTGATACTAATTTTCACTTGAATAGGTTCTAGCTTCTTGGCAACAAAGAAAAATTCGCATAAAAGAACCTGTGAATTTCTGTAGCAGGTATAAAAGGCTTAACTCAGTCTGGAGACCTTCAGATTTGCAATCATGTTGGTTAACCAACATTGGTACAGTAACTACTGTTTTTATTGTGCACATCTTGAATGGAACTCCCCCCTTGCAAGTTTGCATTATTGTTTAAGGGTACCCCTCTCAAATGTTTCGAATGAAAGAAAATTGAAGATTTTTGCTTCATTTCAGAGATGTTAAACGAATAAGTAACGAACTGTTCTATATTATGCGTCAGAATTGTTTTGTTCTAACCAATATTAGTAGATACTTCGCTTCTTGAACTTATTAACCCTTTAAACTTGTTACTGCTAATCTACTTGCTAAAGAAATTAGAGAAGAAAAACTCACCCACACGTATGGAGACTTATATCTAGCGTAAGACGCTATCAAGAAAATTGTTGTGTGCTGGTCCTGAAATTTAAACCAAATTAAAAATACAAAAAACATCCTGCATTACACAATATTTTTATCGACGAAATTCGCCCAAACCATTAATTTATGACAAGGCTCGATTTACATAAAACTCTATTCGTACTACTAATGTTAAAAACGGTTCACTTTGGAAACCACGATCTAGAAGGTAATTTATAGAAAATTCATCTGATTATCGTAGTAGTGTAAATCGAATATTGTATAATGGCTTGATTTAAACCAACAATTTGAGTATCAGGGTTAATCAAAGGTAAGGCAACTGGACTTTTCTTCACCCTATCAAAACCAAGCTTCTAAAATTCACATCTTTCTTAGTATTAAAACAGATATCTTGATTACATATTTCTGATATCTACTTTACACAACAAAGGAAGAATGCAAGGCTGCCTTACAACTGGTGAAATTTCTGAGCTACATGGGCTGGCAGGAGGCAACCCAATTGCTAGGAACTGGAAACCACTAAGCCTGAAATAGAACAAGTTGCAAGCATCAAACCAAATTCAAACAAGAAATTATTTCTGGATGATGTGAAAAATGGATACATATTGCTTGCCTTTGAAATGGCATTCTTTTATGATTCAGCAAGCGTAAATGTAAAGAGCAGTTGTCATTAATTTTAGTAAAATATCAACTTGTCTTCACCAAAAAGTGACAGATCAAAGATTGCTAATCATGAATCAAACCTTCTGGGTATAAAGGAAGCATAAGTTTCAAAAAGTTCTGAAATGAAACAATCACCTTGCCTCGTGTATTATCAATAAGGTTTCAGACAAAAATACTGGGAAACAAGGGACCTGTGTGCACATGCCTTCACATTCCTTTAGCAGTGATGAAAAGTGTTCCTTTTGGATTTTCCTACAATATCAAATGATGCCTCTTTTCCCAATTTAACCTGATGCCTCAGATACCATCAACTGCAAAGGGTTTTACCTATAATTTACCACTCAAGGACGAACTTTCTTCTTTTAAAAGGGAAAGGTTTTTTAAAAGGTTTTGGGGTGCTTAAGACTTTTTAGGCCATTCATCAATGAACAACTATCCTGAACCCAACTCTTTCTATCACTGAATGTTCTGTTTTATTCCTGGTTTTTCATAGTACAGTAAAAACTCATATTTCAGGATTAGCAAGGTAGTATTCCATGAATAATAGATAGTGCCCTGTCAACTGATAAGTTGTCAAACAAGATTCTCAAGGTCTCATCTTACTGTATTGCAACTATAGATCTGATATTTATAATACATAGATCAAATTTATAATACCTAGAAAAACACAATCCTAATGTATAATACATAGATCAAAAAAATAAGGAAGCAGGCTTACACTTGCTGAGAATTCCTTGATAGAATGAAAGAGTCGCTACAATAAATTTTATATATTGTTAATATATTGTTAATGAATAGCAAAAAAGACTCAATAAAGACAGGAGTGGACAAAAACATAAAATAAGTTTTACAAAATGATTACCATGCTCAAGGTAAAATTCTTATTTACAATATGCATACATATTGCACTTGCAAACATCTAACTAGCTTGGATTCCTATATTCAAATGTAATTAAAGACTGTGCAGGATCGTGAAGGAGATTTTTCAAAAGGATCCAGGAAAAACATAAAGGATTCTGCTAGGATTTTTCAGAAAATGATGTTGTTCTTATCAGGGTCCTGTAAGCTGAGACAAATTGGCTGGGGGGTGAGGGGGGTTAGGGGGGTGTGGCATCCCATATATTTTTGTGTTCTTATCTGTAAATTGTGCCTGATTTGGTATAAAGCATCCTTTGGTGGTAGGTAGTAACAAAATGGTGCAAAATTTGCTTTTTACATCATTTTATTTTCTTTATCTTAAAGTTGAAAATAGAATTTTAAAAAGGGGAACTTCCATTATTATCCAGCCACCTAAAAGGTGTGCCACCAAAATCCAATCATTATCTAACACCCTCCCCCAATCCCTGCCTCTTAAATGCATCCCAGCTTACATGCATCCAAGCTCAGATCCTAAACAGAATCCTGTTAGCATTTTTACCAGGATTCTCAAATCAGCGTCCTGTTTGATCCAATTTGATGATCTTTTACATATAAAATTGATCTCCCAACAAATCTGAATTTAAAGGTTGGTGAACCGACCATTAGTTGTAATGTAAAGACAAAAAGGTAATAGGAGTTAGCATGTAATCTTCAATGTCTGAAAGGAATTTTCTTAAAATAGAAGTGTTGCTTTGACAATTAGTGAACCCATTAAAGAGCGTACTAAATCAGCTGAAATACAATTCTTAAGGAGAATGCACAGAAAACCATATATAGACAGAGTTGGTAAAGAAAAAGCTTTATAAATGAAAAGTGACAAAATGTAAAGGGATGGAAAAATTATTGTTCAACAGGAAGAATAGAAGGTAAAAGAAATAGAGGAAGACAAATGCACAGTACATTCTGAGACTGGACATGAACTCAATACTGGCAGAAAAGATTCAGAAATGTTGACATTGTCAAGAGATAAAGAGGGATGGAAAACAATGATCCCAAACGTCCTGGAGGGACAAGAGACTCAGAAGAAGAAGAGAAGCTTGTAGGAAAAAAATCAAATAACCTAGTCAAAATCTTCACAATTGGATCACTATCTACAGCCTAAAGGATAATTGATTAAGCAATTATCATAGATGAAAACAATTTCGCCAAAAAAAGTCTCTAGGTAAAGTCTAAAAATAAATAATTACCTATTACGAGGTAAACCTTGTCTTGAAGGGAAACTATCTGTAGAGCTGGTCTCTTCACATTCAATCCCTTGGCTTTCACAACGACCAAGTGGGTGGTAACCAGAGCACTGAAATAAACAAAAAGGTAATGAAAGCAAAGGTTGAAAAGTTTTAAATAACAAAATAAAATCCTTTGCAATGACTAAAGTTTCTTTTAATTAATACAAAAAACAAGGGTAGGTCTTTATATTCTGAGATTGAATATTACACAGGAAGAGATATTAAACTGTCACTAGAAAAAAAAATCAAAATTGTTTACTCATGTTGATTAGATAGATTAAATATTACTGATGTCCAAAAGAAGTTGGCTTTTTAATTTGGGCTCATACATTTGGGTTTTAAGGGTTTTTTTGAGAGGTAAGTAATTTGACAAGAATCTGGAGCAAGTGACCCATTAAGGCCTGCAGAGTCGACTAAGGCATAAAGCAAATGTGGGCAGCTCAAACATAAAAATTCATAGGCAAATTGTGCAAATTGTGATACCAGCATGAAACTTGGTAGTGATGGGCAGTTTGATATGCTGAATAATCTTGATGGGATACATGCTCAAAACTACCCCTTGTAATATTTTTAAATGGGGGTTTTAAATGGGGGTATCAAATTCCAGATCTCTAAGCATGTTATTTACTGAACCCACATTTCTTTCCCCAACTTGCAAACCTTAGTGTGTCACACATTCCTGAAAATTCTTACAGACTGCACACAGAAAATAAGATAAAAATTTATGAAAATCCAAACTTTTAAGACTTATAACTTGAAAAAAGTAAATAACTTCAAGAAAAACATTGCTATCACATTCAAGGATACTAAATTGACAGTAAACTTGAAACAAACAAAAATTGGTTTTTTCATTCAAGAGATATCATCATCTTGCAAAGACAAAATTGAAAATTATAATTAAATATTTTGACCCTTTGAAACGTCATCCATTTTGAATGTCATTATGTCCACGATGCAAATGTGGAATTAACTACTTTGATTCTCAACAAATAGCAAGAGAAAGTGAATGACACTTACAGACTGCTCATTTTGGACTTTCAGCAAAAGCTCTTCTCTGCCTCTTAAATACGTATCAAAGTACCTGAATCCCTAGAAAAAGGATAAATTTGATTTAAGAAAAATTTACTGTAAATAGCTCTGAATTTAAAAATTGATTGTATTCAAAACATAAAAAGATACTTGGCATGCTGACAATCAGATCATGGCTTTTTAAGAAAAACAGTGAAACAAACAATCATTTTAGTACTTAAACTTGCCCCCTAGCCTTCCTTGGGTGGACCGCTAGCCCTCTAGACCGCAGAGGCCGGTACATGCAATGCCCCCCATTGCAAGCTGCAAATTAGCAAAGAACCAACTAACGCTGAGAGTGGGTCCAAACCCCCTCCCCCGCACAAACCCCCCCCTTTCCGCACACTTAAGAACAAGATGAAAAAATACCCAGTTGTGAATCGAGTAGGTAAGCTATACCCAGCTCTGCTTGGGTCAAGCAGCTTGGCCATTGCAGCCAAGAGTCAAATTTGTGATACATACATATACAAACACATACATACATACATTGGTTTAATGTTGTAATCACCATTGCACTTGTTCATTAGGCCTAGTCAATTATCAATTTTCAAAATAACGTAAACAAAAATGTCTCTTTAATCTATGAAAATCGAGCTTCACTTGCCAGTGCTGGTCATGTCGGTGTTCAAATGTCTAGATTGTTGAAAAATTGTGTTCTAGATTGTTATTTCTTGGCCTTGCCGTTTCATTTTTTGAACAATACTCCTCCAAATCGGAAAACAAATGCTTTTATCCCTAGCTGAATTGTATGCAATAACAGGAAAAATACAAAACGCCTCCAAACGTGTTCTATAGTTTTGAAGAAACAAACCTTAGCACATCCAAATCGTAGGAGATCATTGAGGAAGCCGTGCAATTTCTTTTTGATAAACTGTTCTTTGTATTTACTGGTGGAGTCACCTTCAGAAGACATTTCGTGATTTACCCTTCCCAATGCAACTTCTTCAGAAAACCTTTAGGCCCAAACACAACACAAATGACGCTCCGGTCTCGATATCGACACTCAAAACGAGACGACGTTTCTAGGCACTGAGAAACAAAGTATTTTATAGATAAACTTCAGATTTACCGACGAATTCCTGAAGTATTTGGGGGGGGGGGGGTGTTACACTGTCCTGATCGCGTCAAAGCCCCTTCCTCATGAAATATCCAGACAGTTTCTGATTTGGTTGCGAATCAGTTGTTAGAAATATGTGTTTACAACTTACAAAACCAATTTTCATGAAAACCTTTCCATGACTTTTTCTCAATTTTTTTTTGGAGTTTCTTTGATTTTTGAAATTATTTATTAGTTAAAAAAAATTACTTCGTCGGTACGTGAGTAAATGTCGTGAAGGTTTTTTGCCAAGCTTGTAGCGACCGAAACGAAAAAACAGACTTACGCACAGCTGATAGAAATAATGTTTTAATAAAAAATGGAAAAAGCTCTCAATAAATTGCTAACATCACTTGATGGACAATGACTGCTTCTTCGGTATATGCAACAAAATTTAAAAGACAAAGAGTGTAAAAGATTTGTCGTGGTTAGAAAGAGCAAGAAGTCACGTGATGCTAAGGGACGAACGTTTCACAATGGCCGATATGCATCTAAACAGGTTTGCGTCATTACGCAAAATTGCAAAAATGTAACAGAAAATTGATATTTTAAAAAGCTGCCGGTAAATTTTGCAAGGAAAATATCAAAGAATTACAAATGTATCCTTGTACCAATCGACTACAGCAATTCTTGCCGCTGAAACGAATTTTTTTGGTTACATGACCTTGAGCTAAATGACATTTCTACTTTGCAAGAACGTTTAAGAACTGCTAAAATGTTACCAAATGCTATCCTTGTTCTTTAATCGATCGGTGACACCTATGCATGGGAAACTTTTTCTAAACTGAAAGAAAACACTTAACTTTCTTTTTATTTGAAACAATTTGTGTTTCAAGAACAAGTTTGTGAAAAATCATTATGTTTTATTGGCCCATCTTAAAATTATTTGATTGAAATTGATTGGAAGGAAGGTTTCTTATTTTAACAAAAAAAGATAACAGATGAAAAGTTCAGAAGCTTTGCAACATATTAACGTCTTGGTTCATTTTCAAAAGGTTACTTAAAAATTAATCACACTAAAATAAAGAGTCGTTATCGCCAGCCTGAATTTGCTTTTGCTAGGAAGGACAAGCCATCTTTGAACTGTCCGGATACTTTCGCGAGAGTAATGTAGAGATACTTTTGTCATGTATATCACATTCAAACACCCGCAGCGACAGACATTTTCAACAGGACAGGCTAACCTCTTTAACAAGTTTTCTTTCTAGATGCTGATGGGAATAAAGCTCTTTCCCCTAGCTTTTACGTTGTTCATTTAGTTTGACTCAGAAAATAGATACTTTTGATTTGACTTCATGTGTATAGTCCATGGACAGGCATTTCCAAGTTGAGTCTATTGAGATATCTTTGAAATAACAAATAATGCAGCCTTTATTGAGCATTAACAGTTGAGATAATAAAAGTCTAAGAAGAGTTATTTGAAACCTAAAAACGAAGTGGTACTTATTAAGTCGACTCCATTTGTGTGTTAATTGAGGAACTTTACAAGTTTCTATATCTTGAAAACCCTTTCTAATCTTTCCCACCCCATCAAAAATGGCTGAAAGGAGTCATGGCCACCGACCCTGCCCTACAACTGTTGACGAGCGTACTTTATTGAAAAATGAAACGCCAGCTTTTGAATTGTAGTCGCATTAACGTAATGAAAACATTGTCATACTCTCTGGTCCTAATATAAACAAGCAACGAGACGAAGTGTTATACTGTGAGATAGCTAATTTAAATAAGGGGATGGGGGTATAAGGTATCTCACTTAAACAAATTATCTATAATTTCCTTTGTCATAAACTCCGATTAAAAAAATAAAGATCAAAATCTAACAGCAACATATTGATTTATAGGGGCAGATGATCTGTGATGCTCTATCTGATATCACGAAAGGATTCTGTACAGCAGAATGCAATAACGGACGTGAATAATACTTTTACAGAATAAGACTTGGAAATTATATTTATTATTCTTATTTTTGGCAATTGAACTTAAAATGTACAAGGAAAGTATTAAAGTGTTAGATGACAGTATTAAAGATTTTATCTTAGACCAGATACAGCTTTTACATTTAATGAATACAAATTCTTTTCATTTTATAGGTCATCATAAGCTATTCTGACGTAATAAAAATCCAAAAATACGGAAATGGCATGCTAATTTTAGCCTTTACTTTTTTCTTTCAATAATTCTGTGATTACTTTTGGATCCTTTTAATCATTTTAGCTTTACTTGAGTTTAATTCTTAGAGAAGAGACGATGCCATAGGCCTATTTTAAGTAGACAAAACATTTCTACCACTCAAACTTGCATTAAGATTCACATCATGAAATTCAACAATACAGTAGAAAGTAAAAAATTACATTCTAATTTTTCTTCTAACACGAAGTTCACCTATAAGGAAAAAACGCTTCCATTGTGTGATATTTGATGAAAGAAAATCGATGTACGTCTATAGACTTAGTTCATGCACAGCATATGAAAAGCCTATATTAAATATAAGAAAAATATTAAGCTAAACCTTTAATAAATTGGAAGGGTAGAAATACTACGTAGGACTTTTAAAGCCTCCAAACTCAAAACTGTATTTTTAAAAGGTGAGTACTTAGCCTCGTGATTCTTCTAAGCAAAAGCAGTCTTCAAGTTGATACTGAATTGCCAAACCTCAGAGCTATATTTTCCTCTTGAGGTCATTTGTATTTGTCCAAAATTGTCAGTTATTGTGTATTTGCATAAGCTAATCCTCGAGTAAATCTAATGCATAACTTGAGTAGATTGACTCGAGACTATTCAGAAGAATGTGCAAACACTCTTTTGGTCTGAATCCACACTGAGGTATTGATAGTGACTTCAAGGGAATCCAAAACAGCAAAAACACGCTTAAGAACAATGCTTGCATCCAGTGTGTTCTTTAAATTGAATGATCCACTCGATATTCTTTTAGCTTGCCTTCAAAAATGTCCACTTCATCGTGTAATTTCTGAAAAGATATGAAAATTTTATTAATGTGCACACATCGCCGTTTCTAAAGAGAAATTCATCAGTTTGATCCAACTGAAATCCTACATGATCATCCGGAACAAAATACTAGATTCAACAAATGAACTTTACAAAGCATAGCACTGCTTCAGTGATGACACGAAACTTTCAAGATGTGCAGGCATTGTGTTTTTACAGAGTATTACAATAAAGATGATTGTTTACAGGTCTGTAGCTTACTGATCGATGGCAAATAGACAGAGCTGTAAGTTGCCTGATGACCGAATTAAGTTTGAAACTTCCAATTGCAACTAAAAATCTTGAAGAAATTGCATGTAACTTGACGATATTTAACAGGACAATGAAATCAAAGTTGTACCGGTTACTGTTCAAAGAACGATAATATAGAGATAAACAGAGGAACCAAAGCCAACTTCGAGACTTATCAATAAGCTATTTATATGCAAATAAAGCTATTTATATGAGAATCAGCAGTAGCACTAAGAACATTGTACGGAAAAATAACATGAAGTTTTCAGCTAATTTCAACATGAAGATTTTTATGAAGCTTAAATTTATGGAGTACACATTTTTTTATACAAGAATCAAAAAAATGTTTCAGATTTTGGCTTCTTTTTATCAAATGACTCTTAGCTGCATTATAAAATTTCATCACTTCTTTATTTTGTAAACTTTGTTCGACAGTATACTTTCTTGCACACCTTATGCAAAATGTAGTTTAGTGCAAATACTTTACATTTCTATTTTCTTGTTTGGCTAGCCCTGTTCAGCTTGTAAATGTTTCTTGAGAGCGCTTTAATTTCTAAATGAAAAGTAAGAAGGCGTGCCACAGTACTCCTTTTTAGTTTCGCTGCTTTTTCTTCTCTTAATTTACTTGTACATGGCCTACTAAAATAGGTCTTGAAAACAAGGTGACATCTGTATGATACGGCTGTCAAAAGGCAAACAGCAGATAAATCTGTGTACAGAAGTAATGTTTAGCTAGTTACACGAAAACAACAGGGACATGGGGATAGAAAACAGGAAATCAAAAAGTATGGTAGCACGGAGAAAACAGTTCCATTCAAGAGATAACCAGTCATACTTTTGATGATGACCAAAAATTGAAATCTGTATTGGCTTTGCAACACTAAAAGGCTGTTGAAAACGGAACCAACTTACCTGTACGAGTTTTATTAAAGTTCGTCGTTTTGCTTTCGCTTCTTGGTGTGTAATGTCAATTTCCTATAAATTGAAAAAACCCTAGCATAATCAAATGAAAATTTGTTTGTTAAAGATTCTTTAGTAGCAAAATTAAAAATCTAGAGATACACAATTCAAACAACTTAGAACTTCTTTCAATAGTAGGCATGGAACAGTGTTATTGCAGTTTTATCGAAATATTTTAATGCTGGGCTTACAATTTTTGCCATGACTAAATAAGAGAGTCTTTTACGATAAACAAACGCACTTTTCATAAAATTCAAGTTGATTAACAGAGCTGCGGATTTCCATAAAATGAAATATTGATCTGAGTTCTGTGCATAATTTCTGAATGTCAATAGTTTCTAAACTCGCTGAGTTTTCTATTAACATGTGACATATTTGTAACAAAGATGGTTAATTTTGAGGATCATCGACGGCCTTCAGCAACAAACACCGCTAAAGAAATTCAATTTCACCTTAGTCTACTTGCAGCGTTATCAACTTCTATTTAGTTTGTACGGTCAAAATGTGATAAACCATAACAGGCACAGTATTTTATAAATGTACATAAATGAATTTGGGAAGATCAGTTTTATTTACTTTACATATTGAGATACGGTCTGGTTATAGGAATGACACTGAATGGAAATGCAAGCCACCAAAAAGGTAATTCGAAATGTGGTTAAAACTAGAGAACATTATAGGAAGAAATTACAAAATGGCTTCCAGAACAGTGTTTTAAATTACGTTTCCAATCAACATTTCACTCAGATCAATTATTTTGAAAAGTAGATGACATGACTTGGAAAACGTCGGCATTCCCAAAAAAACCAATTGTCGCCAAAGCTGTTTCGGTAGGCCATCTCGAAATAACTGTATGGGTTCGCTATGACTATTTCAGTTAATTTCATGGTATATTTTAGGGAAATATTTTTGCCAAAACCGGAAATTTGAGTGGGCCGCCTGGCCTAAGAAACATTGTGCCAGTGGCTGAGTAAACCACAACACTGCAAAGTATAATGGGTTTGTCCTAAACAGTCACGGACGCATTCATGCCTATGGCTTACCCAGTTCTCGAACCAAAATCTTTAGGAATAAAACTTATATGTATCGACCATAAACTACCTTGAAAATTGCAAATAAATGCAAAATTACCATTGAATCTAGTTTTTCAATACATTTCATAAAACCTTCGTCCTGACGTTTCAGTGACTTTTCAATGTCATCCAGTGACTGATGTGTCATGTTTTCATTCAGATATCCCTTGGAGACAAAAAAATACCAAATCAATAACTTTTCCTTAAATAGTTTTTTTAAAGTCCAAATGCTTATAAGGTACTGCTTATAAGGTCCTTATGATGCCAAATTTTTGATGAAGGCTGTCAAAAAGGCCAATAATATTTTTTAACAAAAAATTGATACAAGCCAACTTTTGTAGGTCCATATATCATAGGCAATGGCAATCAGGTATATCAAAGACAAAAAGTAACTTCAACTCTCAATGAAAATAAATTCTAAATAGCTAATAAGTCAACTAACATTGAACACACCTGCTTCAAAGACAAAAAAAAATTTTCTGTCTCTCTGAACTTTCCTTCTGCAATTTTAAAATCATTTTCTACTTTGGATATCGAACAAATCAATCTTTCTTCAACTGGATCATTCTGTAAAAAATGTATTTTTCTTTGACTCAGACAGCAAGTTGTACCAACAAATGTATCAAAGAATTCAGATCAAGCTTGTGATTCAGATCAAGCTTGTGATTCAGACAAAGGCTTGGGTCTTTGCTTACCGTGATTGAAATGTTATATCTGAATGATCATGAAGATAAACTTCACTTGACGGTTAAATGGGAATCTCAACCCAAAAAGAAGATTCAAGTAATTTGGTATATTGAGATCAACAGGTGAGGTGGTTGTCCTGAATTGCCACTATGAGTCACTGCAAAGTGACAAATGGAATGTAACAAATGTTAGCATTTAAAATCATTCGCATGATGATCTAATCATTTTTGAAAAAGAAAAACAATTGAGTATATAAACCAAAATAAATGCAATTTTCCTTAAATGTAAAGGAAAAAACCAAACTGCAAAATTCAAGACTACGAGTCATTTTAAAAAGTGACCTGAAAAATTCTTTTCAGTACACAGAGAGCATCCAATTACTACCTGGCCTTGCATATTTTCTCTTTCACAAATTTGGAGAGCCATACGGCCGTACAGCTATACACCTGGAGGCCATACAGGTGCTCTAAAGATTTTCACACCATCAGCACCCTGTCAATTTATACAATTAACGATTGGACAAACAACAAATTTGTGGAAACAATAAAAAATTAAAATCTTCAGGGCTAGTTTGCTATTATGTAACTAATATTTCTGAGTGTGTCACACATTCCTGAAAATTCTTACAGACTGCACACAGATAATAAGATAAAAATTTATGAAAATCCAAACTTTTAATTGCTATCACATTCAAGGATACTAAATTGATAGTAAACTTGAAACAAACAAAAATTTGTTTTTTCATTCAAGAGATATCATGATCTTGCGAAGACAAAATTGAAAATTATAATTAAATATTTTGACCCTTTGAAACGTCATCCATTTTGAATGTCATTATGTCCACGATGCAAATGGGGAATTAACTACTTTGATTCTCAACAAATAGCAAGAGAAAGACACTTACAGACTGCTCATTTTGGACTTTCAGCAAAAGCTCTTCTCTGCCTCTTAAATACGTATCAAAGTACCTGAATCCCTAGAAAAAGGATAAATTTGATTTAAGAAAAATTTACTGTAAATAACTCTGAATTTAAAAATTGATTGTATTCAAAACATAAAAAGATACTTGGCATGCTGACAATCAGATCATGGCCTTTTTAGAAAAACAGTGAAACAAACAATCATTTTAGTACTTAAACTTGCCCCCTAGCCTTCCTTGGGTGGACCGCTTAGCCCTCTAGACCGCAGAGGCGGGTACATGCAATGCCCCCCATCGCAAGCTGCAAATAAGCAAAGAACCAACTAACGCTGAGAGTGAGTCCAAACCCCCTCCCCCGCACAAACCCCCCCTTTCCGCACATTTAAGAACAAGATGAAAAAATACCCAGTTGTGAATCGAGTAGGTAAGCTATACCCAGCTCTGCTTGGGTCAAGCAGCTTGGCCATTGCAGCCAAGAGTCAAATTTGTGATACATACATATACAAACACATACATACATATATTGGTTTATTAATTTTGTAATCACCATTGCGCTTGTTAATTAGGCCTAGTCAATTATCAATTTTCAAAATAACGTTAACAAAAATGTCTCTTTAATCTATGAAAATCGAGCTTCACTTGCCAGTGCTGGTCAAGTCGGTGTTCAAATGTCAAGATTGTTGAAAAATTGTGTTCTAGATTGTTATTTCTTGGCCTTGCCGTGTCATTTTTTGAACAATACTCCTCCAAATCGGAAAACAAATGCTTTTATCCCTAGCTGAATTGTATGCAATAACAGGAAAAATACAAAACGCCTCCAAACGTGTTCTATAGTTTTGAAGAAACAAACCTTAGCACATCCGAATCGTAGAAGATCATTGAGGAAGCCGTGCAATTTCTTTTTGATAAACTGTTCTTTGTATTTACTGGTGGAGTCACCTTCAGAAGACATTTCGTGATTTACCCTTCCCAATGCAACTTCTTCAGAAAACCTTTAGGCCCAAACACAACACAAATGACGCTCCGGTCTCGATATCGACACTCAAAACGAGACGACGTTTCTAGGCACTGAGAAACAAAGTATTTTATAGATAAACTTCAGATTTACCGACGAATTCCTGAAGTATTTGGGGGGGGGGGGGTGTTACACTGTCCTGATCGCGTCAAAGCCCCTTCCTCATGAAATATCCAGACAGTTTCTGATTTGGTTGCGAATCAGTTGTTAGAAATATGTGTTTACAACTTACAAAACCAATTTTCATGAAAACCTTTCCATGACTTTTTCTCAATTTTTTTTGGAGTTTCTTTGACTTTTGAAATTATTTATTCGTTAAAAAAAATTACTTCGTCGGTACGTGAGTAAATGTCGTGAAGGTTTTTTGCCAAGCTTGTAGCGACCGAAACGAAAAAACAGACTTACGCACAGCTGATAGAAATAATGTTTTAATAAAAAATGGAAAAAGCTCTCAATAAATTGCTAACATCACTTGATGGACAATGACTGCTTCTTCGGTATATGCAACAAAATTTAAAAGACAAAGAGTGTAAAAGATTTGTCGTGGTTAGAAAGAGCAAGAAGTCACGTGATGCTAAGGGACGAACGTTTCACAATGGCCGATATGCATCTAAACAGGTTTGCGTCATTACGCAAAATTGCAAAAATGTAACAGAAAATTGATATTTTAAAAAGCTGCCGGTAAATTTTGCAAGGAAAATATCAAAGAATTACAAATGTATCCTTGTACCAATCGACTACAGCAATTCTTGCCGCTGAAACGAATTTTTTTGGTTACATGACCTTGAGCTAAATGACATTTCTACTTTGCAAGAACGTTTAAGAACTGCTAAAATGTTACCAAATGCTATCCTTGTTCTTTAATCGATCGGTGACACCTATGCATGGGAAACTTTTTCTAAACTGAAAGAAAACACTTAACTTTCTTTTTATTTGAAACAATTTGTGTTTCAAGAACAAGTTTGTGAAAAATCATTATGTTTTATTGGCCCATCTTAAAATTATTTGATTGAAATTGATTGGAAGGAAGGTTTCTTATTTTAACAAAAAAAGATAACAGATGAAAAGTTCAGAAGCTTTGCAACATATTAACGTCTTGGTTCATTTTCAAAAGGTTACTTAAAAATTAATCACACTAAAATAAAGAGTCGTTATCGCCAGCCTGAATTTGCTTTTGCTAGGAAGGACAAGCCATCTTTGAACTGTCCGGATACTTTCGCGAGAGTAATGTAGAGATACTTTTGTCATGTATATCACATTCAAACACCCGCAGCGACAGACATTTTCAACAGGACAGGCTAACCTCTTTAACAAGTTTTCTTTCTAGATGCTGATGGGAATAAAGCTCTTTCCCCTAGCTTTTACGTTGTTCATTTAGTTTGACTCAGAAAATAGATACTTTTGATTTGACTTCATGTGTATAGTCCATGGACAGGCATTTCCAAGTTGAGTCTATTGAGATATCTTTGAAATAACAAATAATGCAGCCTTTATTGAGCATTAACAGTTGAGATAATAAAAGTCTAAGAAGAGTTATTTGAAACCTAAAAACGAAGTGGTACTTATTAAGTCGACTCCATTTGTGTGTTAATTGAGGAACTTTACAAGTTTCTATATCTTGAAAACCCTTTCTAATCTTTCCCACCCCATCAAAAATGGCTGGAAGGACTCATGGCCACCGATCCTGCCCTACAACTGTTGACGAGCGTACTTTATTGAAAAATGAAACGCCAGCTTTTGAATTGTAGTCGCATTAACGTAATGAAAACATTGTCATACTCTCTGGTCCTAATATAAACAAGCAACGAGACGAAGTGTTATACTGTGAGATAGCTAATTTAAATAAGGGGATGGGGGTATAAGGTATCTCACTTAAACAAATTATCTATAATTTCCTTTGTCATAAACTCCGATTAAAAAAATAAAGATCAAAATCTAACAGCAACATATTGATTTATAGGGGCAGATGATCTGTGATGATCTATCTGATATCGCGAAAGGATTCTGTACAACAGAATGCAATAACGGACGTGAATAATACTTTTACAGAATAAGACTTGGAAATTATATTTATTATTCTTATTTTTGGCAATTGAACTTAAAATGTACAAAGAAAGTAACATTGTTAGAAGACAGTATTAAAGATTTTATCTTAGACCAGATACAGCTTTTACATTTACTGAATACAAATTCTTTTCATTTTATAAGTCATCATAAGCTATTCTGACGTAATAAAAATCCAAAAATACGGAAATGGCATGCTAATTTTAGCCTTTACTTTTTTCTTTCAATAATTCTGTGATTACTTTTGGATCCTTTTAATCATTTTAGCTTTACTTGAGTTTAATTCTTTAGAGAAGAGACGATGCCATAGGCCTATTTTAAGTAGACAAAACATTTCTACCACTCAAACTTGCATTAAGATTCACATCATAAAATTCAACAAAACAGTAAAAAGTAAAAAATTATATTCTTATTTTTCTTCTGACACGAAGCTTACCCATAAGGAAAAAACGCTTCCATTGTGTGATATTTGATGAAAGAAAATCTATGTACGTCTATAGACTTAGTTTATGCACAGCATATGAAAAGCCTATATTAAATATAAGAAAAATATTAAGCTAAACCTTTAATAAATTGGAAGGGTAGAGATACTACGTAGGACTTTTTAAGCCTCCAAACTCAAAACTGTATTTTTAAAAGGTGAGTACTTAGCCTCGTGATTCTTCTAAGCAAAAACAGTCTTCAAGTTGATACTGAATTGCCAAACCTCAGAGCTATATTTTCCTCTTGAGGTCATTTGTATTTGTCTAAAATTGTCAGTTATTGTTTATTTGTATAAGCTAATCCTCGAGTAAATCTAATGCATAACTTGAGTAGATTGACTCGAGACTATTCAGAAGAATGTGCAAACACTCTTTTGGTCTGAATCCACACTGAGGTATTGATAGTGACTTCAAGGGAATCCAAAACAGCAAAAACACGCTTAAGAACAATGCTTGCATCCAGTGTGCTCTCTAAATGGAATGATCGACTCGATATTCTTTTAGCTTGCCTTCAAAAATGTCCACTTCATCGTGTAATTTCTGAAAAGATATGAAAATTATATTAATGTGCACACATCTCCTCTGTCGCCGTTTCTAAAGAGAAATTCATCAGTTTGATCCAACTGAAATCCTACATGATCATCCGGAACAAAATACTAGATTCAACAAATGAACTTTACAAAGCATAGCACTGTTTCAGTGATGACACGAAACTTTCAAGATGTGCAGGTCTTGTGTTTTTACAGAGTATTACAATAAAGATGATTGTTTAAAGGTCTGTAGCTTACTGATCGATGGCAAATAGACAGAGCTGTAAGTTGCCTGATAACCGAATTAAGTTTGAAACTTCCAATTGCAACTAAAAATCTTGAAGAAATGGCATGTAACTTGACGATATTTAACAGGACAATGAAATCAAAGTTGTACCGGTTACTGTTCAAAGAACGATAATATAGAGATAAACAGAGGAACCAAAGCCAACTTCGAGACTTATCAATAAGCTATCTATATGCAAATAAAGCTATTTATATGAGAATCAGCAGTAGCACGAAGAACATTGTACGGACAAATAACATGAAGTTTTCAGCTAATTTCAACATGAAGATTTTTATGAAGCTTAAATTAATGGAGTACACATTTTTTTATTCAAGAATCACAAAAATAGAGTTCAGCTGATGTTTCAGATTTTGGCTTCTTTTTATCAAATGACTCTTAGCTGCATTATAAAATTTCATCACTTCTTTATTTCGCAAACTTTGTTCGACAGTATACTTTCTTGCACACCTTATGCAAAATGTAGTTTAGTGCAAATACTTTACATTTATATTTACTTGTTTGGCTAGCCCTGTTCAGCTTGTAAATGTTTCTTGAGAGCGCTTTAATTTCTAAATGAAAAGTAAGAAGGCGTGCCACAGTACTCCTTTTTAGTTTCGCTGCTTTTTCTTCTCTTAATTTACTTGTACATGGCCTACTAAAATAGGTCTTGAAAACAAGGTGGCATCTGTATGATACGGCTGTCAAAAGGCAAACAGCAGATAAATCTGTGAACAGAAGTAATGTTTAGCTAGTTACACGAAAACAACAGGGACATGGGTATAGAAAACAGGAAATCAAAAAGTATGGTAGCACGGAGAAAACAGTTCCATTCAAGAGATAACCAGTCATACATTTGATGATGACCAAAAATTGAAATCTGTATTGGCTTTGCAACACTAAAAGGCTGTTGAAAACGGAACCAACTTACCTGTACGATTTTTATTAAAGTTCGTCGTTTTGCTTTCGCTTCTTGGTGTGTAATGTCAATTTCCTATGAATTGAAAAAACCCTAGCATAATCAAATAAAAATTTGTTCGTTAAAGATTCTTTAGTAGCAAAATTAAAAATCTAGAGATACACAAATCAAACAACTTAGAACTTCTTTCAATAGTAGGCATGGAACAGTGCTATTGCAGTTTTATCGAAATATTTTAATGCTGGGCTTACAATTTTTGCCATGACTAAATAAGAGAGTCTTTTACGATAAACAAACGCACTTTTCATAAAATTCAAGTTGATTAACAGAGCTGCGGATTTCCATAAAATGAAATATTGATCTGAGTTCTGTGCATAATTTCTGAATGTCAATAGTTTCTAAACTCACTGAGTTTTCTAATAACATGTGACATATTTGTAACAAAGATGGTTAATTTTGAGGATCATCGACGGCCTTCAGCAACAAACACCGCTAAAGAAATTCAATTTCACCTTAGTCTACTTGCAGCGTTATCAACTTCTATTTAGTTTGTACGGTCAAAATGTGATAAACCATAACAGGCACAGTATTTTATAAATGTACATAAATGAATTTGGGAAGATCAGTTTTATTTACTTTACATATTGAGATACGGTCTGGTTATAGGAATGACACTGAATGGAAATGCAAGCCACCAAAAAGGTAATTCGAAATGTGGTTAAAACTAGAGAACATTATAGGAAGAAATTACAAAATGGCTTCCAAAACAGTGTTTTAAATTACGTTTCCAATCAACATTTCACTCAGATCAATTATTTTGAAAAGTAGATGACATGACTTGGAAAACGTCGGCATTCCCAAAAAAACCAATTGTCGCCAAAGCTGTTTCGGTAGGCCATCTCGAAATAACTGTATGGGTTTGTTATGACTATTTCAGTTAATTTCATGGTATATTTTAGGGAAATATTTTTGCCAAAACCGGAAATTTGAGTGGGCCGCCTGGCCTAAGAAACATTGTGCCAGTGGCTGAGTAAACCACAACACTGCAAAGTATAATGGGTTTGTCCTAAACAGTCATGGACGCATTCATGCCTATGGCTTACCCAGTTCTCGAACCAAAATCTTTAGGAATAAAACTTATATGTATCGACCATAAACTACCTTGAAAATTGCAAATAAATGCAAAATTACCATTGAATCTAGTTTTTCAATGCATTTCATAAAACCTTCGTCCTGACGTTTCAGTGACTTTTCAATGTCATCCAGTGACTGATGTGTCATGTTTTCATTCAGATATCCCTTGGAGACAAAAAAATACCAAATCAATAACTTTTCCTTAAATAGTTTTTTTAAAGTCCAAATGCTTATAAGGTACTGCTTATAAGGTCCTTATGATGCCAAATTTTTGATGAAGGCTGTCAAAAAGGCCAATAATATTTTTTAACAAAAAATTGATACAAGCCAACTATTGTAGGTCCATATATCATAGGCAATGGCAATCAGGTATATCAAAGACAAAAAGTAACTTCAACTTTCAATGAAAATAAATTCTAAATAGCTAATAAGTCAACTAACATTGAACACACCTGCTTCAAAGACAAAAAAAATTTTTCTGTCTCTCTGAACTTTTCTTCTGCAATTTTAAAATCATTTTCTACTTTGGATATCGAGCAAATCAATCTTTCTTCAACTGGATCATTCTGTAAAAAATGTATTTTTCTTTGACTCAGTCTGCAAGTTGTACCGAAAAATGTATCAAAGAATTCAGATCAAGTTTGTGATTCAGACAAAGGCTTGGGTCTTTGCTTACCGTGATTGAAATGTTATATCTCAATGATCATGAAGGTAAACTTCACTTGATGGTTAAATGGGAATCTCAACCCAAAAAGAAGATTCAAGTAATTTGGTATGTTGAGATCAACAGGTGAGGTGGTTGTCCTGAATTGCCACTATGACTCACTGCAAAGTGACAAATGGAATGTAACAAATGTTAGCATTTAAAATCATTCGCATGATGATCTAATCATTTTTTAAAAAGAAAAACAATTGAGTATATAAACCAAAATAAATGCAATTTTTCTTAAATGTAAAGGAAAAAACCAAACTGCAAAATTCAAGACTACGAGTCATTTTAAAAAGTGACCTGAAAAATTCTTTTTCAGTACACAGAGAGCATCCAATTACTACCTGGCCTTGCATATTTTCTCGTTCACAAATTTGGAGAGCCATACGGCCGTACAGCTATACACCTGGAGGCCATACAGGTGCCCTAAAGATTTTCACACCATCAGCACCATGTCAATTTATACAATTAACGATTGGACAAACAACACATTTGTGGAAACAATAAAAAATTAAAATCTTCAGGGCTAGTTATTGCTATTATGTAACTAATATTTCACACAAACCTTTTTACCTATCAACATTATCTTTGCCCCATTCTTTATGTTACTTTCACTCAAGGATTCCTCCGTTTTCGTTAGTGATTTCCCTAAATACAGGAAGTCAAAATGCAAAATTAATTTTAAGAGTTCTCAGATGATCCTTAGAAACTATTCACAAATACAGTAAAACTCGCATAAATCTGCACAGTATTTAAAAATTGTCCCTGATCCGTTTTTTAAGAGATAATAAGGATAATTATATGTAATGTGACGCTATTTCAATGAGGGACTTAAAAAAGGTCTGACTTTTGCATATATGGAAAATCTACGAGTTCACAATGCTATGACTCAAGCTGGACAAAAGCTGCAATGAATATAAGGGCGGCCTATATCATCGAGACGAGATATCATCCATATCATCTTCTGTAGCACAAACAAGGTGCGCTTTTAATTAATGAAATTCAGGTTTTCATTCTAACAGTATTTTCCTCTGCTCTAATGAAGCTTCATGATCAAAATATTAGACAAACAGCCTCTAACCGCCATGAAATTTTTGCTGGCTTGCCCTACCTGTGCGATTTGAACTAGCGGGAAATCTGATATCGTCTATTCCAATTACAAAATCCAACTTACACAAAGTAAATTTATAGCATTATTACCTAATGGACTGGAACTATGCATTTTCGTTCAGGTTATGAAATAAATAATTAATACGAGTCTGACTAACGCTATTTTGGCAGCAATAGGCAATTTTGAATTCACTGAATTTTGCAACAATTCTATACAGTTTGAAATTTAGAAACTTCATTGCCACAAAGTTAAGTGTGCATTTGACTCTATGTACAAATAGAATAAAAGGAAACAGCTGAGATAAACTGATCAACTTCTATGATTTTTCCAAATTTTAGAATGCATACCTTTATAAATTAAGCGTTGTCTTGAAGAAGGCACTTTGGTTACTTCATAAATAACATCAGACAGATCAGCAATAGTGCATTCCAAGCTTGGTAGCTCGATCTTGTATTTCATAGTGCCTTGCGAAAGAAATAAACAGTCTTGCTTACCATCATAATCATTATTTTCGTTTTACATCTGTTTCCATACTAGCATTGGTTCGATGGAGTTTTCCTTATGGATTTGAGAAAATGAGCAGTTTCTGCAGCAAATTCAACTAACATAATATTGTCAACTAAAAGAAGTCAACTAACTAGTAGAATGGCTGTCAACTAACATAATATTGCAGATTACAACTGAAGTTTCAGAAAATTATGAGGTAAGGCTGCATAAAATATTTCTTAGTTGGAGAATCTTAACTAAAATTTGTCTGCAAAAATAATAGCGATAAGTGTTCCACAGATGTAAAGCCAGGTCACCGAGGTTATTAATCATGAAGGTCAGAACTAGTGGCCATGGGTCTAAAAGTTCAGGTTTACAGCCACTTGTGCAAGGAGTGGAAGAGATAGAGATACACAGATCATTGAGGGGACAAAGAGAGAAAGAACCAGTTCACATGAGTAGCACTTCCAGTTGTACTTAACATGTGATGAAGTTCCCCCCCCAGTGAAAATGAAAGTTACTACTTAGCCAAAAATGAAATTCTATTGCAAAATAAAGGTCAGCAAAAATCATGAAGAGTAAACCTTACACAGAATTTATTTGTGGAATGATAATTTTGATGAGTTAGTTCTTCAAAGCTTGAAAGCGTTTGAAAATCACTTGATTTTATTTGTCATTGAGCACCTCAGGACTTATTTGATGTACCAGCAATTTGGTAACGTCAATAGGCTGCAAGCCTAAAACATAATGACCATTGCCACTAGTTTGGACCTTCATCTCATTAACCACATTGACTTGTATTTTACACTTGCAAAAAGGGTTCAAATTCTCACAGCTATGCTTTGGATTGACACCAATATGTTGCAGCCACAATCTCTTGCACTAGCGTGTGATCCAACATGTCAATCATGTCATGTCATAGACTACTGGCCATGGGCCTATAGTCATGAATTTATGACAAAATCATTGCTTACAGGTAAAACGCAATCATTTGCGGGTTGTAGTTGATGGTGTGTGGTTGCTCGCACTGTAGCCAAAATCAAACTTAATTTCCAACCTAGTCACTATTCAGGCTGTGTGCCGAAGTGGAAAATACACAAACTTCAGCTTAAATCACAGGCATTTATAAATGGTTAGACACTTTTCAAATGTAAATCTAATTTTTTATCAAACTTGAGTTTGCTAGTATGTTGTGTAAGTGTTTTTATACTATTCACCAAGTTACCAAATGTGTGACTGCTACACACCTAAGAAATTTGTTGAAATTACCTTGCACACTTGTTAAAATATTTGCTTTGTGGCAGCTAAAATTGTACATAATATGTAACAGGTTATCAACTCAGAAAAAAGTCTTGTACTTGCTCAGACATTGGAAAGACACGAAAACAGCTATAATTCAGCCTGAAAGCACACCATTGTATTTCACACTGGGCACTTCACACCACAGAATTTTCCAATGCACACCAAGCAGAGAATAAAAATATCTTTGGTTATTTCAAGCCAGGGTGCATTTAATATAGCAAATCTTCAGAGTGGATTTATGTTCTTTGGTGTCGCCTTGTCATGAGTTTGGCACCTGTCAGGATGTGATGTACACAGAAATTTTAGAGAAATGGGACAGTGGCACAGCACAAAGCTCTTTTTGTTTTTTTATTTTTAAAACTGATTTATAATATATCACAGGTTTTGAAAAAAAATTACAATCGTTGGAAACCCACAATGCGTACAGCTGGGTTTCATAAGTTGTTATACAAAATTAAAATAAGGGTCTGCTAAATGCTTTAGTTTGTTTCACCACTTGCTCAGCTTTGCTCAGCCCTGCTCAGTCTTTCCCAGTCCTGCTCAGAGAAGTTTTTGACGGCAATAAACATTTTTGAGAGAGTCATTAAACATTTCTTTTGTTTGGGGTGTGGTTGAGCAATGCTCAGTTCATTTGACCACCCAACCAAACTTTGCTCTGTTAGAAATGTTGAGTACAAGTACGAACGAAAAAGAACTAGGCCACTTCAGTAGAACAGAACATAACATAATTGAGTTAACAACAACAACATTTAGCTACCACGCTACAATTGTACGATATAAAATGATTACGTAAGGCTAGTACGTTACGTCTTGTTGATACATAATTTGGTGTGGCTATCGAGCCGAGTAACGTGGGAGCCTGTAGCAAGGATATAGGGCTCGCTCGTTCAGATGGCAACTACAGGTCAAATTCTTTCTAAGGCCGCGTTTTGAAAAGATCTTGACTGAAAGTGTTTCGCTGGTCACTTGAAATCAGTGCAATTGCGTTTTAATTTGCTGTCCTTTTGTAGGGTTCCTTTGTTAAATGTTGCCTTGTTATATATGACAAGCATTGACTGGGAATTTTTATGAACTAGAAGTTAGAAAAAAGAAGGTTTTGCTATGATCTCAAGGTTGCAAATCAATCTCTGTGATTATGTGCAGCCGTCTGAAAATCAAATCGACATTACGACATTGCATTTTACGTTATTTGGTTGTTCAAAAATTTTCTTCCCAAATAACACAACTGTGGTTTAATAGCTTGACATCAGATCAAGATATTTTTTCCTTTAAATATTCAACTTTTTAAATTTTGAATAAAATGAAGACATTTAACTCACCATGTACTAAAGTACCTTCGAAACCTTTACTTTTGGTAGAATTTTTGGCTCCCATTTCGTCGGCCATGTTGTATCAAACAGCCTCGTATTCGTTCAGAATAGGGGTTTCCACGTTTCCAGTGGTTTCCAATGATATACAAGCGCCGGTCGCTTATACGAGTCAACCCCCCTGATTCGAAAAGTGCAAAAGTGCCCCTTTTCGAAAAATATATTGTGTGTACTTTTTTCACAGCAATATATTTTGCCTTCAGATGCTAAGTACAATAACCTAAGGCTGCTTTTAAACGATGCCGGATAACTTTTGATCCGAATAAAAGGTTATACGGATAGATCGCGTTTACACGGCGCCGTACAACTTTCGATACAGATAGACATTCTGTCTACACGAGTACGAATACAGCAGATTTTTCAAAACGAATAGCTTCAGTTCAAGACAAAGATTGATGAAACTCTCCTTGCACATTCGCAATCCATTCTTCTGGCACAATATCATTGATAAAATATTCCATCATGTTTTTTGTCCAGACCTTTGCCGAAATTTACGCACACTTTTCTTTCTAAATGCTTTTTTTAAGAATTCTTCTGATGCGCTGGATCCTTGGAGTGCTCTTATCAAGAACAGAAAATAATATGCCGCCGAGTGATGTGAGCTCTGTTATGAATAGCGAATCTTGTCGCTAAGATTTTAGCCTAATTGTGTTAAAATCACCGCCTCGCTACGAAACCGTAACAAAACTTATCCGGATAGACCGTTTACATGATGCCGGATAACTTTGAGATCGTCTAGCTCAGGCACCGCGGAGCAGGGGGGCTGTGGGGGCTTTAGCCCCCCAACTTTTTGCGAAAAATGCCAAATATTTAGTAATAAACTACCAGTAAAGCCTCTTTTTATAGGGTTTTAGCCCCCCACTTTTTTGACCCCCCCCCCACTTTTCCCAACGCTCCAAGGTGCCTGTAGCTAGAAGGATTAAAAGTTGTACAGCTAACCGAATCAATTTTTGTACGGATAGCCCAGTTCTCGTGTAAACGGAAAGCCTATCCGTATAACTTTCTTTCCGGATCAAATGTTATCTGGCATCATGTCAATGCAACCCAAATCTTGGCATTGCTGGAGAAAGCGCAAAATTCTATGCAGGCACGTAAATACTGGGGTGTGGGGGTGTGGAAACCCCCCAATCTTTCACCCAGTCAGAAAATGTTAGGACAGTCGGAAAATTTAAAGCTGTTAGAAGATAGCTAAGTTAATTGGAAAAATTTGAATCTTTCGTTAAAACTAGAGTTTTGACTGAAATGACCTCGTAAGCTTTAGTTCAAAGAGAAGCATAACAAAAGTGTTAGTTCATAATAAAAAAAGTTGTTTGGTAAAAGACAGCCCTAAAAAGAATAAGGGTTCTACAGGTGTGCCATAAAACAGGCTTTAGAAGATTCGACCGCTGACAGTTCTAATGCCTCCATTTACAATTCCAACAATTGAAGTAGTGCATTGTCTCTCCCGTCTTTGTCCTGGAAGCTTACTGTCAGATCCAGCATACCTCTTTGCAGAGCTTGAAACGTACATCTCGTCAGTAGATCTTCAGCCTGCTTTGAATAGCCTTGCAAATGCAGCAGAGGAATGCTTTAAGAAGCGCAGTACATTTCCCATGACTTATAGAGCTTACAAGTTAGCTCTTACTGCCCCTCTACCAGTGGCAAAGAATGAAAGAACATTTAGTCGCTTGAAAATTGTCAAGAACTTCCTCCGTTCGAAATCGACCGGTGAAAGACTAAACGACCTCATGACATCTTACTTGCGAGAAAGACATTTTACAAACATACAAAATTAGAATTTTGTATTTCGGAAATTTTGAGCCCTTTACCCCCCCCCCAAATATCTGCCAATTTACGTCCCTGCTTCTGTGATACTCACATAAAGATAAAATGGATTCTCAATTTCTAACAATGATAAAGAAGCGCCGAAGGCGCGGCGGGGCAAATTTATTTACTTTCACCATTTTGAATAGTGGCAAAATGGAACTTGCTCCATACTCAGCCTTATAAATTTGGTAAAAGTGAGCAAGGTTGGAAAATTGGCCACTTTTTGGCCAAAATTGACAAATCTGCCTGAATTTGCAGCTGCTTGGCCAAAAAAGGACTTGTCTTGCCAAAACTAAAAATCTGGCTAAGTTTTGGCCAATTATCGAAATTCTTAACTTATAATTTTTTTGTTCTTTAAAACGTTATCTTCAACCCCATGAAACAATTGTTGATGATATTATGCTTCGAAAACACCTTGCCATGAAAATTTTACAACCTTCTCCGCATTCCCTTGCTTTGGTTTTGGCATAGTGTTTTTGGCAAGCAATAATCTTTCATGAAGGAAAAGTGCCTTCGAAGAAATTAAATCTCGGCTCCCTCTCAGACTAGAAATGTCTTCTCATCTTGAACAGATTTCGCCCAGCGATTGTTGTCAGCCTTACCATACTCTGGCTGAACAGTCTGGGAATGATCTATAGCCATCCGTCTATGGTTCAATAACAATCTGTCTATTGTTCAATATCCTCCGTCTATTGTTCTATAACAATCTGTCTATTGTTCAATTGTATTGATATCAGTTTGGCCAAATTTGGCCGAATTCTGATTGGAATTCTGAATTTGGAAGTTGATTTGGATGAATAGTTTGGGGATGATCTACCAGCCTTTAAAGTGAGGATTGATTTCGTTCACTTCTCTTTCGAATATCGATGTGAAATTTGGTGAGTGGCCTTATACTGCACTTAAATTTATGAATTGATGCTAATATTGGAAATATAAGCCGTCATTCGCAAATTCCAAGCATTTACAGTCGCGGTGCTTGCTGCGGTGTTTTCTGTCTCAACGAAATTCCAGAAAATGATGATTTATCTGTTTTAAAATGGATCTAGCGACAATGTTTAGCCATGACAAAGATTACCAATTCTGCCTTATCAAGAAGAAAGAAAATTAATCCATATAAAATTTCATTTCTACAAATTCAATTTGACAACTCATGCCATATTAGGTTCTAAATGACAGGCAGAAAAATTCAAAACTTATATATTTAAATGGTCTCTATCATTAGATAATAAATTCAAAAAGTATTTCTAATCATCATTGAAGATAAAAATTGCAAGCACATACTTTTTCAACTCATGAAAACACGACAGGCAACTGCCATATTCCCCCCGTAACTGCGTAAACTAAGAGAGCCATAATTTTTAAAATTCTCTTTAAAAACCCCAAAAAACTGTTATGCGTTGTTGATTCATATCTCCTCTAACTACCTGAATCAGAAAAGGCACTGAAATAGTTGTCACGAGAAAATCAGTCCTTAAAACAAGCAATTTTCCATACTGAACCCTATTGCAGCTCGCTTTCGCCACAATTTAAAATGACGGAAGCAAACAAGTTTGCCTCACTTGACAGTACACTCCTATGTTAACCCTACTATCTCAAGGGTCAAGACATCTAGCAACTTCGTCAGTTATATGTAATTACTATTTATTTACTGAATTACTGAATCAGAATGAAGGTTGTTCTTGGCACGGCCTTGACGCCATTGTCCGGTAAGCAAAATGCAAAGTTTCCACTAGATACTGGCCCCTGTTCGCCATCACATCCGATCTTTCTTTCTTGCAAACCAATGCCCAGTGCTGAGTCAGGTGTGTTACATTCATTTTCATTATTACCAATAATTCCAATTCTTGCCAACATATGACCAAGATTATTCTTCACATTGATCCCTTCTCGATTACAATGATGTTGCAATGACGAACTCGTTACCAGACTCTTCCATCTGCCTCTCCCGATATTTGTTGGAATAAAACTTTCGGACTGAAAAATTTTCCGCAAAGAGTCGCCTGCGACCGGAATGCGCTGCCATTGTACTTTATTTCCATTCTTCACTCCGATGCAAATTTTTTTAAACTTAAGTGAATTAAATGCTGGAAACTTTGCCTCTATCACATCAGATGGCGAACTGACCAATCCATTGGTTTGATAAACATTATCCGTTGTCCAGTACGCTGCAGAAGCTTGGAATGTACTCTGTAATGGCATGATGAGAAAATTAAAACCTGGCTAGCTAGGAAATTAGAATTGCGGGGCTGTTCATTCCCCAGGAAATGATTTTCTGCGAGAACTGCAATTCCAACGTAAATTCTATCAACTAAGCGGTACATAATTGATTATTCAAAAATCAAATGAAAAGTTTAGCGATTAGAAGATGTTAACGCCGCATCATGAATTTTTTTCAATTTTGAAATAAGCGCCCGGGTTATTATACGGCAGTTCATACTGACCTTTGATCCATCAGCTTTCATCACCAGTGTCCATCCACCGCCTCCACAATTATCAAGCTGATTCATGTAACAGTAATGGTTTCCTGATTTGAGCCTGTAAACACCACTGCCAGAGTTTGGAACATTTGCAAATAACTCTTGGCAGCTATCTTTCATACCTAGTGGATGACATAGTGGTTGGATGGTTAAAAGAATGTTGGTGTTTAAGAAGCAGCTAGCAACATTGAAGTTGGGAATGATTGATAAAAGATCGCTATTTGTCGATATCACACGTTTTACTTTAGCAAAGAAAGATCAAAACTTTGCTCCTATTTTGCTCTTCAGAAAAAAATTGTTGGAAATGCGATATACTGACACAATGCAAGTTTGATGAGTGTTCCTCAAATTTTACGTAAAAGTTACCCTTGTCTTGTCTGCTCAAAAAGTCACATGGATAAAAAGATGAAAAATCGGTGAAAGTCATGCCTCATTATCATTCTTAGAGAATTTCTGATCTTCACCAACCTGATTTATTGTTTTGAAATCAGACTAAAAATGTATTTTGTATTTTGAGAAGAACAATTGCAATTCGTTCCTGTCAGTTTGTCTCACTATCATCTTTGTTACGTACAACTGGTAAAGCAAGGCGAATCAACTTGAGGAAAGGGAATCTTTTTTATCCAAATCATATGCAAATCAAAAATATTCGTGCAGATTTTGATTAAACGGATCAACAAACAACTGAATATTCGTAAAATGTTCCCTCTCAAAATAGAATTCAAATTCTGATGATCCTGTCTTTGCGCAGTGTACATTGTTTAAGCATTGTAAAATTTCACTGCATATAACGAAAGTTTCAAGTTCATATATTTTCTTGCATAAACGGTCCTTTTATGATAAAATTCTGTAATATATACTGATAGATAACACGTATTCTTCCCCCCCCCCCCTGATTTTGTATTCAGTCTAAGTTCGATGAGAAAATGTTGGGGGAGGGCAAATCTTTTGACACCGTACTTTTTATGATGTAACAAAGTGTTACGTCTTTAAAGAAGACATAGTTACATTTAAATCAATGAGCGATGTGCGGTCAGTATCTTAAAACAGGCGTTAATATACAAGTACCATTTCAGTAAATGATATAGAAACTATTTTCGTTGAAGTTAATTTCAAAAAACAAAAATGGATAATTATTGGAATCTATCACCCTCCAAACCAAAATGGCATCTATTTTCTTGATGAATTAGGTACGTTATTGGATTTCTATTCACGAAGCTATGAAAGAATTCTAATACTTGGGGACTTTAATATGGAACCTGGTTCTTCTAACATAGAAAATTTCATGGGAAACTATGATCTATATAATCTGATGAATGAGCCAACATGCTACAAAAGTAACCCGCCTAAATGCTATGACTTGATCTTAACAAACAAGAAATACAGCTATAAAATACAGGTACATATGAGACAGGTTTGTCTGACCACCATAAGCTAACCTATACTGTACTAAAAACTGAATTCGTTAAATTTGAACCAACTTCTATTTCATACAGATGCTATAAAACTTCTTCTACCGATCAATTTAACGAGGATCTTCAATTTAATTTAGCTAAAATACCTAAAGAAAATGTATCGTACGATGTTTTCAATCAAACTCTGATTTCAATTCTCGATAAACATGCCCCTCCGAAGAAAAAATTAGTAAGAGCAAACAATGCGCCTTTCATGAATAAAGATATAAGAAAATTGATAATGCTGAGATCTAAGGCAAAAAGAGAGTTCAACAAAAATAAAACGGTTTCAAATAGGGAGAGGTACAAACAAGTCAGAATTAGATGTGTTAAATTAATTAGACGCACTAAAAGAAGATATTTCGAAAATTTAGATGTTAAATTCGTCAACGATAATAAAAATTCTGGAAAACTATCCAGCCTTTATTAAATGATAAAAATGCAAAAGCAAATAAAATCATACTGATAGAGAACGACGAAATCCTGTCTGACAACAAAATAGTTGCACAGACGTTGAACAATCACTTCGTAAATATTACTGAAAGCCTCAATATAGCCCGACCTTTATCTGATAATGTGCAACAGACGTCTGACGAAAGGACAGCCTCGTCACTATTAGATCAATTGAAATGCTTTGAAAACCACCGTAGTATTTTAAAAATCAAGGAAACGTTTGATCAATTTCCTAAGTTTAACTTTTAAAATGTAACTTCCAAGGAGGTAAGAGAGATAATTTACAATCTAAAGGAAGACAAATCAACAGGAGCCGATAACATCCCCCAAAAGTTCTTAGAATGGTAATAGACGTTGTCTCTGGACCACTAGCTGAAATATTCAATCGATCTATTTCTGATAAAACGTTTCCCTTTCTTATGAAAATGGCTAATGTGTGCCCTATTTTCAAAAAAGGAGATTCAACTAGTAAAGAGAATTATAGACCAATAAGTGTGCTCCCCTCAGCTTCAAAGGTATTTGAGAGAATAATATTCAATCAAATCTACAATTACATCATTGTTAAACTGTTCCCTTTGCTTTGTGGATTCAGAGAAAAGATTATAGCACACAACATGCATTATTACGACTTATTGAAGGTCTGAAAAAGTGCCTGGATAAAAAAGATATGGCTGGTGCAGTGCTCATGGATTTATCAAAAGCATTTGATTGTTTACCCCATATACTTCTACTAGCCAAATTGAAATCTTATGGCTTCAGCGACAATGCAATGGAATTTATGTATAGTTATCTAGATAAAAGGGTACAACGAGTAAAAATAAACTCAGATTTCAGTGATTGGATGGAAACAAAGCAAGGAGTTCCTCAAGGATCAATCTTAGGCCCGTTGCTTTTCAATATTTACATAAATGATATTTTTCTGCATCTGAACAAAAGCAACTTATGTAACTATGCAGACGATAATACAATTTGGCTGTCAAGTACTGATATGAATGAACTAACTGACGACTTAGAATCGGAAGCCGCTATTCTTAATAAATGGTTTTATGAAAATTTTTTGGTGCTCAATGGCGATAAAAGCAAGCTTATAACATTTAAAGCCAATCGATCCAATTTAGAGGAATCTAAAATTCAAATAAATGGTTCTACTATAATAGAAAGTAAGAATGTTTAACTTTTGGGAGTAACACTAGACCATCAACTTAGATTAGAAGAACATATTAAAGTTTTTTGTAAAAAAGCTGGGAAAAAGGTAAACGCTCTAGCCAGGATTGCTTCGTATATGGACAAATCTAAGCAAATTCTTTTAATGAAAACGTTCATATTATCATATTCAAATTATTGTCCTCTTATTTGGATGTTTTGCAGTAGGAAAAGTAATAATCGAATAAACCGGATTCATGAGCAATGAGAATAGCTCATGATGATTATGAATCAACTTTTGAACAACTTTTAATAAAGAATAAAACAAAAACTTCTCATAAGAAAAATTTACAATATCTTGCGATAGAAATTTACAAAACATTTCACGGATTGAATCCACTTTTTATGGATGAAATATTTTCCATAAATGAATGCCCATATTACTTAAGAAACTCCCAATTCAAAACAGCGGAGCCACATTACAAAATATATGGATTTAATACCGTATCATACAGATGTAGCCAAATATGGAACTCAGTTCCAAATGAGATAAAGTACTTCCCTACCTTACAAATATTCAAGAAAAAAATCTCAGAATTTACATCGTTTAATTGTACTTGTAATCTTTGCAAAGAATATGTTAACAACATCGGTTATATTTGATTTATATTATATTTAGCGCTGGTAATTTAAATTAGTTGGTTTTAATTAGCTTGTATGTATAGCTAGAGATTGTACAAACTTTAAATAAAAAAAGAAAAAAAAAAGTACCAATCTAAGTAACATGCGTAATAACAATAGCAACTGACGTCACCAATGGCATCAACAACAAAAGGACTGATATTTGTGCTACATACCTACAACAAAAAGTACTACAGCAATTTTTGATGTGCCAGCTTCATTTTTTGCAGTGCATTCATATGTTCCAATATCTGATGCTGTCACATTTTTCAACATCAGGGTCTCACTTGGAGGCAACAGGCTTCCTTCTCCTTGCCGTCGCCAAATAATGGTTGGTTTTGGAACTCCAAGAGCTAAACACGTCACTTCAACATTTTTGCCTTCGTATGCTACGATTCCTCTGCTCTTAACAGAGACATTCGGTGGAACTACAGCGCAAAGTAATTAGAAAAGTAAAAAGTAAGAATGCAAAATCTATCTCAAAAACTGATGGCTTTAAATAAATTTTCTTTCTCTCTCTCTCTCTCTCTCTCTCTCTCTCTCTCTCTCTCTCTCTCTCTCTCTCTCTCTCTCTCTCCTCTCATCTCTCTCTCTCTCTCTCTCTCTCTCTCTCTCTCTCTCTCTCTCTCTCTCTCTCTCTCTCTATCTCTCTCTCTCTCTCTCTCTCTCTATCTCTCTATCTCTCCCTCTATCTCTCTCGCTCTAATGACCTTCTGTAATTTTATACCTATGAGCTTTGAAACATATTTGGGAATTTGAACACAAACGTTTGAAATTGCCTATAAAAATTTAACAGTTTAAGTACCAAAAGTTGCTTTAATGTTGCTTAATTTGTATGAAAATCTAGTGTAAAGAATTGCAAAGTGGTTAAGACGCCTTAGAAATCACATTGTATTGCTGTGATAAATAATTTATTAAATCATTGAAAAACACTTTTTTAGTTGTTAATGCTAGGGAAAAGCTTAAGAGCCTATTGCTAAGCCATGAAAAGGGAATGTGAGGAGGGATTAGGAAAAGAGAGAGGGAAGATCAAGCTTGTTTATTTTAGTTTTGAATAAAGACAGGTTGTACGAGTATTTAACGACAACATTTAACGACAAACCCGGAGAAGTTTAAATCAGATTACCCCAACCCCGAGTTAAGTTTGCGCCGGGATCATTGATTTAACCCAGTTTTTCCTAGCTCTTTGCCTGCCTCAGACATTTGCTATCTATATTCCCCTTGGCTAACATATGTACATATTCAAGCATCCTCTACCACCACCTTCATCTGTCTATTGCTAATATTAGTAATATCAGTGTCCAGTACAGCTAAACGTATTGATGAAATACTTACCGTGGACCTTTAAGTTAGCAGAGGAGGATGCATTTCCCAATATGTTTACAGCTATACATTTGACTTCACCCTTGTCATCCACTGTGATCATCCTCAACTTTAAAACTTTTCCATTGTCTGTGAGGTGCTTTCTCTCGTCATTCGATACCAGAACGTTATTGTGGTACCATTTGATTTCTGGCTGGGGATACCCTCTTGCTTCACATTTGAAAGTTGCACTTAAACCTCTTACCACAGTTACATCTCTAGGGTGTTCAGATATGCGTGGCTTTTCAACAGAAAGGCCTGGTGGACCTCTTGGTCCTGCTTCCCCTCGCTCTCCCTTTTCTCCTTGGTTCCCCTGAGGACCTTTACCTCCTGGCTCTCCACGTGCACCTTTAGCCCCTTTGGGACCAGCCTTTCCTCTTGGGCCCCTCTTGCCTTCCCTACAAAGCACTGTTTTTGGGCATGCGATACTAGCTTTTTTCTTGCCATCACGAAGGAGATCTATTGACAATTGAAGACGATACAGGAGCAAATTCAAATCTTGTTCAGTAGATGGGAAAGAGGTCGTGCCATCTTCTTTCAAAATGCTCCGAATCTGCCTGACATGTTTTTTCTTGTTGAGGCCACCTTGAAAAGAGTAAAGTTATGAACACTGCAATTATTTAATAAAGTTTAAAGTTCGGCTACAGCCCTTGCTATGAGACAAATCTTCACTTCTTTTAGGAGCTGGAGATAGTTCAATTTTATGCTACTACTTTGTCTTCTCTAATCAAACTGCTGATCGAATGAAATTTTATCAGAGTAAATTTCACGAGAGATGTTGTGGAATTTGATGTCTCTAGTGGTTCTTATTTTAGCTTATTTGTATTATTCTCATTAGGATGTCAATTGTCATGCTTCAAATTGGCACTTAAGTCCTGTTGCGCTTCTTTGATGCCATTGGGAATAATAGAGAAGAAGGAGTTCTGTAGTTTGGGCTTCTGCACGAAAGTGTAGGCCCCTTGACTCAGATGGGTGTATCTAATTGTTTTGGGTCGGGATTATCGTGCTTATTTTGTATGCTGTTCCCACGCTGTTCCATTCTCCCGTCCCCCCTCCCCTTTTGATATCAGGTGTAGTACGTTTCTCCAAGACCTTATTTTTACTATTATATTAGGCTAGGGCCTGTTTACATCATGGGATTCATTTCAAAGTTCTTGTTTTTTTCGTTTAGGGAAGATTTAAGCGTTTAGGAAAGAGAGGACTGGCGCATCAGCCCTATTAGGCAGGGCATTCCTCTCAACCATCGACCGCATTGCCTAACCTTTGTTTTCTCGGCTGATTATGGAACTATATGGTGTAACGAATGATTTAAGCCCTTACAACATTTTCAAAAATTCATTGAAGTCACGTTACCGATGACGTCAAAAAGGTTATGTTTCCTAGACTCAAAACCATTGCTACTTCTTCAGTATACGTCTGACTTCAATATAAACGCTAGATTCGGGCTCGCCTGAAGGAAAGCTTTCCAATGATATATACCAATCAGTATTTTAACGATGTCAGCAATTTTCAATGATGACGTCATCACTTTCAAAATGGCCGTCGAACAGTACATTTTAAGACAAAAGCCCTGATCTAATCAAACGCATTTCTTGATCGTTTTGTGGCAATGTTTTGTCAGGTAATTATTCTACATCACTAAATTTAACGTTTCAAGGTACATACCGTAAATCCTCGAATTGTCCCCCTCTCCTCAAAAAGACCCCCCCCTCGAATAAGCCCCCATCCTAAAACCACAAATTGTCATAGCCCTCCCTCGAATAGGCCCCCACTGCTACCATAAATTCTCAAATGGGACCCCTCAATTTAATGATTTTTGCCATCTGACGTTGCCTACGGCGTTTTATTGAATTACCACAACAAATTCATACATTTGCTAGTAATTAATTAAATGCCCATAAAGAAATTCCTATTAAAATAAACGATGTCTTTTAATAATGTCTTCTCAATGTCTACAATAATGTTATAACCCCCCTCGTATAAGCCCCCCCTCTCTCGAATAAGCCCCCATCCAAAAATAGCTATTTCCAGGCTAATTCCAGGATTAACGGTATATATTCGCTTCAAATCCATTTACCGCCAGAATCCTCCGACGAACTGAAGTCATAAAATTCCCGTTCACTTTCTAGTTCATCAGAAAGTTCAGTGCTACTTAGGTCAGAGTCTACCTGGTCTGTTGTTTCCTTGTATTTGTTACTAGCACTGATTTCGTCGACACTGCGTGCCTATTTCGATACCTCTGTACATCTTTTGCATTTCTTTGGAGCAGGGAGATTTTCACTGCCACTTTCGACATCTCCCCCAACGCTTTCTGAAAGTCGGCTCTTGTTTTTCCGTCTTGACTTCAAAGAAGGAGGCAGCAGAGGGCACGTGAAGCAAAACGATTTCAAGGAAGACACTTAAGAAGACCCTTCAAGCCACAACTTTCGAAAGAAAGTCTTGACGGATGGTTCTACGCAACGCAACCAGCAGTAGGCTATCTTCTAGGAATGTGAATCAGGGAGGAGTTTAATGTTACTTTCATTTTGTTATACATTTTTAGTCTTGTTCCACATAGCTTCTCTTGACCTTGCCAGAATACATTACCATTTGAACAAACTTCAGAAAATCTTCTATATCGCTTTCAAGGTATTGCGGAAACTAGTTCAAGGTATCGCGGGCTCTTGATGACTGTCTTCAGCAACCTTACCTTTCCTACGTTGCGGAAATAGGATCTACAATTACACCCAGATAACGCATGTTAAGCCTGTAGATTAAGGCCAACATCTCTTCCGAAATGGGAACCATTTGCGTTTTACATGGAGAAAAGCAAAAACCCAATGTGTCTTCCTTCAGAAATCAGTCTTATAAAATCAATTTGCTTCTAATTTCGATACAGGAGCTCGTGGCATTTATATCCTTGCAACATGTTTTGATAGTACACTTCTAAATGACCTCTTGGCCCAGGTTCACCAACTTACACCCAACTTCAGGAGCAACAAATCTGATAAGGTTGTGCATCCGCGCTTGGTACGTTGGCATCGGCTTGATGGAGCGAACTGCTTCCACTCCGTCTACTATCCAAACGGCAGACTTCGGAGGCATGTCTTTGATCCATTGCCACTCTTCGAGCAAGAGTCGTTGCAAAGTTACTTTGTCTGACTGACACAAAGTTAAACCAGCTGTAGCGATAGCAATTGAAAGAGGAACGGTTGTCATGGGATTAGTAAATGCCTCTTGCAGACTTCCTGCCTTGAAAATGAGTAGTTAAAGGCCTGTTTTTGTGTTCCTTGACCACGGTAATTGCTACAGGTGTCCCCTTGACCTTTTCTAGATCTGGCTTCAGCTTTTTTTTTCTTGATCGGTGCCATTAATCAGGCGATCATTTGTGAAGCGATGCATATTCTCTTCTCCTATGATCGACGCTGCAAGGAGGTCAGTAGAACTTTATTGATGTAATTCTTTACCAGTTAAAGTCGATTTAGCAGGAGCAACAGAAAACCGATTGGTGCCATTGCTTCGAAGAGTTCCCTAAGGCTATCATTATGCTTCTGAAGGAGCTTTATCCCACCTGGAATGCTGTACTTGTGAATTGATGATGAATTTACGAAAAAGTATTGCTTCAGAGCCTCTCTAAACTTGCTATGAATGTGGGACGTAGCAATCCAAGTGTTAACCGCATTAATGTTTGCTGAAGCCAGACCTTTATGGGCCTACAGTCCCTTTAGCTTCTTGATTAAATAGCTCTGTATGTAAATTGCAATGAATTGCAGATAATTTGTTTTGAAATTTCCGCCAAATCCTTATTTGTTCCAATCTTGGAATGCTATGTTTGTTCACCCTTACCCAGTAATGATTGAAGTGCAATGGAGAAGCAGGTGTTGGTATGTACAGTAGCGGGCATAGTCTATGTGATTCAATGCAAATGTAAGCAGAATTATATTTCACACTGCTTGCAAAAGTAGCTTAGTGTTGCTTTTCTGCACAGCTGCTACCATGTTTTTTGACGATTTTCAAGAATCAATAGTTTTTTGCATCAATCTGCCATTGCTTATGGGCATTGACTGTGTGGGTTTTTTGGAACAGATGTTGGCGAACCCATGAGTTGATGAAAGCAACCCATCAGCACCTTGATCTGACTAAACAAGTCAGCATCCGTTCCCATAATTTGGTTTATCTTTGCCTTCCCCCATTTTATCCGCATGAACAAAAACATGAAATATGTCAAGATCATATCTAAGAAAGAATCAAGGTATATTCCTTGCATACTGGATAGACAGGCACCTTTTGAGTAATTGGCAAGTTATCTAGCCCTGTCAGGGGTATTAAACAAAGGCTTTAAAGTAATAAACCATATAATAACTGTTTCCTCCTGCCTCCTAGCAATGCCAATAATATAAGCCCTTGGCCTTTGTGCAAAGCTCGGTTTCGTACCGATGGCTTCAGGTCCGGTCTTCGGAAACAATTTTTATTTTAGGTTTAATTAATGAAATTAAAAGAATAATAATGAAAACTGTGGATGGCGAAGGAGCAGCTTCTTCTCCGTTATAAGAAAGTGCCAAGCAAAAACATGCATGATGTCAAACTGCGATAATGCCAAATTGTGCCTAGCAAAATCAGAGTCAGCTCGCTGGTCGACGGCCATTTTGAAATTGATGACGTCATCATTGAAAATTGCTGACATCGTTAAAATACTGATGTGTATATATCATTGGAGAGCTTTCTTTCAGGCGAGCCCAAATCTAGCGGTTATATTGACGTCAAACGTATACTTAAGAAGTTACAATGGTTTTGAGTCTAGGAAACATAACCTTTTTGACGTCATCGTTAACGTGACTTTGATGAATTTTTGAAAATGTTGTAAGGGCTTAAATTATTCGTTATACCATAAAGTTCCATAATCAGCCGAGAAAACACAGGTTAGGCAATGCGGTCGATGGTTGAGAGGAATGCCCTGCCTATATGGTGGGGAAAAATGATTTTTTGTCCATTCCCTGCCCAGAACTTTAAGCTGCTTGTAGTTGAGTCTATCAAGATATATAGATATAGCTCAATGGCTAAAAATCGATTTTCCGAGATGGACCATCGCGAATTATTTTTAGATTGCATGTGATTCGTGACATAATAAACCAAAAATAATTCAACAAGAAAGCTAATATCTCTTATAATGAAAGTCTTATAACATAATAATTGCATGTTCGGATAGCTTTAAGAAGGAGCTTTCATTTGGTGCATAACAAATTCTATTTTGCTGATATCAGCAAATTGACTGATGACGTTATCAAACCAAAATAGGCATCAAACCACCGGAGTTCACAATTTCTTCCGGATTGCCCCTAGGAATGTATTCTGAAAGTGGGAGGTGGAAGCTGGGGGCTACAGCCCCCCCAACTTTTTCGCAAAAAGCTTTTTTTAAAAAATTAAAGGAAAGAAAGAAAAGAAATTGAAGAAAAAAAGTGTGATAAATCCTGTTATTGTTTAATTTCCAATAAACAATAGGTCTATGGGGCCTTATAAAGTCACGAATCCATTTTTAAGACTAGAATTAATAAAATGCACTAAAAGCATGCCTTAAAAATGGTAAAATGTTTTAAATTATTGTAAGAAAATCACTGCAAGAAATATTCTAAAATGTTTTTAAGCTTATCTAAAGGATGGGTCGCAAAAATTTTCTGCTCGCTATGCTCGCAGGGAAGCCCCTTCTTTCGGATGTACCTAGGCCAGGGCCTCCAACAAGTTATCGCTGGCCCCTTCCAATGTACCGATAGCAGTAATTTCATTCACAGGAAATAAAACAAATCGCACGTAAAGCAGAATGACTCGCACAATTAGGAAAAAGGTCACACAGTGGAAAATAATTATTAACGAAGCTCGTTTGCAAAGAAGCTCGTTTGTAATAGTTTACTTTTGTGTTTCCTTACGAAAACAGTTATTGGCTGAGTTTTTTTCTCGATCTCCGCTTGGCTTTCTATTAACGCGCTCTGAATTTCCTGGTTCTGGTACCCTGGTGCCCTGTATATAAAAAATTTATTAAGTTATGCGAAATTTCCTTTACCTTCGATGTAGCCATTTGAAAAGCCCTTCATCTGGTGTTTAATCACTTGTATGTCTTTGTTTAAAGTATCCATTTCGCCCCTGAGAGTATCACATTCATTCCATTGCGATTTCATAGTCAAGAAAACAGCCAGCAGTATGGACATGTTTACCACCATCAATACAAAAAGAAAGGGGAGACATTTTCGCCACACTGTGTTATTCTCTTTCAAATTCTTCTCCATTTTGCTCAATCTTAGAGTTTACTCCGAGCCTGCTCAAATCATCCTCAAATTCGGCTCAAATTGGTTTCGAACCTGTACCAAATGGCTCTAATTCAACTTGCGGCTTGTTTGGTTCCGCTTGTACAAAATCTTCCGGTTCCTGTTCCAGACAAGAGTATTGACAATCTGACATTCAAGCCATTGTTTGCTTTCTCGACAGATTCTTGTAGTAGGGAGTCCAGGCTTTCATAATCTACCAGGTGACTTTTTTGAAAATGCTTGGATGTCACAGGACTGATGACGTCATTTAGCGGTAAAAGTCAGACAAAATCATCGCTAGCTCTTTACTGGAGTGTTATTTACTTAAGTAAGTTACATACTTTGACTCGTCTTGTTGCAAGCTTTCAATTGATGTATATTTAGGCATGATTTGCTGGCATCAGTTTTTTCATTATGACGTCATCAAAAATTTTGCACCGGCTTTTAGTTTGAGCATTTCAGACCCCAATTCTGAAGCCTTTAGTTGTTCATCGTTTCTGGAGAACAACTGAAGTGTCAATTTTGATTAATTATACGCAGGTGATCATCATCATCATCATCATCATTACATTTACATTTAACAACCCTTTGGGTCATACAAATGTCTGCCCAGTCAACTACAACATTAAAATTTTAAAATTTACTGAGGTGATTTCAACATAGGTTGTAAAAGGTATCCGAATTTGCCTGCATCACAAAACTGTCTGGCAGGCTATTCCATACAGAAACGATTGAATAAAAAAATGAAAACCTAACAGCATCAACCCTTCCGAATTTAGGCATGATCTTCAATGAGTTAGAGTTAAGACATAAGACATAAGACATACGACATAAGAGCTTTCATTTCAACCAACAAGAATTACAATTTAAGTTGTGATTAATAAAAAATAAAGAAACGAGTACATGAATTGGACTAGGTTTACCATAAACTATGATACCAAGTCATTGAATAGATGAAACTGAAAATTTAAAAAAAGAACCAAATGGTTGGGAAGGGATCTTATAGCAGAGCTAATTCATAGACCCCTACCCGGCCGATCGGGCCGATCCAGACATACCAACTGAGGTTACCAGTTCTTAAATGTAACTGCTATAAAGGAAGAAAGAGCTGCTGTCGAAAACGCAGAAGTATAGTTTGGGGAAATAGGATTGTTTAATAAGAATCAAAAGCCTTATTGGAAAATGTACGCTTAAGATGTTTTTTATTTGTCACATTTGTAAAGAGAGGATCATTCTTTAATGCATTAAGTGCTTTAGTGCCAGTATAGCGTTCCTTGTCATTGAACAAGTTGCAGGGGAAAAGAAAACGTTTGGGTCCAAAGCAACCTGATTTGTAAAAATTTTATGAACATATTTCAGTTGGAATAGTAATCTATGTCATTCAAGTGAGTCCCATTTCAGTTGCTGCAATAAATCTGTCACGCTAGATCTCTGACGGTACTCTCCCATAACAAAACGAGCTCCGTTTCTTTTGACCTTTTCGATTCGTTGTTTCACTTCATTAGTATGCGGTGACCACACTTCGCATGCGTATTCAAGGTGAGGGCGCACCAGCGTGAAGTAAAGTTTTTCACGCACCTGGCGTGGACTTCTAGAAAAGTTTCTCCGAATCAAACCAAGAGATCTATTCGCTTTTCCTACTATTTGATCAACAGTCTTATTCCAGCGTAAATCTTTGCTGATATAAATGCCTAAATATTTATAAGATTCAATTTTTTCAATACCTCAGAGATTTAGTATTCACTTTGAATGGTTCTCCTTTTTTAGCGTATTGTCATAGAATAGCATTTGCTTACGTTAAATTCCATATTCCAACGATGGCTCCAGGCACAAAGCTTGTTTAAATCGTTTTGCAATGTTTCCGCGTCATCTAGTTTTTCGATCCTTCTATAAAGAGCACAGTGTATGTTTTAACTCGAAATAAGTTAGTTAGTTGGTTGGAGTAGAGCGGAAAGGTGAAATAGAATACTGATGAATTTGATACAAAATAGTTACACATAATGGTGATTTTTCTCTGAATCTCCATCTTACCCTTCGTCTATCATTAAATATTAAGATAGGGGCACCGCTAGAAATAGTGGTCCCAACACCAAACTGATTCGGCTTTTGTCGTTTTTTCTCGGAAAGGTGCAACTTTAAAGCCTTATAACTAATTGTAATTTTGCAAAAACAACGACTTTGCCATAATACACGCACCAGATGCTAACCTTTTAATCAAAAAAAAATTTTTTTTCGCTGGAGAGGCCCTTTAACAGATGAGAGTTCATTTTTACAAGTGCCGAGTATCCCACGCGCTGAAAAGACGAATGTGAGTTTTGTCACATCACAAAGCACCCAATATAGATTTGTCCAAGTTATGCAACATTACCATTTGATGGAAGTAAGATCTGGGGAAAAATTCAAAGAAAGCGCTCATCATGTTCATGAACCACTAACATTTTGTAAATATTTATGCTCGTGCTTCGACAAATCCACTCCTAAAAGCCTCTTTGCTTTTTCTTGGTATGAAGCAGACGTGAAGCATGGCAACCAGGGGCGAAACTACTGGGGGGGTATGGGGGGTGCTGCACCCCCCAATCTTCAAAAAAGCAGATTTTGTCTGGCAAATTTATGGCTGCTAGTGTATCTGTCGGGCAAATCTAGAAATTTTCTTTAGGTCGCACTTTTATTGCTACTTTTTGCCCTAGGTTGGTTTTTTAATTCATGGTCTTTTCCCCCATCTTTTTTTCAATCTCCTCCCAGTTGGGAAAACAGAAACGAGGCAAGGAACAGCAACATATATACATTTCTGTCTTTCGTCCGTCCACTGATCAGCGCTTTCGTCTGGAGCTCAACGCGAACATGTTTATCTTTTCCTTCTCGCCTCGAGATGAAGTCTGGAGTATTGATCGACAGCAAAAGTATAGATGGAAAGTAAAGTGTGTTTGATGCGAGAAGGAAATGAACACTGTGTATACCCCTCCTCCCTACTTTTTGCAAAACAAGTGAGCTTTTTTCAAAATCTTTTGTTGTGATTTCTAAATTTTCTCTTGAAAAGCCCCCCCCTTCAACGTTCCATCCTGCCTCGGAGCCCATAGAACACTGACAGTTTTAGAAGCATCATGAATCAAAGCATGAAGGATATACCATCTCGGAATACGTTGTTGAGAAAATCAATCAATATTTTCTTTTCTTAATGTATGAAACTTTCATTCATGAAATCAACATGTTTTAGAGATTTAGGTCAGGACATTTGAAGAAGACATCATTTGGGTTTTTAAAAACTTCATAACATCAACAGGAACATAATAAAACTATTTACAATAAACATGATCAAACGTGAACACCTTTTCATTACAACGTAGCGTGAACAACTGATTAATGCAACTTCGAGGTCTAGGAACGAGTGAAGGATTAACCGCGTGCTGCTCCTTCACAACAACACATCCATAAGGAGTTATGCCCCAAAATTCTCTTAAGGTTTTACACTTACGGTTCGAAAGTATTGCACCATTCGCTAGAAAATGGTCATACAGACGCCAAAGTTTTTTAACTAAAAAAATTTGAATAACCATAACAAGTAACAGAAAGTTTTAATCAGTTCAAGCGGGAAGTAATATAAAATTTATCAAGAAATTGTAGTTAAGATATGAATTGCAAAAAATCTTTCGAGTTTATTCTACTTCTGAACAATATCCATGATTACGAAAACATGAAAATTGAGCTTTGATGATAGGTATACCTGTAAAATACCTCCAATGAAAAACTTTTCTTTGCTTGAGGGATTTTGTTATGGTGAATTTAGATATACGTACTTTGTGCTTGGGTGTCTAAAAATATTGAAATTGCTTCCGGAGCAACCGAAAATTGAAAATGAAACTCAGAGAATGCAACTGAAGCTCTTTTTTTGTTGGAACATTGTAATCTGCGTAGCTGTTTCTAAATTCCGAAATTTCCAAGCTGTGTTTTGGTGTTCCACTTTGATAAAATTGAGACCCTACTTCAATCTCTTTTTTGAATTGCCCTGTTAATAGCTAGGTGATTTAGAAAGTGAAGACTTTTTTTATAGAAAAGACAGGCCTTACAAATGCTTTCTTTTCGGAAACAAATGTTTATAGCCAACACCAGAAAAACTAGAGGCATATTTTTTGACTTAAAACAAACAGCCTGAGTCTAAAGACCCTCTCTCGGGCTTCCCGATGATTTCAGCCCTTGAGGCGATGTGCTCTAAAAATGAAGTTCATGTAGGACACGCCCTTTCATCAAGCATGCCACGCCCTTTCATCGGGCAACTAAGCTTCATACCCCCCTAATGAAAATAGTGAAGTTTCGCCCCTGATGGCAACGGATATGTCGCTAAACGTAAAAATTTCCAGAGCCATGTCGACCCTACCAGCGGATACATTGCAGCATTTTCTGAAAAGGAACAAGTTAGGTCAAAAGCTGCTTCAAGTCAGGTTAATTTTTCATAGGCGCGTGATTATTAGAAACGAAAAGGCTTGCTCTCCTTTACAAATCTCCTTTGAGTAGGATAAATGCCTCTTTCTGATAAAGCATTAGCTGGACCAACAGCATTATGACAAGGAGTGACCAGCTCAAATTGTTGCCACATAGTACCTATATGAGGTGAACCTCGAAATCATTTGTCAAACCTAAAGTCAAACCAAAAATGGAACCCAACATCTGCCAAATAAACCATTTGGCCACTTTGCCTTATCATGAAAGCGTGGAACAAAGAAACAAACATTTTCGGTTGGAATCATCCAATCTTCTTGGATTTGCATGCATTTATTTATTTGAGAACGCAACAGCATTGTCGTTTGTTGACCTTTCTAATACGGGAATATCTCTGCTTTCTCTGTCAATCGCAGTTAAGCTTGAAGGTATTAACCGAAAAATACCTAAAGCTTTCTATGAAGTCAGATGCACTGAAAGCGTTTTGCAGTTACACGCATTGCGGGCATCGTCAGCTTTGCACAGCCTTGCTCGACGTCGCATTTACAAAATAGGCAACAGCCGTCGCAGTTTGGTCAAACAGTGAAGAATAAATAGCTTTGCACAGCCTTGCTCGACGTCGCATTTACCAAAATAGGCAACAGCCGTCGCA